ATTGAGGCCATGCCAGAGCAGTCCTCGGTTGGAAGCCGGTGAAATCCCACTGGCTGCAAGGCATGTGCTGTGCACTGTAGGCCTAGGTCTGCAGTCGTTTACAGTCACTCTTTGCATGAATGACTTTGCTTCAAAGGCAGGGACAACCAGGGCTTATTGCCGAAGTACTTTGTTAGGGTTACATACACCTAGGAATTGGAAGTTCCCTTCTCCATACTGTACTTTTCCCTTGCCCCATGAAGTGGTGCATCATCACCCATACACAGATGTAGGATCTTAATTTGAGCCAGATTGTTGCAGCAGGAAAATAATCCTGCAGCAACAGGAAATGTGAATTATTATGTGGATTATAATTAATTGACATTTTTGTAGGGGTTTATACATTTTTGTTAAGGGAAAATCAAGTCTGAAATTTCAAAGTGGAAATTGCAAACTTCAAAAGGCTTTTAAACCTCAAATACACTACACGTTTTACATTCCTGCAACTCCAGTGTAGATTTGGCCTTGTATTTTAGGTTATTGTCCTGCTGAAAGGTGAATTAGTCTCCCAGTGTCTGTTGGAAAGCAGACTGAACCAGGTTTTCCTCTAGGATTTTGCCTGTGCTTATAGTTGTATTCCGTTTCTTTTTATTAAAAAAAAACTCTCTAGTCCTTGCCGATGACAAGCATACCCATAACATGATGCAGCCACCACCATGCTTGAAAATATAAAGAGTGGTACTCAGTGATCTGTTGAGTTGGATTTTCTCCAAACATAACGCTTTGTATTCAGGACAAAAGTTAATTTTTTAGCCAATTTTTAGCAGTATTACTTGTTGCAAACAGGATGCATGTTTTGGAATATTTTGATTCTGTACAGGCTTCCTTCTTTTCACTCTGTCATTTAGGTTAGAATTGTGGAGTAACTACAATGTTGTTGATCCTCAGTTTTCTCATATCACAACCATTAAACTCTGTAACTGTTTTAAAATCACCATTGGACATGGTGAAATCCCTGAGCTGTTTCCTTCCTCTTCGGCAACTGAGTTAGGAAGGACGCTTGTATCTTTGTAGTGACTGCGTGAATGGATACACCATCCAAAGCCTAATTAAAAACTTCACCATGCTCAAAGGGATATTTTTTTACACTTTTTTGCGAAGCATTGTAAAACCTCCCTGGTCTTTGACGTTGAATCTGTGCTGGAAATGCACTGTTTGATCAAGGGACCTTACAGACTATTGTATGTGTGGGGTACAGAGGTGGGGTACTTATTCAAAAATCATGTTAACCACTATTATTGAACACGGAATGAGTCCATGCAACTTATTATGCGATTTGTTAAGCACATTTTTACTCCTTAACTTATTTAGGCTTGCCATAACAAAGGGGTTGAATACTTATTGACTCAAGACATTTCAGTTTTATTTAAAAAATAATAATTTAGAACATTTTCTCCAAACAAAATTCCATTCCACAATGACATCATTGGGTATTGTGTGTAGACACAATTTCTCAAGTTAATCAATTTTAAATTCAGGCTGTAACCTAACAACATTTTGAAAAAGTAAAGGGGTGTGAATACTTTCTGAAGGCACTGTATATGAGAAAGATTTTGTATTCTACTGATTTTAGCACTGGTAACAAAATAAACTAATATCATATACATCAAAATCCCCCCAAGTGATATTTAATTGCGGTAAATCACAGGACATTACAATAATTTTTTTTTCCAGTATTGATGACATTGAATGACAAAAGTACTAAACAAAACGAAACCACTGACCCTGAATAGTGAATGATATTGATATCTGGAATTCCTAGTGATATATCATGCAGTTTAATTTTGTCAATAGTTTGAATTACATATCAAAGAAACATTCATGATTAGTACTGCCCAGTAATGCAGTTGTTACACAAAATACTTGTACAAACATGCAGCACTAGTTCATACTGTAGGCTGCATTTGAATGGATAGCATACAGTTGAAATATGTTTTCATGGAATGTAACTTCACTTGTAGCTGCAAAGGCTTTTATTTATTTATTATTTAACCTTCTTTTTCTTACACGTGTAAGTCCATTCTTGGAGGAACATATTCTTGGAATATGAAAGAGCATATTCTTGGAATCACTTTTATTCACACCTCTTGATGATGTATTCATTCCTTCCTCATGGTTTCGAGTTGGATTTAGAGCCTGATTTAAACCTGAGAAACAAATGGAAATGAACACCCACAGACACTGGCCCCTGTGGACTGGATATTGTACCACTGCTGTCTGTATTCTGTTCTTCTACTTCGTCCTCTCAGTTCTACATTGCCTGGCAACCTCACTTCTTTATTTACTCCCACACCAAGAGACCGTTCTCTCTTCCTACAGGACCATTTACAAAAGGCTTGAATGGTGCAATAGCAATCCCAACTATATAATATATTGTAGGTGGTTATAAGAGTGCAGTTAGCTTCAATAAACCTTAGTCAGTGGAAGGAAAGCTACATCAAGGTGCTAACTTTTTTCTTTTCCATATCATTTTCCATGGACCTTATTTGAACATGTCACAGAGTGAGGGGAGCCACAAGGGAAAAGGGAGAAAAAGGCAGAGTGTAGATTAATCCCACTAGACTCATTCCCTCTGGACAGAAGTCAGCAAATTCCCAGAAGACATCTACTTTACCATATTGCTTTGACTACCTAATTATGAACTATGAATATCACATCTGACATTTGCCAGTCTACATGTCATGCATCAGCCACTTTATGGCTCTAAAGGCTCGATTTGTCATGGCAGGTTGTATTGAATCTTTTACCTGAACAATTTCTCTCAACCCACTATGCTAATTAGGTCTTCCGATTGTTATGCTTTGACAAGTTACGCTAACTGACAAGTAGCAGCCTGTCTGGGTATTCAAAGAGTATGGCCTCTCAGCTCTACATCTGCACACTGCTGCACACCATCATGCCCATCTATGTGGTAGTGTGGGTATTGGAACATGACCATAAGGTTTGTGTGGGGTTGGATGTATACATGATCTTCCTTCATTTGGAAGTACACATTTATAAATGTATTTTTGGAAAAAGTATTGATATGATTACTATATGTCATGGGGAAAAAGGGGCCACATATAGAAAGCACGTATATTTCAACCCCTTTATGTACACTGAACAAAAATATAAACGCAATATGTAAAGTGTTGGTCCCATGTTTCATGAGCTGAAATAACAAATCCCCAACATTTTGCATACGCACAAAAAGCTTATTTCTCTCAGATTTTGTGCACATATTTGTTTACATCCCTGTTAGTGAGCATTTCTCCTTAGCCAAGATAATCCATCCACCTGACAGGTGTGGCATATCAAGAAGCTGATTAAACAGCATGATCATTACACAGGTGCTGGGGGAAATAAAAGGCCACTTTAAAATGTGCAGTTTTGTCCCACAACACAATGCCACAGATGTCTCAAGTTTTGAGGGAGCATGCAATTGACATGTTGACTGCAGGAATGTCCATCAGAGCTGTTGCCAGAGAATTGAAAGTTAATTTCTCTACCATTAGCCGTCTCCAACGCCATTTGAGAATTTGGCAGTACGTCCAACCGGCCTCACAACCACAGACCACATGTAACCACGCCAGCCCAGGACCTCCACATCCAGCTTCTTTACATTTACATTTACATTTTCGTCATTTAGCAGACGCTCTTATCCAGAGCGACTTTTACTTGCGGGATCGGTGCTGAGGAGTATTTCTGTCTGTAATAAAGCCATTTTGTGGGTAAAACTCATTCTGATTGGCTGGGCCTGGCTCCCCAGTGGGTGGGCCTGGCTGCCAAGTGGGTGGGCCTATGCCCTCCAAGGCCCACCCATGGCTGCACCCCTGCCAAGTCATGTGAAATCCATAGATTATGGCCTAATGAATTCATTTCAATTGACTGATTTCCTATATGAACTGAAACTCAGTAAAATCTTTGAAATTGTTGCATGTTGCGTTTATATTTTTGTTCAGTATAATTGTGTTCTATTGGGCATCTCTGTTTAAGTGTGAATGCACTCTATGTGCGCACACACGTGACAGTTAGTGGGTATGTGAGGGTTATTTTGCAGTGCATACAGTATGCAGGAGCTGTGTGTGCTTGTCAAACAGTAGGCTAACAGAGCCCTGAGGGCCTCCCGTTGGGGGAGAGGGAAGCACCAATCACACATCAGCTCACACACCATAGCCAGCAGGCAGGGTGTGGGCCTTACTGCATAGCTTCACACATGTCAAAAATGAGGGACCTGACCAAAACATACCCCAAAAGCACTGCAGCAGCTTTACATGCTGTAGGTGATATACTGTCAGCTGAATTCAAATGCGTACATGCTAAGTTACTGTAGATGTTTATGTTTTTAATATACCAGATCCCCACCTTTACTTCCAGGTTCTCCCAACTACCATGTAGCTATATATTTCAGTACAAATAAATAAAGGTTTACCAAAAACAGTAGTTGTCTCCCTTTCACTTTTTCCATTTCTGTCTTGATTGCCTGTCTAAATAAGTATCTCTCTAGTTTTGCAAACTTTTTTGCAAACTGTGAACCGCATTAAAAGCAAACGTTTCAGCTGCAGGATGAATTATTGTTTGTGCCTGTGTGTCTGTTCTAGCTGCCTTCCTGGGAGACATTGCTTTGGATGAGGAGGACCTGCGTATGTTTAAGGTGGACCGCATTCTGGATGTTATTCAGAGGTCCATCCAGACCTTCAACGACACAGATGCAGGTACAGTACAGGAGCCAGGCTGGACATGGAGGATTCAAGATTTGGGTCGATTTAGGGTGTGTTCACATATGACTGCCATCTGAGTTGCAAAACCATGTATGAATTTGAAATGAGGGGTTACATTTGTTTTCTGAAGGGATTGAGTTAAATTTGATTGAATGACCTCAACCCTGCATGGGGTTACATATCTGTTTGCATGTGTTTGTTCCAGTGAATGGTTCGTTGTCCAGTGAGAGCAATAGGAATGACATGTCTCCAGACAGCTATGGCCAGGGCTTCAGTCGCAGGAGGAGGGCTGCCACCTCCAGACCAGAGAGGGTGTGGCCAGATGGGGTCATTCCATACGTAATCAGTGGGAATTTCAGTGGTGAGTTCTGACTAGGAGATAGAGAGACCTTATATTGACTTGATTTTCAGATGCTTCATTGATTGTTAACGTCTCTCCATCAGTCTGTATATATCTACAGTATAGCTACATACCATAACTTTGTAGCATTATAGAGAATAAATAAGTATTTGTTTGTCTTTGATGTCCAATCATATAAGCTGTCTACTAATGTACTACATCAGTAATTCAATCCACTGAGACTCTCAGTGCAGTCCTTGATTAGGGCACTTGAAGGACCACCCTCCCTTTTAGGCAGCCAGCGAGCGATATTCCGTCAGGCCATGCGTCACTGGGAGAAGCACACGTGCGTGACCTTCATTGAGAGGACATCGGAGGAGAGCTACATAGTCTTCACCTACCGGCCGTGCGGGTGAGTGACAGGCCATTGTTGCAATAGGCCAGGGTTCTTCAATTCCGGTCCTGGAGGGCCGAAACACCTCTGTTTTTCATCCTCTCCTTCTAATCAGGGGCTAATTAAGACCTGGGACACCAGGTGAGTGCAATTAACTACCAGGTAGAAATAAAAAACAGAAGTGTTTCGGCCCTCCAGGACCGGGATTGAAGAACCCTGCAATAGGCTATAGACGCTTTAGCTGAGAACGCCACGAAAACTAAGCTCACTCTTCAATGCGGCAGAAGGCCGTGTGTTGTGATTCTGGATGGCCAGATAGATAGCAACAATGAGAAGAAACTGCGATGTGGGGAATTTTAAGTGACTCGTTTCAGCTAGTTTTATCTTGTTCTTTTCACTGAACGTCAATGCTAATATGGCAAAAATTCGCTAGCTAGCTAACCAACAACTGTAACGATGTATTTGAGAGACAAATTCTCATTGTGCAACTTATGTTGTCAATAGACATTGGAGACGAAATATAGTGTACATGTTGTCAACAACCTAAGCCAACTCCGTCTGTTTTGCCCCATAGTTGCGCCCACGTCGGTTTTGTTGCTAAACAACCAACCCGTCTATTAGGATACCAAATCTTCTCTTGTCTCTCCAGGAAAGCTCAATGCACGCACCTACTACTTAGAAGTCCCTGCTGGTAAATTACAGCTCTCTCCTGATTTTCATCAGTACCGATCCCTACAGCTCCATCACAGCAGAACATTGCCAGTTGCTTCTGGGTTGTGGCCATCTACGCTAAGCTGTCCTTGACAGAAAATATGTTTTTCCTATGCAAAAGAATGCACTTCAGGCAGGAACGCTTCATTTTAGCCTATATCTTCAGCTCCTGTGGTTTCAAACCTGGTGATTATCTCCATGAGCAGCAACTACGTGCCTCCCCATTGCCCTTAAACCTTTTCACAATGTCTGCCATTCAGACAGGGTTCGTACTGCACACTGCAGGACTAATTGCGCTTGCTTCTCATATTCTTTGCTTAAGACCGATTAGCACTGGCTACAAATATGTAGTCTAGCAGTAACACGCTCATCCTCGGAACCACATATAGATGCCGGTTCGATCCCCGCATCAGCCCTATGCATTTGGCATCCCGCTCCTCTTTCTCCCAGCTTCTCTGCTCCTGTCATTTCACAAATAAATACAAATATGAAAGGAGTTTGAAATTCTGTTCTCTTTAAAAAAATAAAAAAATAAAAGACTAGGAGCAATGCTGTGAGGTAGTTATTCTATACAGAGGATTTGATTCTAGACAGTGTGTAAGTACACTGTTTTTTGGCCAGGTCTCACTTGTAAAAGAGATGTATATCTAAATGTGACCGCTGGTAAAATATAGGATAAAAACATATTTTGTTGCCTGCATGTGCTGTGTTATTTTTTTTCAACGTGTTACTGTATGTTTTGAGTGTTTTTGCGCCTCCTACTGCCACGTCCCCCCCGCTCCAAAACTAGCTGAGATCGTCACAAATTGCTTGTGACAAAAAAGAAAACCTGGAATAGTGCCTCAGAGCAAAGTCTTTCGTCAGTTTCTAAATCTGGGCTTTCATGTGTGACTGACCACAGAGCTAGAGCTGTATTGTATTTCTCCAGTTGCAGAGTTTGACCATACTGGGTTATTGAAGTGTGCGGGGTAAACGGTCAATTCCATTTTCATTCAGTCAATTCAGGGGACAAATTAAAGTCAACTTATGAACTGAAAGAAAAGCAATAAGCACAAATCAATGGGTAGTTTTTCAATTCAATAAATGTAATAACAAGTTATTTGTGGGCTGAATTGACTGAAGTAAATGTTAATCAAACACAATCCGTGGGAAAAGGCCCACTGTCGCCCAAGCGCATATCCCCCTGAAAGACTGTGTCTCCCTCTACAGGTGTTGCTCCTACGTGGGCAGGAGGGGCGGTGGTCCCCAGGCCATCTCCATAGGAAAGAACTGTGACAAGTTTGGGATCGTTGTGCATGAACTGGGCCACGTGATCGGCTTCTGGCATGAGCATACACGTCCTGACCGCGATGAGCATGTCAGTATTATCAGAGATAACATCCAGCCAGGTAAGTCCCTCTCTCTCTGTCTGTCTCTGTCTGGCTGCCTGGCTGTTTAGTCACATTATTTAATAATACCTGATTTGAGTCTGACAGGTCAAATTGTTATTCTTCCCATTTGTCCCAGGACAAGAGTATAACTTCCTGAAGATGGAGCCAGGGGAGGTGGACTCTCTTGGGGAAGTGTACGACTTTGACAGCATCATGCATTACGCACGGAATACCTTTTCCAGGTTGGTACAAAGCAACTGATTAATCAAAGGCTCTGTTTGGTCCATTGGGTACTGTCTGGTTGGACATTCTACTCCTCAGGATCTACATTTAATGTATTCTGGCCTTCAGTTAAGTATTATTCACACAAGTACTTTGCTTTTCCCCTGACAATCTAGTCAGGTCGAATAGACATGTTATGCACTAAGCATCTCCAAAGAATCTGCATATTAGTTGTCTGGTATACAATAAATGAATAGTGCCATTTATTAAGTTATGTAAATTGATCATATTTGCATTTTTTTTTAAAGGCATCCCCCTCCCCCTGTGCATGATAAATCCTCTTATTAGTATACATGTTAGAATAACAATGTCACAGTCAGGAACTGATTGTCTTCCAGCAAAACTAACACTTTGCACATAGTTATCCTGCAAATAACCATGGGAAGCCATGGGGATTGGGTCCTGATTGGGATTGGCATGATTTCGCAGAAGACAGACGTCTTTTCATTTTAGTCTCGTGCATGGTGTTACCCTGTTGCTTTTTCTGTGTTTTACTTTTTTACCTCCACCAACACTTTGCAGGCCAGGGTCGTGGAGGCGGGCCAAGGTAAATATAGGGCTGCCAGTTGGTTCTTTGTATGTGACAATCTGGGCTGGAGTGGCCTTGTTCTCTGGCATTCAGGGATGGGCTCCACAGAGCCCTTTGGCACAGCCTAAAGCCCTCGTTCAGAACACTCTGTTTGCACATGCCTGCCATTCAAGGGTGCATCGCCATGGGAACTGGGTGATGGTGAGCTCCCCAACTGGCTGCTGGGGGACAGAAAGGGAGTTCAATAAAGTAGCAAAGTGTCAAACAGGAACCCCATGTGAAAATATCTTATTATGGCATACTCCTCAGCTGTCCCAACTCATGACTGCTTTTCCAGTGGAAATGTAGTTTACGAAAGTTTAATCAGGAAGGCTACGGGCATAGTGGGAATGAATACAAATGTATCATCATCAGCATAGCGTCTTGTTTCTTCTCCTCTTTCCTATTAGCCATGTGCGGAATGTGATTCACCTATTTACCTTAACCTACAGATGTAGGATCTTAATTGGAGCCAGTTTGCTGAGAGAGAGAGCGAGAGAAAGAGAGAGATCAAACAGCAGATCTCTTTGTTTCTTTGGACGTAGAACTAGCATCTCTGTTTTGTCCGAGTTTAAAAGTAAAACATTTGCCGCCATCCACTTCCTTATTTCTGAAACACAGGCTTCCATGGTAGGCAATTTTGGGCCTTCACCATGTTTCATCGAAATGTACAGCTGGACCAGAGAGAAGCGGTTTTTTTTACCTCAAGTGTATCAGCAACAAAGGAGTGATCAAATTAAGATCCTACATCTGTATAAGCACAATAATGCACATTACTCACGCTTGTTGTTTAACCCATGGGTTCACTCTGGCAATTATCACCTTCCTCTCTCTCAACCAACCAAATCTTGGGATGTATTTGTATGTCAACTTACCCTCGTTCTCTCACTTGCTTTTTCAGCAACAGTTTTGGGGTTCGATGCCAACATGGCTACCTGCCATCACATCATCTGGTGCTGAGGATCTTCCCTCAGAGATGAGGCCATTCCCCAAACTATTTAATTAAATGTCATATTGCATTCTGTCTTTGCTGTTCATTTAGTTAAGCCTGTACTCGATTGAACTGTTGTTAATGATGGTAATATCTAAGATGAATGGTTTTGAATTTTTGCGGTAAAACCAAAGTTTCTTCTTGTCCATCTTAATACAAATGAAAACTTAAGTTCTGCAAAGAGAGAATAGGTGTAGGTCTCTCTTATTGACCCTGTGTGTTTCTGTTTGTGTCTGAACTACAGAGGCATCTTCTTAGACACCATTCTACCTCGCTATGATGTCAATGGAGTCAGGCCACCCATTGGCCAGAGGACAAGGCTGAGCAAAGGGGACATCACACAAGCTCGCAAACTCTACAAGTGTACAAGTAAGACATATCCGACTTGGCAGGCCCCCTGACTGCTGGTTCTTCGGCTGTCCCCATAGGAGCACCCTTTTTGGTTCCAGGTAGAACCCTTTTGGGTTCCAGGTAGAACCCTTCCATTTTACCTGGAACCCAAAAGGGTTCTTCAAAGGGTTCTCCTATGGGGACAGCCAAAGAACCCTTTTAGCTTCTAGATAGCACTTTTGTTTCTAAGAGTGTAGGATTCTCACCATGTGAAATGTCTGAGAGAACATGCTGATAAACCCTGCACAAGGTCTGACTACTACCACCCCTGCCGATTCAAAAGATGACGACTAATGATTACTGTGTTTATTTTTCTGAAGACAAGACCATGATGACAAAGCTGAGACATTAGTAGATGAATGGAATTGCATTGTCATGGTCGAAAGGAGATTGATTGGTTCTTTGTTTCCAAAAATTGGAATTCAGTTTATTGTTGTAATCTGGAGAACTCAAGCCACAGGAATGGCCAACGTTATTACAATTCAACAACCAATAAATCAGCAACCATTCAAGTGCTTGGTATTGTGCCTCCTTTTTGAGGCTAAGGGAAATCTACAGTATGTTGAGACTTCCGAAACGAAAGCTTGTCTTTTTGAAACCCAGCAATGGTTTGTTTTTGCACACTGCCTTCTTTCTCTATTGTAGCTTATGCCATTCCTGTGGTGTGTTTTGAGTCCATTTCTTTTTTTACCATATTTTGTGGGCAGGGTGTGGGGACAGCCTACAGGACAGTAGTGGAAACTTCTCCTCTCCTGGTTATCCCAATGGATATGCAGCCTATGTCCACTGTATCTGGAGGATCTCTGTCACACCTGGAGAGAAGGTGGGTTGAAAACATCCAAGGGCTAGCCATCAAACTCTGTCTTGTGGAAATAGTTCACACTGAGTTTCTCAGTGAGTTTTATCAGTTCTAGGGTTGCAAAGCTACTGGTAATTTACTAAAGTTACCAGAATCTTCAGTAATTTTGGTAATTAACAGAAAATATATGGCAATTTATCGTAATTTTTGTAATTTATATTTGAATAACTTTAAAAAAAATGTTTTATTCATGTATTGTATTCATTTATTATATCTGTGTCCATATGTGACCGACCGCCTCGATTCGGTCTTATGTAGCAACATTTGAAATTGTGTTTTTTACATTTGATAAAAGTAGAGACTCAGAGCTAGAAACTGGTATATCATACACTGCAGTTGAGGAACAAAGTTGGGAAAGTAATTCTGCTTTGAAAGTTGATAAACATTTAACCCCACTTTTGAGAAAATGGCCCTTGAATGTTTTGGTACACCTACTGGAGAGCTCTTCTTTGTCTACACATATTCAGTATCGTTCACTCCCTCTTAAGCCTTAGCCCCACCCATCTCTTTAAGGATTCACGTGAGGCCATGTGGTAAACACACACTATAACAAAGTTTCTTTGTCACATGCAGAGGATACAGAAGGTGTAAGAGGTACAGTGAAATGGTTACTTGCATAGCAGCAATATCAAAAACAGAAAGTGTCCAGATAAAAATAGTTTATAAATATTTTATCGTTATTAGATGACGCTTACCCGAAACACTTGTCTAAATTGATGGGTCATGTGAAGGAAATGCTATAACCACCCCCCAGCCACATCTAGCTAAGTGGATGGGTCACTATTGTCTAGACATGTACACATGTTCATGAAATACAATAGATGGCCATAATCACCCCCAGACACACCTGGCTAATTTGATGGGTCATGTAATAATCTGGCCGAAATGGAGTCTTTTGTTTAGACAAACTAGCTAAACAATGAACCGGCATAATCCCAACTCATACTACTACCAATACAAACATTGTGATAGCTGTAGTATGAATCTGCAGGTAGCTAAAGCCAACAAACTAGCAATGCAAATGATTTTCTGATTCGAATAATATTACTACACAGATCGTACACGTAACGTTAGCTATCGAGCCAGCAAGCTAATGTTTGCTAGCTAACTAACAGTACGATTTAACTTGCAATAAAAACGACTTTCTGACTAAATTAGAAACTTATATCTGAAAAGGTGGCTAGACTCTTACCCGTATACATGGATGAACGCTTCATGGCAGACTGGAACCATTTAACTCCGTGGCATGTGCAGAAATTAGCCCATCACTTTTTCTAACTGATCTGTCGATAGCACCTGTTAAATTCAGGGCTTCAATGTTGTTGAGAGAAGTAGCAAAACTTTTGTAGTTCTCGATGGCTAACGTTATATCTTTCAAAAACGGTGCGGTAGAAAGGACTGTCAACACATACTGAACAGCTCACGTTATAGACAGAAGCATGCTACATGGGCTCCTGAGTGGCACAGCGGTCTAAGGCACTGCATCTCAGTGCTTGAGGCGTCACTACAGACCCCCTGGTTCGATTCCAGGCTGTATCACAACCGGCCCTGATTGGGAGTCCCATAGGGCGGCGCACAATTGGCCCAGCGTCGTCTGGGTTTGGCCGGTGTAGGCCGTCATTGTAAATAAGAATTTGTTCTTAACTGACTTGCCTAGTTAAATAAATGGCAAACCAATTCAAACATATCCAGCCCATGCATTATGTCAGCCAATCATGGCTAGCGGGAAGGTTCCTGTCTTTTTCCGTGGCTAAACCAACTAGGCTCGTAATGTAACAATTGTATTCGTATTTATGGATGGAATACATGTTTGTTATTAAGGCACATGAAAGGTCACATGTTCCAGAAGGCATTTCTGCCAAAAAACGCATTTTGATAAAAAAAATGTATGTTTACGTTCAAATGCCGCTCTTGTGAAGTAGTGACGTGCGACATATGCCTAGTTTCCTGAAACTAGTCACATATTGTCCATGAGTTTCTAGTAGATATACCATATGGTTGAAGAGAAAATAGCCTAATTAATGGAAAAAGTATTTAATCAACAATGGCATTATTTTCAATTAACTCTGCAACTCTTCCAACTATTGACTTTTTTCACAACTGCCACCAGTTTGACACTAAAACATTGACAACAAATACATATTGACATAGCAAAATAAATCAAGTTTGTAAATTAAAATAAAAATGATATTCCATGCAGAAACCCTCATATAAAACACCAGTGATATTCACTAAGTTGCTGGTTTATATTTAGGACAATGTTTTACAGCTCATTATATTTTACTTTTTTAAATCATTTTATTTAATTATTTGATATATTTAAATTGATAAAGCCACACAGAAGGCCAGAGATGATTACAGACGCCTAATCTGAAGTACCCAAAAGAGCCACTAGAGCTATTGTGATAGATTACATAAAATCCTTGAAAGATTCCACAATTCTGGTAGTTTACTGGTAAACTTTGCAACCTCTAATCAGTTCACTTGACAGCAAATATACCATATACTATAACGAAGGGGAGGATAGTTCTGGTTGGATTCAAGTGAGGTGCATTGGCTACATTGCCTGACAACTCATCCTGAATTTAATTCCACTGCTCTATCGATCGCTCGAGAAGAAATGCTTGTGGGCGTTTGACCTGAGCTATGTGGATGGGCAGTCAGGCTATTGGCTACAGTCTTTTTGTTTAGAATTGTAAAAAACTCCTTTCTTTCTTTTATCTCTCCCCATCTTCATTTCTGTCTGCCTGCATGTCTGTCTCTCTGTCTGTCTCTCTCTCTCACAGATAATTCTGAACGTTACCGCCATGGACCTCTACAGGAGTCACTTGTGCTGGTATGACCATGTGGAGGTCCGAGACGGGTTCGGGAGAAAAGCCCCTCTGAAAGGTCTTTACATGGAAGAAGATTTAGAGTAAAAGCCATCCATAGAGAACTCTCCAGAGAGGCCTGCTATCTACATCTGCCAATAACTCTTTCAGAAAACATCCAATTAAGTCAATGTTCACCTGAGATTTTGAAATCCTAGAGCAGAACAGAATGGTTAGAATGTACAATATGTTCAGAATAATAGACTGATGCATAAAGATCAGACATCGCCAGCTGTCTGTGTAATAGTGATAAACTATGCCTCGGATTCAATCGCCCCTTTTCTGCTAGGCACCTTTTAAAGGCAATGTTCCCTCGTTCACGGAGACCGCATTCACAGTAAACTTTGTTTTTGTCGGCACACTCGGAAATGACCTTTAAATGTAAATCGCACAATAAGGTGGATCTAATGCAGATCAGAATGAATCCCGGCCTAAGAGCTGCCTGCCTCAGTGTTATTAGTCATTACCCTGGAGTTGTTGTTGTGTTTTTGTTTTATGTTTTGCATCAGGCCGTTACTGTGGGGACAGTCTACCTGGCCCAATCGTTTCCACGGACAGTCGGCTATGGATAGAGTTCAGGAGCAGCAGCAACTGGGTGGGCAAGGGCTTCTCAGCCGTGTATGAAGGTAACATCAGCCATTTCACCATAGACCATATTGTTTATATTTGGTTTATATATATCTGCATATATATATATATAATATTTTTTTCATTTTTTAGTGTTTGAAAAAAGCCTTAGTTTTCTGCAAAATTCTAATTACGTAAACTCTATACACAGAAAACTCATGCTTACCACTATATTCTCATGATCTCAAAAGAAGGGGAAAAGGGGGAAGTTGATATTGTTGTTGGAAGAATTCATGGAAGGTGTAACCCCCTCCCTCTCCTTCCCTCTCTCACCAGCCATCTGTGGGGGAGAGGTGAACAGGGACAATGGCCAGATCCAGTCACCCAACTACCCTGACGACTACCGACCCAACAAAGTGTGCGTGTGGAAGATCACAGTAGCGCAGGATTTCCATGTGGGCCTCTCCTTCCAGTCATTTGAGGTAAAGGCTGTGAGGTGGAAAGGGAAGTGGAATGTAATTTTCACTCAATCCTGTACTTGTATGAGACACCCAGATACTGCTGAGCAGAAGGAATAATTTGCATTCAATCTGGGATGACAGCAGCACATCATCTTGCTGCCAATCATAAAGTCCAGATACTTGGAGATGATGGACGTGATGGAGACTTCTTCTTTATCACTTATAGGAGGATACTGCTATGTCGGTTTGAAATAATCATATTTAAAACCGACATACAGTGAGGGAAAAAAGTATTTGATCCCCTGCTGATTTAGTACGTTTGCCCACTGACAAGGAATTGATCAGTCTATAATTTTAATGGTAGGTTTATTTGAACAGTGAGAGACAGAATAACAACAAAAAAATCCAGAAAAACGCATGTCAAAAATGTTATAAATTGATTTGCATTTTAAAGAGGCAAATAAGTATTTGACCCCTCTGCAAAACATGTCTTAGTACTTGGTGGCAAAACCCTTGTTGGCAATCACAGAGGTCAGACGTTTCTTGAAGTTGGCCACCAGGTTTGCACACATCTCAGGAGGGATTTTGTCCCACTCCTCTTTGCAGATCTTCTCCAAGACATTAAGGTTTCGAGGCTGACGTTTGGCAACTCAAACCTTCAGCTCCCTCCACAGATTTTCTATGGGATTAAGGTCTGGAGACTGGCTAGGCCACTCCAGGACCTTAATGTGCTACTTCTTGAGCCACTCCTTTGTTGCCTTGGCCGTGTGTTTTGGGTCATTGTCATGCTGGAATACCCATCCACGACCCATTTTCAATGCCCTGGCTGAGGGAAGGAGGTTCTCACCCAAGATTTGACGGTACATGGCCCGTCCATCGTCCCTTTGATGCGTTGAAGTTGTCCTGTCCCCTTAGCAGAAAAACACCCCCAAAGCATAATGTTTCCACCTCTATGTTTGATGGTGGGGATGGTGTTCTTGGGGTCATAGTCAGCATTCCTCCTCCTCCAAACACGACGAGTTGAGTTGATGCCAAAGAGCTCCATTTTGGTCTCATCTGACCACAACACTTTCACCCAGTTCTCCTCTGAATCATTCAGATTTTCATTGGCAAACTTCAGACGGGCATGTATATGTGCTTTCTTGAGCAGGGGGACCTTGCGTGCGCTGCAGGATTTCAGTCCTTCACGGCATAGTATGTTACCAATAGTTTTCTTGGTGACTATGGTCCCAGTTGCCTTGAAATCATTGACAAGATCCTCCCGTGTAGTTCTGACTGATTCCTCACCGTTCTCATGATCATTGCAACTCCACGAGGTGAGATCTTGCATGGAGCCCCAGGCCGAGGGAGATTGACAGTTCTTTTGTGTTTCTTCCATTTGCGAATAGTCGCACCAACTGTTGTCACCTTCCCACCAAGCTGCTTGGCGATGGTCTTGTAGCCCATTCCAGCCTTGTGTAGGTCTACAATCTTGTCCCTGACATCCTTGGAGAGCTCTTTGGTCTTGGCCATGGTGGAGAGTTTGGAATCTGATTGATTGATTGCTTCTGTGGACAGGTGTCTTTTATACAGGTAACAAACTGAGATTAGGAGCACTCCCTTTAAGAGTGTGCTTCTAATCTCAGCTCGTTACCTGTATAAAAGACACCTGGGAGCCAGAAATCTTTCTGATTGAGAGGGGGTCAAATACTTATTTCCCTCATTAAAATGCAAATCAATGTATAAAAATTTTGTCATGCGTTTTTTTGGATTTTTTTTATTTATTCTGTCTCTCACTGTTCAAATAAACCTACCATTAAAATTATAGACTGATCATTTCTTTGTCAGTGGGCAAACGTACAAAATCAGCAGGGGATCTAATACCTTTTTCCCTCACTGTAGATGAGCTGTGAGTTTGTAGGACAGTTGGGCATCCTGTGTCAACGTCCTCCCCAATGTTCCTTGCCTTATCTCTACCATAGATTGAGAGGCATGACAGCTGTGCCTATGACTACCTGGAAGTGAGAGACGGGAACTCAGAGAGCAGTCCACTGCTGGGCCGCTTCTGTGGCCACGAAAAACCAGACGACATCAAGAGCAGCTCCAAGCAGCTTTGGATGAAATTTGTGTCTGATGGATCAGTGAACAAGGCCGGATTTGCTGCCACCTTCTTCAAAGGTCAGAGGTCAAGAATATTGTCCATCTGTGACTAGTGCTAATGATGACACAGGATTGGGTAATATTTGGCACAAAAATCCTTTATAAAATGTGGTACCAGGGAAGAATTATGCTTAATAATATAGGAGTTCACATTCACATCTGTGCAACCATCTTCTGATAATTAAACTGTATCCCAGGCCTTCACATTGACATCACTTGACAATTGCTGGTACATTTTGGGTTACATCATTATTATTTTGAAAATGTTCCAAGGTATGAGACTTTTTATTTTTATACAGTTTTTGGGTGAGACAGCGACCTTGAGTATAAATGAGGGAAATTAGGCACAACTCTCGTTTGTCAGTTTAAATTGTCATATTTTATTCAGCTGTATATTTTTGCACATCTTATCTGATGATGGACAGTAAAAGAGGGCATTTTGAATTGATAAACTAGAGTTGTGTCTTCCTCCTCATATAAGTTAATTTGATATACTTAGTATTTGTGGGCTTTACATGGAAGGCTAGTAAAGTTATTAAAATGTTTATTTACACACAGGTGCATATCCAGGTGCATATCCAGGTGCATATCCAGTGCATATCCAGTGCATATCCAGTGCACCTGTGTGTAATTCAACATTTTAATAGCTTTACTTTGGCCATTTGCTTTATGATGTACTTGTTTTTTCTGTGGACTAATAGGGTACACTACTTCAATGGGAGGGAAGTGGAACTGATGGTTTCTTAGAAATGTTTTGCTACATTTTCTCTTTCTTCCTTCATGGGATGTCATGACCTCTGGGTGAAATAGATGGAGTATATGATGAACTCTTTATTTCTGTGGACTGAAAATACAAAGGGAAGGATGTAGAATTGATGGTTTCCTAGAATGCTTTGCTAAATGTTCTCATTCTTCTTTCATCATGGCATATTACGACGACGTCTGTGCTTGCAAGAAGTTGACTATGATGAACATACAAAGGGAAGGAAGTGGAAGTAGTTATACAATGTGCAGTAGAACTGATGGTTTCTTACGGTTCCTTTCTCCTTCTTAATTGCATATCACACTGGCGTCTGTGGGTGGTAGAGATGGACGAGTGTTCTAAGCCTGATAATGGGCGCTGTGAGCAGCGCTGTGTGAATACCCTGGGAAGCTACCGATGCGCCTGTGACCCTGGCTTTGAGCTCGCCTCAGACAGACGCAGCTGTGAGGGTGAGTGCATGGGGTGATTACTTATCCATCTCCTAAAAACACCATCCATGTAGTATGAATCACACAACTTCACCATCCCACTCATTGGACAGTCTCAAGGTTATAGACAACTCAATCCACAGTCTCACATCACAAAATAACCATCTGTGCTATTGTCATAATTGAATAATGAGCTTCTCAGAAGGAGAAAAATATCCCAATATTGACACCAGTGTAGCTGAAAAGCACTCATCTGTCTTCTAACTAAATGTTGATATTCTTTATCACTTGGACATCAATGTGCCAGATGCTTACTGTGGAACTTCAGTCATGGTTGGAGGATGGAGAAATGGTGCCCATTGTATGCAGACTAGTGCTTAGTACTGTATGTCTTCATCCTCTGTAGGCTACATTCACATTACAGACAGCTAAGGAGCCTCCAGACACACACTGATTTATATACTCAGTGTCTTCTGCCACCTCAACAATGGTTTAATCATCCTTTATCGGAGGAAAGTGTGTTTTTATTACAGTCAGACCACTTCATCGCTGGTCTATTAAGAACAAGGAGGCGCTAAATGGATTTAGAAAAAGCTAGGATACATGCAAAGAGTATTTTCACACATTTCAGAGAAACAAGACCTGTACATTATGAAAAGCTCTCCATCAAGCTTTAATGGGCATCTGAGCCCATATGGAAAAGTTATATATGGCAATACAGGTATATGTATATTACTTATGTTTTATATGGACATACAGTGGGGAGAACAAGTATTTGATACACTGCCGATTTTGCAGGTTTTCCTACTTACAAAGCATGTAGAGGTCTATAATTTTTATCATAGGTACACTTCAAATATGAGAGACGGAATCTAAAACAAAAATCCAGAAAATCACATTGTATGATTTTTAAGTAAATAATTTGCATTTTATTGCATGACATAAGTATTTGATACATCAGAAAAGCAGAACTTAATATTTGGTACAGAAACCTTTGTTTGCAATTACAGAGATCATACGTTTCCTGTAGGTCTTGACCAGGTTTGCACACACTGCAGCAGGGATTTTGGCCCACTCCTCCATACAGACCTTCTCCAGATCCTTCAGGTTTTGGGGCTGTCGCTGGGCAATACGGACTTTCAGCTCCCTCCAAAGATTTTCTATTGGGTTCAGGTCTGGAGACTGGCTAGGCCACTCCAGGACCTTGAGATGCTTCTTACGGAGCCACTCCTTAGTTGCCCTGGCTGTGTGTTTCGGGTCGTTGTCATGCTGGAAGACCCAGCCACGACCCATCTTCAATGCTCTTACTGAGGGAAGGAGGTTGTTGGCCAAGATCTCGCGATACATGGCCCCATCCATCCTCCCCTCAATACGGTGCAGTCGTCCTGTCCCCTTTGCAGAAAAGCATCCCCAAAGAATGATGTTTCCACCTCCATGCTTCATGGTTGGGATGGTGTTCTTGGGGTTGTACTCATCCTTCTTCTTCCTCCAAACACGGCGAGTGGATTTTAGACCAAAAAGCTCTATTTTTGTCTCATCAGACCACATGACCTTCTCCCATTCCTCCTCTGGATCATCCAGATGGTCATTGGCAAACTTCAGACGGGCCTGGACATGCGCTGGCTTGAGCAGGGGGACCTTGCGTGCGCTGCAGGATTTTAATCCATGATGGCGTAGTGTGTTACTAATGGTTTTCTTTGAGACTGTGGTCGCAGCTCTCTTCAGGTCATTGACCAGGGCCTGCCGTGTAGTTCTGGGCTGATCCCTCACCTTCCTCATGATCATTGATGCCCCACGAGGTGAGATCTTGCATGGAGCCCCAGACCGAGGGTGATTGACCGTCATCTTGAACTTCTTCCATTTTCTAATAATTGCACCAACAGTTGTTGCCTTCTCACCAAGCTGCTTGCCTATTGTCCTGTAGCCCATCCCAGCCTTGTGCAGGTCTACAATTTTATCCCTGATGTCCTTACACAGCTCTCTGGTCTTGGCCATTGTGGAGAGGTTGGAGTCTGTTTGATTGAGTGTGTGGACAGGTGTCTTTTATACAGGTAACGAGTTCAAACAGGTGCAGTTAATACAGGTAATGAGTGGAGAACAGGAGGGCTTCTTAAAGAAAAACTAACAGGTCTGTGAGAGATGGAATTCTTACTGGTTGGTAGGTGATCAAATACTTATGTCATGCAATAAAATACAAATTAATTGCTTAAAAATCATACAATGTGATTTTCTGGATTTTTGTTTTAGATTCCGTCTCTCACAGTTGAAGTGTACTTATGATAAAAATTACAGACCTCTACATGCTTTGTAAGTAGGAAAACCTGCAAAATCGGCAGTGTATCAAATACTTGTTCTCCCCACTGTATATGGTGGAAACATATTTGCCCATATATGTATCCACACATTTAGGTACAGTTGAACTCGTTTTTCAACCACTCCACAAATGTCTTGTTAACAAACTATAGTTTTGGCAAGTCGGTTAGGACATCTACTTTGTGCATGACACAAGTAATTTTTCCAACAATTGTTTACAGACAGATTATTTAACTTATAATTCACTGTATCACAATTCCAGTGGGTCAGACGTTTACATACATTAAGTTGACTGTGCCTTTAAACAGCTTGTGATGTCATGGCTTTAGAAGCTTCTGATAGGCTAATTGACATCATTTAGTCAATTGGAGGAGTACCTGTGGATGTATTTTAAGGCCTACCTTCAGACTCAGCGCCTCTTTGCTTGACATCATAGGAAAATCAAAAGAAATCACCCAAGACCTCAGCAAATGTTTTGTAGACCTCCACAAGTCTGGTTCATCCTTGGGAGCAATTTCCAAACGCCTGAAGGTACCACGTTCATCTGTACAAACAATAGTACGCAAGTATAAACACCATGGGACCACACAGCTGTCATACCGCTCAGGAAGGAGACGCGTTCTGTCTGCTAGAGAGAAAGTACTTTGGTGCGAAAAGTGCAAATCAATCCCAGAACAACAGCAAATGACCTTGTGAAGATGCTGGAGGAAACAGGTACAAAAGTATATATATCCACAGTAACACGAGTCCTATATCGACATAACCTGAAAGGCCACTCAGCAAGGAAGAATCCACTGCCCCAAAACCGCCATAGAAAAGCCAGACTACGGTTTGCAACTGCACATGGGGACAAAGATCGTACTTTTTGGAGAAATGTCCTCTGGTCTGATGAAACAAAAATAGAACTGTTTGGCCATAATGACCATCGTTATGTTTGGAAGAAAAAGGGGGGTGCTTGCAAGCCGAAGGACACCATCCCAACCGTGAAGCACGGGGGTGGCAGCATCATGCTGTGGGGGTGCTTTGCTGCAGGAGGGACTGGTGCACTTCACAAAATAGATGGCATCATGAGGAAGGAATATTATGTGGATATATTGAAGCAACATCTCAAGACATCAGTCAGGAAGTTAAAGCTTGGTCGCAAATGGGTCTTCCAAATGGACAATGACCCCAAGCATACTTCCAAAGTTGTGGCAAAATGGCTTAAGGACAACAAAGTCAAGGTATTGGAGTGGCCTTCACAACGCCCTGACCTCAATTCTATAGAAAATGTGTGGGCAGAACTGAAAAAGCGTGTGCGAGCAAGGAGGCCTACAAACCTAACTCAGTTACACCAGCTCTGTCAGGAGGAATGGGCCAAAATTCACCCAACTTATTGTGGGAAGCTAGTGGAAGGCTACCCGAAACATTTGACCCAAGTTAAACAATTTAAAGGCAATGCTACCAAATACTAATTGAGTGTATGTAAACTACTGACCCAATGGGAATGTGATGAAAGAAATAAAAGCTGAAATAAATAATTATCTCTACTATTATTCTGACATTTCACATTCTTAAAATAAAGTGGTGACCTAAGATAGGGAATTTTTACTAGGATTAAATGTCATTAATTGTGAAAAGGGCCTTGGTCAGGGAGGTGACCAAGAACCAGATGGTGACTCTGACAGAGCTCCAGAGTTCCTCTGTGGAGATGGGAGAACCTTCCAGAAGGACAACCATCTCTGCAGCACTCCAACAATCAGGCCTTTATGGTAGAGTGGCCAGACGGAAGCCACTCCTCAGTAAAACGTACATGACAGCCCGCTTGGAGTTTGCCAAAAGGCACCTAAAGAACTCAGACCATGAGAAACAAGATTATCTGGTCTGATGAAACCAAGATTGAACTCTTTGGCCTGAATGCCAAGTGTCACGTCTGGAGGAAACCTGGCACCATCCCTATGGTGAAGCATGGTGGTGGCAGTATCATGCTGTGGGGATGTTTTTCAGCGGCAGGGACTGGGAGACTAGTCATGATCGAGGGAAAGATGAACGGAGCAAAGTACAGAGAGATCCTTGATGAAAACCTGCTCCAGAGCGCTCAGGGCCTCAGACTGGGGCGAAGTTTCACCTTGCAACAGGACAACGACCCTAAACACACAACCAAGACAACACAGGAGTGGCTTTGGGACAAGTCTCTGAATGTCCTTGAGTGGCCCAGCCAGAGCCCGGACTTGAACCCGATCAAACATCTCCGGAGAGACCTGAAATTAGCTGTGCAGCGACGCTCCCCATCCAACCTGACAGAGTTTGAGAGAATCTGCTTAGAAGAATGGGAGAAACTCCCCATATACAGGTGTGCCAAGCATGTAGCGTCATTCCCAAGAAGAGTCGAGGCTGTAATCGCTACCAAAGGTGCTTCAACAAAGTACTGAGTAAAGGGTCTGAATACTTACGTAAATGTGATATTTACGTTTTTATTCGTAAAACATTTCTAAAAATCTGTTTTTGCTTTGTCATTATGGGGTATTGTGTGTAGATTGAGGAGAATTATAATTTTTTTATCCATTTTAGAATAAGGCTGTAATGTAACAAAATGTGGAAAAAGTCAAGTGGTCTGCATAGTTTCCCAAATGTATTGTTTTTTAAATATGTAAAAAAGAAAATAATTTCTGGAATACATTTCAAAGCAATAAATACATTGAATAAAAAAAAAAATTCTGGGTACATTTTGCATGATGAAAATACATGTAATTATTATAATTTTTTCTATGTGGGTGTGAGATTTAGATATGTTATTAAAATATATGATCATATATTTTCAAATGTATGTCACATTTATATATGAGTTTTAAATATATTATCATATATTTTTAATTATAAACTGGGTGGTTCGAGCCCTGAATGCTGATTGGCTAACAGCCGTGGTATATCAGACCATATACCACTCACGCAGCTTGGTGAGAAGGTGACAACAGTTGGTGCAATTATTCGCAAATGGAAGAAACACAAAAGAACTGTCAATCTCCCTCGGCCTGGGGCTCCATGCAAGATCTCAGTTGCAATGATCATGAGAACGGTGAGGAATCAGCCCAGAACTACACGGGAGGATCTTGTCAATGATCTCAAGGCAGCTGGGACCATAGTCACCAAGAAAACAATTGGTAACACACTACGCCGTGAAGGACTGAAATCCTGCAGCGCCCGCAAGGTCCCCCTGCTCAAGAAAGCACATATACAGGGCCATCTGAAGTTTGCCAATGAACATCTGAATGATTCAGAGGAGCTCTTTGGCATCAACTCAACTCGCCGTGTTTGGAGGAGGAGGAATGCTGCCTATGACCCCAAGAACACCATCCCCACCGTCAAACATGGAGGTGGAAACATTATGCTTTGGGGGTGTTTTTCTGCTAAGGGGACAGGACAACTTCACCGCATCAAAGGGACGATGGACGGGGCCATGTACAGTCAAATCTTGGGTGAGAACCTCCTTCCCTCAGCCAGGGCATTGAAAATGGGTCGTGGATGGGTATTCCAGCATGACAATGACCCAAAACACACGGCCAAGGCAACAAAGGAGTGGCTCAAGAAGAAGCACATTAAGGTCCTGGAGTGGCCTAGCCAGTCTCCAGACCTTAATCCCATAGAAAATCTGTGGAGGGAGCTGAAGGTTCGAGTTGCCAAACGTCAGCCTCGAAACCTTAATGACTCGGAGAAGATCTGCAAAGAGGAGTGGGACAAAATCCCTCCTGAGATGCGTGCAAACCTGGTGGCCAACTACAAGAAACATCTGACCTCTGTGATTGCCAACAAGGGTTTTGCCACCAAGTACTAAGTCATGTTTTGCAGAGAGGTCAAATACTTATTTCCCTCATTAAAATGCAAATCAATTTTTAACATTTTTGACATGTGCTTTTCTGGATTTTGTTGTTGTTATTCTGTCTCTCAATGTTCAAATAAACCTACCATTAAAATTATAGACTGATCATGTCTTTGTCAGTGGACAAACGTACAAAATCAGCAGGGGATCAAATACTTTTTTCCCTCACTGTATATGGTCAATTTACCACGGCTAAGGGCTGTATCCAGGCACTCCGCTTTGCGTCGTGCTTAAGAACAGCCCTTAGCCGTGGTATATTGGCCATATACCACACACCCTCGGGCCTTATTGCTTAAATATCTGTCTCGTTCTTTGATATATATAAGGACATATATGGCCATATATTACCTTTCCGTATGGGAGGTTACATTAATTGGTGTTTCTTACTTCCTTTTGCATCAAGATGACATGAATTCACTTTGTGTGGTATAAACCTGTCACTTGCAAGTGCTAAAGTGCGTTTTATTTCCTTCTGCCACTCGAAATATGGTTATTCGAAATTGCTATACCTAGTGGATGCTTATTTCATTTTGTAGAGCTTTGATTTAAACCCTTGTACATATTTCATAACAGGACTACATAGGTAGAACCTGACTTTCTTATTAGCTTCACTTAATGTTGCAGATTGAAACCTAGGGAATAGTATTATGACCTCAGAGTAGTGTTGTGACCTTGCAACAGAGCAAAAATCACATTCACCTGCTTCATACTTTATTGAACTGTGAACCAGTTTTACCTACCTCTCCACCTTCCCTAAACTATAACTGTTATGATGTGGTATGAGGTGTGTTGCCTCGTGGCCACGTGTCCTTCCCTAATGTCAGCTCTGTATCCCCCCAGCAGCTGCGTGTGGAGGCTTCATTACCAAGTTGAATGGCTCCATCACCACTCCCGGCTGGCCCAAAGAATACCCCCCCAACAAGAACTGTGTCTGGCAGCTGGTGGCCCCTGCACATTACCGCATCACCCTGCTGTTTGATGTCTTTGAGACCGAGGGCAACGATGTAAGCATTATAGCCTGAGAACACCCAATAATGCTTACAAATGTTGTGAGTGGGCAGGAATGGGCATTTACAATGGCCTCGCAGTGAAAGTGACAATGAAGATCTTTCCTCATGAGGGAAATGATTTGTCTAGTCCAGTAAGCCAGTGTGTGTGTGCTGTGGTTTACTTTGAGTTATTCCATAGTACTTGATCCAGTTCCTCTTGATGTGTGTCTGACGTCCTATGTGGTCTCTTCTTCCCTCAGGTATGTAAATATGATTATGTGGAGGTGAGGAGTGGACTGACCGCTGACTCCAGGCTTCATGGGAAGTTTTGTGGAACAGAGAAACCAGAAACCGTCACCTCCCAATACAACAACATGCGCATTGAGTTCAAATCAGACAACACAGTGTCAAAGAAAGGCTTCAAAGCCCAATTCTTCTCTGGTAAGCCTTGAATTTTTTTGGGTTGCAACAAACATACATTTAAAGTATGTTTACACATGGTCAAAGGCTCAAACATTATAGTGTCACTAAGGGCTTACTGTAGATGGGTTTAGCAATATCTGACAATGTTCTGTTCCCATGCAGACAAGGACGAGTGCTCTAAGGAGAATGGAGGCTGCCAACACGAGTGTGTCAACACCTTTGGGAGCTACAGTTGTCAGTGTCGCAGTGGCTTTGTGCTGCATGACAATAAACACGACTGCAAGGAAGGTACAGGATAACTCTTATTTTAATGAATTTATCCATACATTTACATAGAGTTCTTTCTGTCCATACATGTACGTATCCATATCCATCCATCCAGTATTTACATACAGCCCTTGACATCATATTTTACATGCCTTATGACATCAAAGAGTTGGGGATATGATATGTGCTCTTGGATTACTGATTGAATCAGCAATGTTTCTCTTCCAGCTGGCTGTGATCATGTGGTGAGCAGTGTGTCAGGCACCATCACCAGTCCGAACTGGCCTGAGAAATACCCCAGCAAGAAGGCCTGTACCTGGGCCCTCTCCACCACCCCAGGCCACCGCATCAAAATGGTATGTTTACTGCTAGTGTCATGATCAAATCAAATTGTATTTGTCACATGCTTCGCAAACAACAGGTGTAGACTAACAGTGAAATGCTTACTTATGGGCCTTCCCAACAATGCAGAGAGAAATAATTGAAAAATAATAACACGAGGAATAAATACTCAATGACTAACGATAACTTGGCTATATACACAGGGTACCAGTACTGAGTTGATGTGCAGGTGTACGAGGTAAATGGGGTAGATATGTACATTTAGGTAGGGATTGGCATAGTTTTAATGACACCTCTTATGCTTATAATTTACCTTGTAACAGTACATAGTCATTAGCGGAAGAAGGTTCATGTAGATTTTTACCGTTGTTAATAGCTCACCACCTACCTCACTGAATCTACATCCACTTTTAAGGCTTTCAATGAGATGGACATGGAGGCTCATCTGGAGTGTGCCTACGACCACCTGGAGATCTACGATGGAAAGGATGGCCGGGCCCCCAGTCTGGGACGCTTCTGTGGCATCAAGAAACCCTCACCAGTCATCTCCAGTGGCAACGAGATGTTCCTGCGCTTCTTCTCTGACAACTCAGTCCAGAAGAGAGGCTTTGAGGCTTCACACAGTGCAGGTGGGCGACACATACACTGGCATTAGCACTAGCATTTTGTGATACCAGAAAGAAAAGGATTGAAATGGATAATTCTCATTGGTGCATACAGGGAGATGGGCGAACTGCTAACATGTTGTTTTGATTTCAGAGAAATTAGAATAATCAACTAATATTGATTGTATAATACATTATTCAACCTTTTTCATGTAGGCCTGGTCAATCCACTGCCATAACCTATTTAAGATATGAATAATAATAAATCATCCTTAAACCCCAGCAGACCAGTGGTAGTCATTCATCTTACCAAGACCTTTGATCCAGGTAGGGCTCATTTTGTCTCTCAGATCAATCAAAAAGACTTGCGTTTTCCCAAAAGACAACTCTAATTACTGGTAGGTTGAAAAGGATGTGCCAAAAGGATTTGATCCTGGGACCATTGTTAACCTCCATCGTTGATGATCAGCGCTCTGTGTCTACTGATGCAAATGTCTTCTTGTATGCTGATGTCAATGTCTCTGGTTTTTGACTCTCATCTTGTCTTGGTATTACATTATCCCTAACATACAATACATTATGTTTGTAATGTGTGATTCAGCATGCAGCGTGACAACATCTATTGTTTTGTCAGGTCCCCTGAATAATGAGATGATTCATCTGAAGGAATTCATCCTAAATGAGTTAAATATGAATTCATTAGTATGATTGGTGGTGACAATGGCCATGTTGCCATCTGGGTTTGTGATTTGTGGTCTCTTTCAACTAAGAAAACAAAGGGACAATAGGTCAGCCTTTTCAGATGCACAATCCCACATGGAATGTAGAGGAAAAACACTGCCTCTCAGATAATTATTTGTTGATAAATTGCACATTCCATATCTCAATGAGTTCCTTCTCTGAGGCTCTGTCCCTAATTTTGTGGCTGTGCGTTCTCAGAGTGTGGCGGAAGCCTGAAAGCTGAGGTCAAGACCAAAGATCTTTACTCCCACGCCCAGTTTGGGGATAACAACTACCCAGGGGCGTCTGACTGCCAGTGGGTGGTCTCCGCTGAAAAGGGCTACGGAGTAGAGCTCATCTTCCAAACCTTTGAGATTGAGGAAGAGGCAGACTGTGGCTACGACTACATGGAACTATTTGACGGTGCTGATGTTAAGGCCCCAAGGCTTGGCCGCTACTGTGGATCTGGGGTAAGGACGAACAAAGGTTTCAGTACACCTACTAGACTGTACATACAGCTACTGTACATAGATAGTGTTACTGTATGTAGCACTTCACAAAATGCCAGGGGTGTTTGCGTACTTACCCATTTTAGAGGTGTAAGTCTCTCTCTTTCTCTTTCTCTTTCTCTTTCTCTTTCTCTTTTTTATTGATCTTCCAGCCCCCTGAGGAAATCTACTCTGCTGGGGATGCCATCGTTATAAAGTTCCATTCTGATGACACCATCAATAAGAAGGGCTTCCATGTACGGTACACGAGCACAAAGTTCCAAGACACATTGCACACAAGCAAGTGAACCCCTCTTTACCAAGACTTAAGAGGAGCAGACTGTGCACCCCAAAGTGTTGACACTCCCAGTTCCCTAAGAGGAGCAGAGGCTTGGATAGCTACCCCCCATACCCCACTCCGCCCAAAGCCAGCTGTAAGGAGTCAAGCCATGCAGCAGTAGAGAGCGTTTTCGAGTTTGTATCATTTAGATTAGGGAGGGTGGACGAGAGGGTGGATATGTGGGGGAGAATTGAATTGAATTCCCCAAAAGTGTGTAATTTCCTCAAGATAACAAAAAGGATCCCACAGGCCTGTAAGGATCAGTGGGATGGTGGTATAACGGTATAGGATACAGGATGGTCAGGGTTTTAGGGAATACTCCCCAGTGCCCCGACCACCTCCTAACTTGAAGTCCAGCTGAGCCCTAACTTCTTGGGAAGCTAACCTTCCCACCTTGCCTTGGTTCCTAAATATGTCTATTTACTTTTGACTTAATTCTTGGCACTGTACTGTGTATCATTGAGGGTTGCACATTGATGACTAGGAAAAACGGATAGAACCGGGGAGTTTGTTTTGAGCACACAGTTGTAATTAGTATGGTCCTCCAATGCAGAATAGGGATGATATTTTCTTTCCCCACATGATTGATGTTAGCAGGACAAGAAAAATGAACATGTGTTGTTATTCGTTTCAAAGGCTAATAAATATAGATAAATATAGTGTAAGGTGGTGGTCTGTTCTTTTCCAATTGTTTTTATGATTTGTCCCAAATATAGACTCCCCTACGTATTTATTTGGACAGTGAAGCTAAAACACTTAATTTGGCTCTACACTCCATCATTTTGGATTTGAGATCAAATGTTTTATATGAGGCGACAGTACAGAATGTTACCTTTTTATTTGAGGGTATTTTCATACATATCTCTTTTACAGTTTAGAAATGAAAGCACTTAATTTATCTAGTCCCCCCATTTGAAGGTGTCATAAGTATTTGGACAAATGCACTTATAATGTATTAAAGTAGTCAAACATTTTATTATAATCTCCAATATTCCTAGCGCACAATGACTACATCAAGCTTGTGACTCTACAAACTTGTTGGAACCATTTGCAGTTTGTTTTGGTTGTGTTTCAGATTATTTTGTGCCCAATAGAAATGAATGGTAAATAATGTATTGTGTCATTGGAGTCACTTTTATTGTAAATAAGAATATAATATGTTTCTAAGCACTTCTACATTCATGTTGATGCTACCATGATTACGGATGATCCTGAATCAGTCCTGAATAATGAGTGGGAAAGTTAGAGGCACAAAGATTATACCCCCAAAACATGCTAACCTCTCACCATAATCAATAACAGGGGAGGTTAGCATTTTTTGGAGGGTATGATATTTATGCCTCTTTAATTTTCTCACTCGTCATTATTAATGATTCATTCATGGTTATCCGTAATCATGGTAGGATCCACATTAATGTAGAAGTGTTCAGAAACAAATTATGTTCTTATTTATAATGAAAGTCACTTCAAAATGACACAATACATGATTTACCATTAATTTCTATTGGGCACGAAATAATCTGAAACACAACTAAAACAAACTGCAAATGCATCTCAAGCTTGTTGTAGTTATTGGTGCTAGGAATATGGGACTAAATAATACAACTTTTGACTAATTTAATACACTAAAAGTGAATTTGTCCAAATACTCAAGATGCATTCAAAGGGAGGGGATTAGATACATAAAGTGCTTTCATTTCTAAACGGTAAAACATGTGTGTATGAAAATACCCTCACATAAAAAGTGCTCCTTTACATTTACAGACGCTCTTATCCAGAGCAACTTACAGTAGTGAGTGCATACATTTTCATACTGATCCCCCGTGGGAATTGTAACCCACAACCCTGGTGTTGCAAGCGGCACGCTCTAACACAGTTGACGTGTACCTATGATGAAAATTACAGGCCTCTCTCATCTTTTAAGTGGGAGAACTTGCACAATTGGTGGCTGACTAAATACTTTTTTTCCCCACTGTAATTGTATCAGCCTGCATGGTGGAATGAGAATGTTTTCCTCAAAGTGCTACTGCTAATGGTATACAAAAAACATCACTGTGCAGTTTTAAAATGCTCTCTCTCTCTCTCTCCCTCGCTTTCTTGATTAGTCTATTAAATCCAATGAAGTAATGACTTATTGATACATAATTTATGCCCTTGGAAGGCCTTGTAGGAGCTACTCTGCTCAGATTGCTCCACTGATAATAGCGTAGGCCTATGCCATTATGTTAAGTCCAGTTTCCTTCCAAAACTAAATTTAGAATAATATATATTCTTTAAATATGTAAATGAGAGGGGAGAAGAGCATATGAAATGTACTCTTGTGGAGATTATGTAACTTCGAAGTCTGACATGCTGATCCTGTGTAAAAAGTGGGTAGCACTAAATGTTATGGTATTGTACTGTTTCCACAGGTACTACTAAGGTACTTGATATGGTGCTAGTGGTACTTGTTTTATTGTATCCCAAAGAAACAAAACAAGTAATTCACCAGTTGTTGTGTTAGAACCTCTGCTGCGTTGCAGGCTTCCATTTTATGAATGTCTTGTGATGTTCTGCGGACCGTGTTACCAACCCATCTCCGTTACCGCTCCTGGATGCTGATAGAGAGGTTTATCAGGGATTTCTAGGAAATGGTCCATCCATTTTGACTCATAACTCAGCTCGGTTCAATGTACTGTAGGCTAAGCCAAATGGATCACAGGAAGAAAGAGTGACACAACCACACAGAAAACTCTCTTCAAATGACCTCTTAGTGAGTTTCCTCTTTCCTGTGCTCTGATATGCACAAATCCACCATGCAGAAGTGTGTTTATGCCTGTTACTGTTTCTGCTGAGACTGTGCAGATCAAATAACAGGTTCTATTTCAACACAGACACAAAACGAATTGTTATTTATTTTGAACGGTATCGTGAGGTGTACGTTTGAAATTCTGATGATATCCAAAATTCATAAATACATTATGATTATGCATTGAAAATTACTTATTCAAATTGTTGGCGCATTTTTGTCTCAAAATACTGAACTGCTGTACATTGTACACGATAAGGCAATTTTGTATTCATCATTCCGTTTACGGCAGTCAGGTACAATTTACGCTGTAATACTGCAAAAGGTTATTGCGCATACATAAGAATGATAACAAAAACATTTAACAAACCTTGATGGTGAAGCTCTGGCCCACATCAAGATGACAGTTTTAAAATGTACTACTTACTCTTTCTAACATCTCAAAACAATATGACCGTAGTATTTTGTGTCAGTTGTTTTTTTACGTATCTTATTATCTGACAGTTATATTTTGAGGGCATTTTAGCACCACACCAGTGTAAGGCTCGACTCTTTGCGGGGTATAGATACGTGCCGCGGCTGTCAGATTTTGGGAAGGAAGACTTTGAGGGGCTCATTCTCATGCACTTTATCCAGGAATCCCAGATTGAAGTAGGGATACAACGTCTCTGTGAAGGTTTCACAGAATGTATAGAGATGTGTCATGCTCTCTGCATTGTAGAAAGACACCAGACCCCTCTTATAATCCAGATATACCCCTATCCTAGCCAGAGGCTCCTCCAGTGACAGCACAGTAGGGGGCGATGTACAGGCCATGTACTGTATTCCATAGGACAGGGACAGGGTCCAGAAGCCATTGGCTGGCAAGGCATTGATTACTCCCTTCCTCGATACAGTCTCTCTAGCCACACCCACGGTCCACACAGTGCTGCTGTAGACCTCGATCTCCCAATAGTGGCGGCCATGAGTGAAGCCCTGACTGCCCAACAGGGACAATGCAGCATTGAAGCGGTTGGGGTTGTCCTGGACAGAGTGGTTGAAGGTCTGGTAGCGGACACAGGTGAGGGAGGAGGTCAGGCTAAGCCAGGGGTTGGCCGTGCTCGAGTTGAAGGTGATGGCGGCCGGAACTGAGAATAAGGGAAACCGAGGTGGTAAAGTTAGGTATCGTATGGTTTAAATGCCATGACACAGATACACAGCGTTACAATGTGAACAGAGTATAATTCTCAGTAGCAGTTTCAACTTCAACTTTCCATTTTAAATAAGAGAACAACCATCAAGTAGTAAATTCTGGGCAATTAATGTATGTTGCAGAGCAAAAATAGTTGCTGAAAGCTCCTGAATTATTGCTCATGAGTGCTGTAATTGTAATTCACTCTACTAAAGGTTCAGTGGAGGCTGCTGAGGGGAGGACAGCTCATAATAATGGCTGGAATGGAGTCAATGGAATGGTACCAAACGTGGTTTCCATGTGACTGATACTATTCCATTGACTCCATTCCAACCATTACTATGAGCCGTCCTCCCCTCAGCAAGCCTCCACTGTAAAGTTGAGTGCCTTACAGTACCTGGGTAGATGCTTCCTTTCAGTGATTTCCACACTCGGTACTGCAGGGGCCCTGCGAACCGACCCTCACACAGACTGGGAGCCGTGAGAGTAGGCTTCTCAAACTTGGGTGACGGCCTGCCAAAGACAACACAAGCTTCAGACAATACATATCAGAAACAGGAAAACTCCATTATGGAATAACAATCTAAAACGGCCCACGTCCCACCACGCTCTCACCTCTGGAGCAGGGTCTTGATATTCTGGGACGAGACAGGAAAAGAGGAGAGAGTGCTGATTAATTTTGGTAGTGGGTAAAAAGAGAGAAAGCAGTTTTCCACATGACATCACTGTCTGAGCTCACGCTATCCCGGCCCTCTGGGATCTCACAGTGGTTGGGGGAAAGTCCCTGGGTCTGAGCCCGTCCCTATAATCTCCTTATCCCCACCATCGACCAGGAGTGAGGTCATGGGCCCACATCCTGCCTGTGCTCCACCCTGAAGGGTTCCTCCCTGCACTCTGGGGGGCCATTGTGTGTCTTTTATGTCTTTGTCATTGATATGGGTCTTGTCCTTGTAATTTATTGATGATGCTGAGTGAATTTCCCAAGTTGGGATCAATTAAGTACTACTCTACTCATTGCTATCAGCAAGACCTTCCTGTAGAATGTCTAGAATGGTTACTTTCTACATTATTACTGCAGATGTAAATGTCTAGAAGTGTGCAAGCTAGTTTTGTCCTCCCATCCAGTACATTCTTTTCAAACAGCACAAGCAAAATAACATAAAATCTAACCTAAAACTTTTCAGTGTGAAACTCATTATCGTATTTTTCACATTCCCCATCAAGGATGCTCATTGAGTTACTTCCCATGTGAAATTCCACCAGGCTAGAATAACTTCAGTAGGTAAACAGTAGCCCTGCTCTGTCTCTCACCCGCAGCAATGTAAAGGTGTCCTGCTCTCTCAGCTTGTCCTCGATCTCATTCAGGGCCCTCTGCAGACGGCAGACCTCCACACAGAGCAGGGCCTTGTGTTCGTCCAGCCTGATCAGCTCCCTGCGCTCCTCTGTCTTCAGCTTCACCTGAAGCAGCTTCTCTTCCTGGTACAGGAACTGGTGCAGGTCGCTGAACAGGGCCTCGATGCGCTGCTTCAGGTCTGCCGTGTGCTCCTGGGGGGACAGAAAGTGTGTGGGGTGGGGGATCATTAGCAATGGCAGTTAGTTCGAGAGGGTTGAGGTTTATGAGACACTCAAGGCTTAAGTGCAATGTATAGATTGTTACCAGGTGAAGATACTAGAGAGTCTCACCTTGAGCTTCTTGACCTCGTCCTCAGTCTCTCTCTCACATTGCAGGGCCGTGTTCAGCTCCCCTTTCAGAGAGTCCATGGAACTGTTGAGAGACGCCTGCATGGCCAAAACAAAGCAGTAGCATGACTCTAAGTTGGCATCAGCCTTCTGTTCTCTACACCAGGCCTTACGGTAAATACAGTAATCTGCTCTTGGAGTGAGCTGGCAAATGAATGTTATGGGAAACAAGCCAGATGCACCTCCAAACCAGACAATGTGGGGAGAATAATGAGCAGTTTGTCGGACAGAAAAAAAGTGACATGTAAAGTTGTGACAAATCATTGACATTGTAGTTGTTGATGCCAAGTCACTTTAAGTTATTTTGTGCCACATTTAATCAAATCAACTTTTTTTGCTTAAATTACTCCCAAGCATAATTCTACTGCTCAGTCCATAGCACCACCTGTCTTCAATTTCCCCTCCAACTGGGAACCTTGGCTTAGTTGTTTTTTAACCCTAGAGCTAAGCCTTTTACAAGCATTCTTTGAAAAATGTAAGAGTGTAAAAAGGCAATACAAGTCAAATAGAATTTGGACTTACCCTGTATCTCTGCTGTGCCTCTTGCACACACACCATGGTGTGGTTCCGGTGCTCCTGAGAGAGTCCACACACCAGACACAAAAGCTCTTGGTCCTCCTCACAGTAGAGCTTCAGCTCCTCTCGGTGCCGGCCACAGCGTGGGGCAGGAGCAGGGGCAGGGCTCCTCTCTGGTACCCCCATGTCCCCCAGCAGTCCCTCACTCTCCTCCAGGCCCTGGCAGTAGCTCTCCACTATGTTAGCCACGATGCGGTTGGGCCGGTAGCTCTGGCCAGGGAACGCCTTCCTGCACTGGGGACAGGATCCGGACCCCCCCTGGACCTGGCCTCTGGGGCCCGTCCAGTAGCCAGCGATACATGCCTGGCAGAAGGTGTGGTCGCAGGGCAGGGAGACAGGATGCTTGAAGAGATCCAGGCAGATAGAACAGGTCAGGTCTCGGCTGAGTCGCTGTGCTGAGCTCTTGGATACTTGCCCAGCCATACTAGACGACCTTGGCTTTTCCTTTGTAGTTTGCTTTGGAAGCTCCCCCTCCCAGTATTTGGAACTTTTCTTGTCTGATTTCTCCACCTTGACGTTGTGTGGAGACGTTAACTGGAGTTTCTCCACCTCTCTGTGATTCTTACTTGTTATGTTCATTCCTTTTGTCAGACTTCTCGTTTCTTTGTGCTAGAGTATGAAAAATGTATGCACTCACTAACTGTAAGTCGCTCTGGATAAGAGCGTCTGCTAAATGACTAAAATGTAAAATGTAGATTGCCAGCTTCTTAGACGTCCTCCTTCTCCTGAGTGTTTGGCTCCTCTCTCTCTCTCTGGTCTCCGCTCTGACTCGGCTCAGTCTTCCTGTTGATTGTGGGAAAGGAAGGGGCTGGTGAGGAGGCGGCCTCTCTGTTGCTCCATCCCAGATAGGCAGGGGTGCTCTGTGGGCCCCCTTCTAAACACCCCCTCTGACGTCAGAGCTACAGTCAGGAAACTAAGGCAGGCCAGCCATGGTCACTCTATCCTCTGATTGTTTGTGTAGAGAAGTTAGGGTTGTAACTGCAGTGCAGTCCTGCTTCTTGAGCAGAAAAAGGTTGTTCATAATCCACTTTACTATAATGCTTAGTTCTGGGAATCAGTTAATCCCTAATGTGTGTGCCTGTGTGTGTGTTTAGGCCTACAGTACTGTATGTGAAAACTGTGAGTCAAAACAGATGTGCCCTATCTTCTATTTAGCTGGCTGGAAAACTACAAACATTTTGCATGACAGTAAACAATGGTATTACATTATTTCAAAGATCCATAAACTGTAACAAGACGGACAAAATATATAATCAACTGGCAGAAATTGTATAAAAATATAGAAGTGAACAGTGATGGCTGCTCTTCTCTATAAACTCCTACGTGTGGGAGCCTACTGTGCTTAAAATGTACCTTGAAGTGTATACTCGCACATCTGGAGCTCCAGTCAGCTATACCCAACTTTACCCATGGCCATGTGAGTACCCTCTAGCAAACAGGTTTTCCATAATTGAACTTTCCAATAGAAATGTTTGAAGTTATTAGTGAGTTCAAAGCAATTATGTTCAATAACCAGTACAGCGTCAGCCTGCGCTAGCTACTTACTTTTAAGCACACTCCACTGTAGACAAACACCTTGTCAAACACTAAGGGTTGTGTCACGTTCGTTCATCGACGGGACGGACCAAGGCGCAGCGTGATATGCATACATGTTTATTTGACTAATAAACACAACGACAAAACAACAAACGACACGTGAAGTCCAAGGTACACAAACAACATACCTAACACGGAACAAGATCCCACAACCCACTAGTGCCAATAGGCTGCCTAAGTATGGTCCCCAATCAGAGACAACGAGCGACCGCTGCCTCTGATTGGGAACCACACCGGCCAACATAGATCTAGACATACTAGAACTTCAACATAGAAATACACAACATAGAAACTACAAACCCTGACTCAACATATACGAGTCCCCTGAGTCAGGGCGTGACAGTACCCCCCCCCAAAGGTGCGGACTCCGACCGCGCAACATAAACATAACAGGGTAGGGGCCGGGTGGGCATTCCGCCTCGGAGGCGGATCCGGCACAGGACGTGACGACCTCTCACTCTTCGCCTCCCTGTTGCGCCCCTGGTCTGGTCTAGACCTCGGCGCGTTGCTTCCCCTCTCCTTCCTCCCACTATACTCCAAGCCCTGTCTGGACCCTGGTGTGGGAGACCCCGAACCTGGAGAGGGGCTGACGTCTGGGTCTGGACTGGAGCCGCTGACCGGAGCTGGACCGGGCACCGGTGGAGCGGACTCCTCAGGCTCCGGACTGGAGCCGCTGACCGGAGCTGGACTGGGCACCGGTGGAGCGGACTGCTCTGGCTCCGGAGTGGAGACGCTGACCGGATCTGGACTGGACCCCGGTGGAGCGGACTGCTCTGGCTCCGGACTGGAGCCGCTGACCGGAGCTGGACTGGGCACCGGTGGAGCGGACTGCTCTGGCTCCGGAGTGGAGCCGCTGACCGGATCTGGACTGGACCCCGGTGGAGCGGACTGCTCTGGCTCCGGAGTAAAGCAGCTGACCGGTGCCGAACCAGGCACCGGTGGAACAGGCACGGGCCGTGCCGGACTGGACACACGCACCACTGGCTTGGTGCGAGGAGCAGGCACAGGCCGGACCGGGCTGGCGACGCGCACCACTGGCTTGGTGCGAGGGGCAGGAACAGGCCGGGCCGGGCTGGCGACGCGCACCACTGGCTTGGTGCGAGGGACAGGAACAGGCCGGACCGGCCTGGCGACGCGCACCACTGGCTTGGTGCGAGGGGCAGGAACAGGCCGGGGCGGGCTGGCGACGCGCACCACTGGCTTGGTGCGAGGGGCAGGAACAGGCCGGGCCGGGCTGGCGACGCGCACCACTGGCTTGGTGCGAGGGGCAGGAACAGGCCGGGCCGGGCTGGCGACGCGCAACACTGGCTTGGTGCGAGGGGCAGGAACAGGCCGGGCCGGGCTGGCGACGTGCAGCACTGGCTTGGTGCGAGGGACAGGAACAGGCCGGGCCGGGCTGGCGATGTGCACCACTGCGTTGGTGCGAGGGGCAGGAACAGGCCGGACCGGGCTGGCGACGCGCACCACTGCCTTAGTGCGGGGAGCAGGAACGGGCCGGACCGGACTCACTTGTTTGGTGCGAGGAGCGGGACTGGGTTCCTTTATTAACCCCCGCTCCATCTGCTGCCTAACCAGCTCCTCTCGCCGTGCCTCTACACTTTCCTTCTCCCTTTTAGCCCCCTGTAGCCTCGTCATCCACCCCATGTGCCCCCCCCAAATTTTTTCTTGGGGTTGCCTCTCGGGTCTCCGTCGTCTGCACGGTTGGCGCCGTTTCACCTCTCCTGCCTGGGCATCTACCTTCGCCCATGGCCCTTTCCCCGCAAATATCTCCTCCCATGACCACCATTTGCCCACCTGTGACATGGCTATTCGCTCTTCCTGGGCACGCTGCTTGGTCCTAGTTTGGTGGGATCTTCTGTCACGTTCGTTCATCGACGGGACGGACCAAGGCGCAGCGTGATATGCATACATGTTTATTTGACTAATAAACACAACGACAAAACAACAAACGACACGTGAAGTCCAAGGTACACAAACAACATACCTAACACGGAACAAGATCCCACAACCCACTAGTGCCAATAGGCTGCCTAAGTATGGTCCCCAATCAGAGACAACGAGCGACAGCTGCCTCTGATTGGGAACCACACCGGCCAACATAAATCTAGACATACTAGAACTACAACATAGAAATACACAACATAGAAACTACACACCCTGACTCAACATATACGAGTCCCCTGAGTCAGGGCGTGACAGGTTGAAGTCATATTTTGAGCATATTACCTCTCTAATACATTCTGTTCTGAAAGTATATTGACCTTAGACTCAGGTTATGCTATTATGCAAGTTATGAACACAATATGCAACCATTTCTCCAAGATTCTTGACAGGGTGCGTATTTACTCTGCTATTGGTGTCTAGTTTTCCAAGCAACAAGCATAATTAGCTTACTACTTGTTAAACTGAGTGTCTGACATTTAACCCTTAAACTGTATTTTTGCCAGTTATTGTCACATTGCCTGTTTATCCTGGTCTGTGGCTGACCATGTAATAATGTAATGACAATGTGGGACCCGGCAATACAGACTTGTGTGTGTGTGTGTACTTGTCTTGCATACTAGGTCACTGTATTCTAGGTCACTACAATTAAAGAAGCACAAATATGTCACAAACTACGGGACACAGTGTAGACAGTTTCAACTCAGTTTACTCCGTCATAAATCCCATATTGTCCATGACACAGGAATGTCGTCCCAAGCAAGAGTTCAGGTAAGCAGTACATACAGGTAAGCAGTACATTCAAGCAAGTTGTGATGATCCTGCATTGCGAAGGCATGCAGCCATCTGATAGGCCTTGTGGTTGAGGAATTCGCTGCTGACACCCCGGCTGGGCCTTTGCTTGGTGCGCAGGTCCATGGACCTCTCTCCTGGGGTGACCATTTTGTCCCTCAACAGAGTACAGCGCAGCCCCCCCAGGCTCACTCCCTGTGTCTGGATGGCCTCTCTCTCTCTGGCCAGTATCCTCCTAATCTCACGCCGGGTCAGGTGTTCCAGTGATCCCCCTGGGGTGGCTGCCATCACCCTGCGGGTACGGACGTTCACCAACGCACAGTCTGCACACTGGCCCTCAAACATCAACCTGTCCACATAGTTCTGCAAGCTGGGCAACATCATTCCTGGGGAGGGGGTGGTGGGATGTGTCCCTGAAAATATTTATTTATTTTAGCCTGAGATAATGTAGGCACTGTGCAGAATGGTGATCAAGTATGGAGAGAATGTATTATCTACCAATATGTGTCCATATTGTGAATTCCCTAAAAACCTACCTTGTTGGTGTCAGTGAAATAGTGCCACTGTGTCAACTGAAATTGTCACAGACTTCTGTGATGTCACAAAGGATAACTAATAATGTCATAATGTCATCCCCCTTTGTTGCACAAAGCCTACCACTGAATCAGAAGCAGAATACAGACTATGTGGCCAAAGTGCAAGTCTGCCATTACCTGTCTTATAATGCACATACAGAACCTAGGAATGGCAGGAGATGGAATTGTATTACCCATGGACATACTAAGCTGAAGTGGGGTGGAGAGAATGAGAAAATAAATAAATCAGTGTTTGATTCAATTCATAACGTCTGATCATTCCAAGTCTAACAAAATGTTAGTTTCCAACAAAATACCGGACTATTGCTGAAAACAAATGTATCCAGTACCATACAAACAATCCCTACCCCTCACATCATGCCAGATTAGTCATGTATGTATTTATTTGTGCAGCATGATTGCCTTGTAGACGGTCTGGAACACAGATTAAATTAAATGTCTCTGAGCAGGAGCAGGAGGATAGTGAGAGTAGCCTGAAGACTAACACTCAATTATTTTGCTGTTCTGTAAACTAACGTCTGTGGGCGTGGTGTAGCGTTTAGCTGAAGCAAGGAGTCTGGGTAGCCAGGCAATAGTGGGAGTGCCCCTAGCGCAACTTCAGACTTGTAGCAGCAGCTAGCTAGTGATCAGCTGATCCCAGATACTGCTTGCCAGATCAGCAAAGAAAACATGTAAACTAAAGCAAAATGTTTGAGGCACGATTGACTCAAGGTCTAATCCAGAGAGGAAGATGCGAAGCGAGAGGTTTTACTCTGCCCAAAATCTGTCCACAAAAAATAAGTCCACGAAGTGAGGAATTTTTATATGGAGGTCAATGAGTGTGCCAAATTTGGTACGGAAGGCTTATTTGATTGAATAGAAGTTTCGTAATGGTTATGTTGTTACGAATGCACTGATATAAGTGGACCACGTGTTGGGCTGTTGCGGTGACGTATTACCGCCACAACTCGCTAACAATGGTCATTAGTGGCCTGGTACTCAGCGCTCTATTGTCCCTCTAACCACTCTGACATCAATGCAAATGCAATCGAAAATCAGGTCAAACAAGTATCATCAAAACAGTATCATGCTTTTAAAACTCACCACAGGTTGAAATTGAGTGGAAAACATGGTTGTTGTGGATGTTGTTTCAAATCCAAACACAACGAAATGGACAGTGCTTTCTAAGGTGATGATTAATTAACCCCCATACAGCATATTAGAGGCTTATGCATATGCATAGGCCTACAGTGCATTCGGAAAGTATTCAGACCCCTTGACTTTTTCCACAGTGGCTACGTTACAGCCTTATTCTAAAATTGATTACATTGACGAGGAAAGAAAACAATCTACAAACAATACCCCATAATGACAAAGCAAAAACAGGTTTTTAGACATTTTTGCAAATGTATTAAAAATAAAACACTGAAATAACGCATTTACATAAGTATTCAGACCCTTTACTCAGAACAGCCTCGAGTCTTCTTGGGTATGACGTTACAAGCTTGGCCCACCTGTATTTGGGGAGTTTCTTCCATTCTTCTCTGCAGATTCTCTCAAGTTCTGTCAGGTTGGATGGGGAGCGTTGCTGCACAGCTATTTTCAGGTCTCTCCAGAGATGTTCGATCGGGTTCAAGTCCGGGCTCTGGCTGGGCCACTCAAGGACATTCAGAGACTTGTCCCGAAGCCAGTCCTGCATTTTCTTGGCTGTGTGCTTAGGGTCGTTGACGCTTGGCTTTCAGGCCAAAGAGTTCAATCTTGGTTTCATCAGACCAGAGAATCTTGTTTCTCATGGTCGGAGAGTCCTTTAAGGTGCCTTTTAGCAAACTCCAAGTGGGCTGTCATGTGCCTTTTACTGAGGAGTGGCTTCCATCTGGCCACTCTACTATAAAGGCCTGATTGGTGGAGTGCTCCAGAGATGGTTGTCCTTCTGGAAGGTTCTCCCATCTCCACAGAGGAACTCTGAAGCTCTGTCAGTGACCATCAATGCACTGTCAACTGTGGGACCTTATATAGACAGGTGTGTGCCTTTCCAAATATTGTCCAATCAATTGAATTGACCACAGGTGGACTCCAATCACGTTGCAGTAACATCTCAAGGATGATCAATGGAAACAGGATGCACCTGAGCTCAATTCCGAGTCTCATAGCGAAGGGTCTGAATACTTAAGTGAACGAGGTATATTGTTTTTATTTTTTTATTATTACAATTTCTAAAAACCCATTTTCACTTCGTCATTATGGGGTATTGTGAGTAGATTGATGAGGAAAATATGTAATGTAATTAATTTTTGAATCAGGCTGTAACGTAACAACATCTAAAAAAAGTCAAGGGGTCTGAATACTTTCCGAATGCACTGTGAATATACAGTTGAAGTCGGAAGTTTACATACACCTTAGCCAAATACATTTAAACTAAATTTTTCACAATTCCTGACATTTAATCCTAGTAAGAATTCCCTGTCTTAGGTCAGTTAGGATCACCACTTTATTTTAAGAATGTGAAATGTCAGAATAACAGTAGAGAGAATTATTTATTTCAGCTTTTATTTCTTTCATTACATTCCCAGTGGGTCAGAAGTTTACATACACTCAATTAGTATTTGGTAGCATTGCCTTTAAATTGTTTAACTTGGGTCAAACGTTTCGGGTAGCCTTCCACAAGCTTCCCACAATAAGTTGGGTGAATATTGGCCCATTCCTCCTGACAGCTGGTGTAACTGAGTTAGGTTTGTAGGCCTCCTTGCTCGCACACGCTTTTTCAGTTCTGCCCACAAATGTTCTATAGGATTGAGGTCAGGGCGTTGTGATGGCCACTCCAATACCTTGACTTTGTTGTCTTTAAGCCAATTTGCCACAACTTTGGAAGTATGCTTGGGGTCATTGTCCATTTGGAAGACCCATTTGCGACCAAGCTTTAACTTCCTGACTGATGTCTTGAGATGTTGCTTCAATATATCCACATAATATTCCTTCCTCATGATGCCATCTATTTTGTGAAGTGCACCAGTCCCTCCTGCAGCAAAGCACCCCCACAACATGATGCTGCCACCCCCGTGCTTCACGGTTGGGATGGTGTTCTTCGGCTTGCAAGCAGCCCCCTTTTTGCTCCAAACAAAGCGATGGTCATTATGGCCAAACAGTTATATTTTTGTTTCATCAGACCAGAGGACATTTCTCGAAAAAGTACGATCTTTGTCCCCATGTGCAGTTGAAAACCGTAGTCTAGCTTTTCGCACCATAATACGTTCATCTCTAGGAGACAGAACGCGTCTCCTTCCTGAGCTGTATGACGGCTGCATGGTCCCATGGTGTTTATACTTGCGTACTATTGTTTGTACAGATGAACGTGGTACCTTCAGGCGTTTGGAAATTGCTCCCAAGGATGAACCAGACTTGTGGAGGTCTACAATTTGTTTTCTGAGGTCTTGGCTGATTTCTTTTGATTTTCCCATGATGTCAAGCAAAGATGCACTGAGTTTGAAGGTAGGCCTTGAAATACATCCACAGGTACACCTCCAATTGACTCAAAGGATTTCAATTAGCCTATCAGAAGCTTCTAAAGCCATGACATCCTTTTCTGGAATTTTCCAAGCTGTTTAAAGGCACAGTCAACTTGGTGTATGTAAACTTCTGACCCACTGAAATTGTGATACAGTGAATTATAAGTGAAATAATCTGTCTGTAAACAATTGTTGGAAATATTACTTATGTCATGCACAAAGTAGATGTAATAATAATAATAATAATATGCCATTTAGCAGACACTTTTATCCAAAGCGACTTACAGTCATGCGTGCATACATTTTTGTGTATGGGTGGTCCCGGGGATCGAACCCACTACCTTGGCGTTACAAGCGCCGTGCTCTACCAGTTGAGCTACAGAGGACCACCCATACCGACTTGCCAAAACTATAGTTTGTTAACAAGAAATGTGTGGAGTCGTTGAAAAACAAGGTTTAATGACTCCAACCTAAGTGTATGTAAACTTCCGACTTCAACTGTATATATATACATATATGTATGTATATGCTCTCTACTTGTCAATGTTCCAAATGGGGCATTATTTGTATTTTTACCTAAACATGCAAACACCATCCGATATAATTCATAGCAAGCCGTGCACTGGAATCACAGGGCATTGGTGGCACCTTAATTGGGGAGGACTGGCTCGTGGTAATGGCTGGAGCGGAATAGGTGAAATGGTATCAAATACATCAAACACATGTGTTTGATGCCATTCCATTTGCTCCGTTCCAGCCATTATTATGAGCCATCCTCCTCTCAGCAGCCTTGACTAACTGGAATGACATTTAGATGAACTGGAATGACATTCACTCTCGTTATGGGTGGCCAAAAATAACTGACAGCCATACCCCCAATAAGCCACGAATATGACCGCATTGAGGCATATGTCACTGTGCTTCTATGGTTATTTGCACCATGACATTGCCTACTTCATTTGTTCATTTCATTTCATTTAGGAAACAAGACAGCTCATAATCCAGTGCCTTCATCACAGTCAACACACCTATATTGTAGCTTTAATTAGCTTTAAAAATGCAACATTTTCTCTCAGCCAAATGGCAACGTGTAGAATAGCATGAGATTAGCTATAAAACTGCACATGTTCCTTTCTGCCCCATGGCAAAATGTGTAGAATTGGAGGAAATTAGCTTTAAAACAAATTTTCTCTCAACCTCATGGCAAAATATGTACAATAGCATAGCATGAGATTTGTATCTTTACCCCTCCCATATTTCTGTAGGCCCAACGATTTCTGGCTATGCTGCAATGTATGGTGTTGTGTCTAGCTAGATAGCCATGTAAGTTATCAATTTTTAAATATTTGTTTATTGTCACATACACCGGATAGGTATAGTGAAATAAACATTAGGCTAACGTCAGCAAGTGAATTAACTAGCTAGGTAGCTACAGTGGGGAAAAAAATATTTAGTCAGCCACCAATTGTGCAAGTTCTCCCACTTAAAAAGATGAGAGAGGCCTGTAATTTTCATCATAGGTACACGTCAACTATGACAGACAAAATGAGATTTATTTTCTCCAGAAAATCACATTGTAGGATTTTTAATGAATTTATTTGCAAATTATGGTGGAAAATAAGTATTTGGTCAATAACAAAAGTTTCTCAATACTTTCTTATGTACCCTTTGTTGGCAATGACACAGGTCAAATGTTTTCTGTAAGTCTTCACAAGGTTTTCACACACTGTTGCTGGTATTTTGACCCATTCCTCCATGCAGATCTCCTCTAGAGCAGTGATGTTTTGGGGCTGTCGCTGGGCAACACGGACTTTCAACTCCCTCCAAAGATTTTCTATGGGGTTGAGATCTGGAGACTGGCTAGGCCACTCCAGGACCTTGAAATGCTTCTTACGAAGCCACTCCTTCGTTGCCCGGGCGGTGTGTTTGGGATCATTGTCATGCTGAAAGACCCAGCCACGTTTCATCTTCAATGCCCTTGCTGATTGAAGGAGGTTTTCACTCAAAATCTCACGATACATGGCCCCATTCATTCTTTCCTTTACACGGATCAGTCATCCTGGTCCCTTTGCAGAAAAACAGCCCCAAAGCATGATGTTTCCACCCCCATGCATCACAGTAGGTATGGTGTTCTTTGGATGCAACTCAGCATTCTTTGTCCTCCAAACACGATGAGTTGAGTTTTTACCAAAAAATTCTATTTTGGTTTCATCTGACCATATGACATTCTCCCAATCATCTTCTGGATCATCCAAATGCACTCTAGCAAACTTCAGACGGGCCTGGACATGTACTGGCTTAAGCAGGGGGACACGTCTGGCACTTCAGGATTTGAGTCCCTGGCGGCGTAGTGTGTTACTGATGGTAGGCTTTGTTACTTTGGTCCCAGCTCTCTGCAGGTCATTCACTAGGTCCCCCCGTGTGGTTCTGGGATTTTTGCTCACCGTTCTTGTGATCATTTTGACCCCACGGGGTGAGATCTTGCGTGGAGCCCCAGATCGAGGGAGATTATCAGTGGTCTTGTATGTCTTCCATTTCCTAATAATTGCTCCCACAGTTGATTTCTTCAAACCAAGCTGCTTACCTACTGCAGATTCAGTCTTCCCAGCCTGGTGCAGGTCTACAATTTTGTTTCTGGTGTCCTTTGACAGCTCTTTGGTCTTGGCCATAGTGGAGTTTGGAGTGTGACTGTTTGAGGTTGTGGACAGGTGTCTTTTATACTGATAACAAGTTCAAACAGGTGCCATTAATACAGGTAACGAGTGGAGGACAGAGGAGCCTCTTAAAGAAGAAGTTACAGGTCTGTGAGAGACAGAAATCTTGCTTGTTTGTAGGTGACCAAATACTTATTTTCCACCATAATTTACAAATAAATTAATTTTTAAAAATTCTGGAGAAAAAAAATCTGTCTGTCATAGTTGACGTGTACCTATGATGAAAATTACAGGCCTCTCTCATCTTTTTAAGTGGGAGAACTTGCACAATTGGTGGCTGACTAAATACTTTTTTTCCCCACTGTAAATCAACCATTTTATCGGATCATCAAGAGAGGTTCAATTGTTGTGAAGAAGGCTTCAGGGCGCCCAAGAAAGTCCAGCACGCGCCAGGACCGTCTCCTAAAGTTGATTCAGCTGCGGGATCGGGGCACCACCAGTGCAGAGCTTGCTCAGGAATGGCAGCAGGCAGGTGTGAGTGCATCTGCACACACAGTGAGGCGAATACTTTTGGAGGATGGCCTGGTGTCAAGAAGGGCAGCGAGGAAGCCACTTCTCTCCAGGAAAACATCAGGGACAGACTGATATTCTGTAAAAGGTACAGGGATTGGACTGCTGAGGACTGGGATAACGTCATTTTCTCTGATGAATCCCCTTTCTGATTGTTGGGGCATCCGGAAAAAAGCTTGTCCGGAGAAGACAAGGTGAGCGCTACCATCAGTCCTGTGTCATGCCAACAGTAAAGCATCCTGAGACCATTCATGTGTGGGGTTGCTTCTCAGCCAAGGGAGTGGGCTCACTCACATTTTTGCCTAAGAACACAGCCATGAATAAAGAATGGTACCAACACATCCTCCGAGAGCAACTTCTCCCAACCATCCAAGAACAGTTTGGTGACGAACAATGCCTTTTCCAGCATGATGGAGCACCTTGCCATAAGGCAAAAGTGATAACTAAGTGGCTCGGGGAACAAAACATCGACATTTTGGGTCCATGGCCAGGAAACTCCCCAGACCTTAATCCCATTGAGAACTTGTGGTCAATCCTCAAGAGGTGGGTGGACAAACAAAAACCCACAAATTCTGACAAACTCCAAGCATTGATTATGGGCTGCCATCAGTCAGGATGTGGCCCAGAAGTTAATTTACAGCATGCCAGGGCGGATTGCAGAGGTCTTGAAAAAGAAGGGTCAACACTGCAAATATTGACTCTTTACATAAACTTAATGTAATTGTCAATAAAAGCCTTTGACACATGGAATGCTTGTAATTATACTTCAGTATACCATAGTAACATCTGACAAAAATATCTAAAAACACTGAAGCAGCAAACTTTGTGAAGACCAATACTTTGTCATTCTCAAAACTTTTGACCACGACTGTACATCTCTATCAGTTAGCTGGGGAAATGATCAGCCTGGACACAGCTATTCAGACTGTTAATATAGACTCGGGCTATGTTCTCTTTATCTTCTTAGTTTGTTCCCTTTACCCTCCTTGGTTTTATAAGTAGGTGATGACTTATCAGACATATCAGTCAGACATAGTGTACAAGCTGTTGCACAACTGCACCGTTTGTATGTCTCCTTCACTTTTGTCCAGTGGAGATTTTTTTCTGTATAATTCTTTTTAAACCTCTGCATACATCAGTGTGACTGTGTCTGTTTGTCTCACCTTTGTTATGTGTCTGTGTCTCACCTGTCACCAGGTAGACGCCAGGTAGTAGAAGGTGAGCTAGGACGTGAAACAGAGAGAGGGTCTCTTGTTGGTGACATAATAAGAACATAACACTGTTTGTCTGATGTACTTTTATGATGTGTCCTATATGTGTTACCTGATCCCTATCCAGTATGTTACTATTCTGTGATGAACAGTGTATTTTACCTGGTCTGGTCAGTGATGGTGCTGCCATTGCTCTCCTGCAGGGTGATGCTCTTCCCCTCCGGCTGATTGTCCTGGGGAGGGCGTCTCTGTGGCCATTGGTCAGATGAGTGTCTCCGTGCCCGTTAGAGAGATACACTTGTTTGTGTAGGTACAAACAGATAGTTGTGGACGTGTCTCCACCGTGGCCCCCTGCACCGCAGCAGCTCCCAATGGGCCTTACAGAAGTCCCTGTTCAGGGCCGGGTATAGGATGGGGTTGACAGTGGAGTTAAAGTAGCCCAGCCACATCACCACAGAGTGGGCAGTAGTAGGAGGGTTAGTCTCTGCCCCGATGCCCATGCAGATAAAGGATTAATAGGCAGTGCTTAATTTGAGCCGGATCCTGCCAGATCCTGTACCTATCAGATTTGACTTTGTTTGTTCAAGCACCTATTTTCCCGGATCTGGTACCACTCGCGGCATGATTTATTAATTATTTCACTGTAGACATTCTAATAAAAGCAATCAGCATTAAATCAAGTTGCCTCCTCGTTATTCTCCCGCCCCCAGAAAGACCATCATGTAAAAGCAAGGTGATCCTTCTGTGTAATCATCCTATGCTGCCACACTGATTCCAGACCTGGTCTCTTATTTGTACATAGAGGTTATGGGGAGGGCAAGTGGGGTAAGTAACTTATCTTGACACAGTTCTTGGTAGTGGTAGTCAGCTAGTGAAGATGTCCCTACAGTGGCTTGCGAAAGTATTCACCCCCCTTGGCATTTTTCGTATTTAGTTGCCTTACAACCTGGAATTAAAATGGATTTTTGGGGGGTTTGTATCATATGATTTACACAACATGCCTACCACTTTGAAGATGCAAAATATTTTCTGGGGTGAAACAAACAAGAAATAAGACCAAAAACAGAACTTGAGCGTGCATAACTATTCACCCCCTCAAAGTCAATTCTTTGTAGAGCCACCTTTTGCAGCAATTACAGCTGTAAGTCTCTTGGGGTATGTTTCTATAAGCTTGGCACATGATTTTGCCCATTCTTCAAGGCAAAACTGCTCCAGCTCCTTCAAGATGGATGGGTTCCGCTGGTGTACAGCAATCTTTAAGTCATACCACAGATTCTCAATTGGATTGAGGTCTGGGCTTTGACTAGGCCATTCCAAGACATTTAAATGTTTCCCCTTAAACCACTCAAGTGTTGCTTTAGCAGTATGCTTAGGGTCATTGTCCTGCTGGAAGGTGAACCTCCCTCCCAGTCTCAAATCTCTGGAAGACTGAAACAGGTTTCCCTCAAGAATTTCCCTGTATTTAGCGCCATCCATCATCCGCCAGTCCCTGCCGATGAAGAACATCCCCACAGCGTGATGCTGCCACCACCATACATCACTGTGGGGCTGGTGTTCTCAGGGTGATGAGAGGTGTTGGGTTTGCACCAGACATAGCATTTTTCTTGATGGCCAAAAAGCTCAATTTTAGTCTCATCTGACCAGAATACCTTCTTCCATATGTTTGGGGAGTCTCCCACATGGCTTTTGGCGAACACCAAACGTGTTTGCTTAATTTTTTCTTTAAGCAATGGCTTTTTTCTGGCCACTCTTCTGTAAAGCCCAGCTCTGTGGAGTGTATGGCTTAAAGTGGTCCTATGGACAGATACTCCAATCTCCACTGTGGAGCTTTGCAGCTCCTTAAGGGTTATCTTTGGTCTCTTTGTTGTCTCTCTGATTAATGCCCTCCTTGCCTGGTCCGTGAGATTTGGTGGGCGGCCCTCTCTTGGCAGGTTTGTTGTGGTGCCATATTCTTTAAATTTTTTAATAATGGATTTATTGGTGCTCCGTGGGATGTTCTGATATTTTTTTATAACCCAACCCTGATCTGTACTTCTCCACAACTTCGTCCCTGACCTGTTTGGAGAGCTCCTTGGTCTTCATGGTGCCGCTTGCTTGGTGGTGCCCCTTGCTTAGTGGTGTTGCAAACTCTGGGGCCTTTCAGAACAGGTGTATATATGCTGAGCTCATGTGACAGATCATGTGACACTTAGATTGCACACAGGTGGACTTTATTTAACTAATTATGTGACTTCTGAAGGTAATTGGTTGCACCATATCTTATTTAGGGGCTTCATAGCAAAGGGGGTGAATACATATGCACGCACCACTTTTCCGCTATTTATTTTCTATAATTCTTTGAAAAAAGTTATTTCTTTCATTTCACTTCACCAATTTGAAATATGTTGTGTATGTCCAATACATGAAATCCAAATAAAAATCAATTTAAATTACAGGTTGTAATGAAACAAAATAGGAAAAACGCCAAGTGGGATGAATACTTTTGCAAGGCACTGTACGTAATCACGTCACATAGCCTAGTCTAGTCGTCTCCCTACTGAATTTGAATTGTGGGAAAGCCAAATTAAAAATGGATAAGAAAAGGCAGTTTGACATTTTTCAAGTCCAAAAATTAAGAGAAAGATGGTGAATCAAACCCAGAACAAGCCAGAGAACTGTCAGTGCCGGAGGAGAGGAGTGAGGGGCAAACTGTTCATGATGGCGATGCCTTAGCTAGCAGCGCTGCTAATCCCGCCAGTTCAGCATCACCACCAGCACCTCCATTATCTAGTAGGCCTACTAGCGAGTCAGACTCGGTGGGAGAGGGAGACGGGGAGCTGTGGGGGAGGGGGGTTGTGCATCCACCAACAAAGTGCTCGGAGCAGGTGCAATTTGCAGTTCAAGAACAAGCAAACGTATAATCCCTGGCTTGTCATGCAGAATTCAAAGTTGGTCTGTACAACATGCAAAAAGGTAGGGAGCTTGGGTCTAGAAACGACTGGAGGGATTAAACTAGCAAAAGAGTGGGTGGAATGTACAGTAAATTAACATCCTATGCATCAGACGTTAAAAAACAAACAACAAAGAGCCCTCAGAAAAAAGGTTTTTGAACATGCCTGAACCAAGGTGCATTTGGTGGCATCAATGTAGACAAGGCTAAAGAGGACTCCCAGGTTAACGCTCAAAATGAAAAAATTAAAATTGACACTACAGCCAGAGTCTTCAGAACAGCCTTAGAAGGAGGCTAAACATCACAGCCACTTGCCCGCTCATGGCTTTCAGCAAGAAGTTGACTCTCAGGAGTTAAATGGACTTGACATAGGGAGAGTCATTGTGGGAGATTTTGAAAACTAAGGTAGGACGTTTCTTTTCCTTTACAAACTTGTTCTGTGCTGTGAAGGTAATGTATTTCATATTATCTTATAGGCAGGAGGCCTACATATTCTCATATGTGTGTTCTGCTGTAGCCTACATTGATTTATTTTATTTGAAGTTGTATTCCGATATTGTGATATTTGTTCTACTGCTACATTGATGTCTTGAAAATTAAATGAAATTCGGGTCTTGTAAGCCCCACAGCTGAGTATGTGTGTATATGGCGGGTGTTCTGCAGTGTCCTTTAAAAATGTTGCTGTACATTGATGTCTAGAAAATTAGGCTATAAGAAATTTGGACTTGTGTAAGCCCCGCAGCTATACTGAAGTATGTGGGCATGCTTGAATTAATTAGCACCTTGGAGAGTGCTGTCCGTTTCACCACCATAGATAGTAGGCTACTTGGCTGCTACGTTGTGTTTGTGCTCCAGGACCTCCAGATTTACAAATTAAGCACTGGTAATAGGGGAACTAACAGATAATGAAGGCTCCCAGAACTGCTGCTAGTGTCACTGTGGCCTTGTGCTCCCGCCGCTGATGCTGTGCGGGCGAATGAAGCATTGGCAGCTCGGATAGGCCTTACCTGGATGGGTGGATAATGACAGGTTAGAGAAACAGGTCAGCAGATGGAAGACAGTATCTATTAACCTGAATAAATAGATGCAACAGTAAAACTACTCATTATTCCAGTACTATTATACTGCTAAAGGCATAATTACTATTATCTCTACTAAAACTGGTAATGGTACTACCGCACAACAAATAAAGTTAACGAAGAAAACACTAACCTGTTCGTGTGCTACCCGAAAGATGCAGTGGTACATCCCACACATGACCAGCAGTGAGAGGTAGAAGGTGACAAAGGCATCCATGAGCAAATTAAGTGCCTATTGAAAGTCTACACAGTATTCACATTTTGCTGCCACGGTGACTAAGAAATACTCCCCATAATAGGCAATGGGAACCAACGAAAAAATTTTAGGCGAGGAAGTCAGTTCCTTCTTTCTGGCTGTTTTGGCGAGAGAGAGAGAGAGAGAGAGAGAGAGAGGAGAGCAGAGAGAGAGAGAGAGAGAGAGAGGAGAGAGCGAAGAGAGAGAAGAGAGAGATGAGAGAGAGAGAGAGAGAGAGGAGAGAGAGAGAGAGAGAGAGAGAGAGAGAGAGAGAGAGCAGAGAGATAGAGAGAGGAGAGAGAGAGAGAGAGAAGAGCTCTCTTACGCTCTCGAATCTCTCCTCTCTAGCTATCTATAGGAGCCGGCTGCCGACGAGCATATTAGAAGAAGCATACTTAAGATCACACAGGACACCAGATATGACAAGGGAATTACACGAGATAGGACAGACTGACCCTAGCACATAGACAACTGCAGCATACTGTAAGTGCCTAGGGGGTTAGGGTTTCCTCTGGCCAGCCCCAATAAGCACATGCCCTTGAGATATCCCTTACTGGGACAGTTGGTCATTGGGCCTGGGGGGTTGAAGACCTGCTAGTCACCCTACTCTCACATTTTTAACAATATATGTTAATGCCATTATTTGGCAACAGTTACAACACACCTATCTGATCTAATTAAAATGAGTTTTTAGACATTACCTCTAACACCAAAACATGAAAAGGTTCTCAGAAGGTTTTCGCTCTCCCTAGAATTGTTAGCTGGGTGAATGGTCACTTCATGCTTAGTAATGGTGAAGCGGGCATGGGCAAACAACCAGACACTTCCCCAACTACTGTAGCACCGCAATGAGACCTGATGGAGAGGAGGGGACTGTGACAGGTATGCACTGAAATATTTATATCCTGCAGCCCAAATCATCCAATTGTGGTTATTGATCTTATCATTGGAGGACCGGTTAGAACACCGTTTATGTTCTTATCTGGAGCCGGAGGGACGAATGGTAAACAGGCAGAGCATGAGAACCAATGGGCTTATGTAAACGAGGCAAATCACTCATGCCTTAGTTCACCTCCATAATCCAAACATCATTCTTCAAAGATGGAGGAGATAGTGTTTGTGAGAGACCAAGAGAATGAGAGCGATAATGTATAACCTGCAATATAGAGATTGATTTACACAAACGACAGTTGAAAAGTTATCGATTATCGGAATGGACTGCACTTTGTAAAGTATCATAGCCTCACAAGCATTTGAAATTATTAGCATTTAAAATGAGGAGTCCATGGCCTCTCACTGTATTAGAACACTGTAAATGTCTCACCTGCATTCTGCCCTTTAGAGAAACCAAGTGAAACCTTCAAGTCAATATAGATTCCTCTGTGGAGTGAACTCTTGTCTGTTTCCATGGAGACATGGTCTCCCAGTCTCTGGTGATTCCAACCTCCAGTGTCTTGATGCCACATGAGTAAGGTACTGTCAGGGAGATAAAAATGGTGTTGTTGATTAAAGTGGTTACCCAGCTAGCACATTTGGTTCTTGGAAGTTGTGGGAATGTATGTTTTTGGTTTCACATTGGTTGTGGGAACAAAGACATACGTTTCCTGACCGGTAAAACTGAACGTTTTTTAAACATTCTGAGAACAGAAGTGAAAATGTCTCCTGTTCTGGGAACGTTTATTTTTAGGTTTCAGGGAGGTTCTGTGAACGTTTTACTCTGGTTCTTTGAAAGTTTTCCTGGGAGATTTTAGTAATGCTCTGAAAATGGAAATTACAGGTTATTTTGAGGTTTTTGATTAACTTCCTTTCACTGAATGTTTCAATAAGACTTTTAATAACTCTGCTAGATTATTTGGGGTTAACTTTTTTTTAAACTCCAAGCACAGATAGGACACATAGAAATTAATTTCCTTACGGCCCTGCTACACTATAGCCATCAGTCGTCTGGCATTGCCATCAGCCATCAACCATTGAGGAAATGCTTCCTTTGAAATCAATGAAAGCTGCTATACTGCCCGTGTTGCGCTCACGTTGCATCACGTCCAATGGCAGCATCCAAGCTCAAGAATCGCAGAGGTTTAATTATCGATGGCTGATGCGCGCGTTCATTCTATCGTATCAATTGAAATAATGAGAAATAAAGTTGATTTTGGTTGCATGTGGCCTTGAATATACACCACTGGTTATGGTACTAAGATTTATGAAGTCAACAAGCTACTAGCTAGCAGAAACTATAGCTAGCTAGCTACATTTACTGTTCACAATGTAAACAAAAGCAACTTGTGTAATTAGAGGATAATTTAGTACAACCACTAGCAAAATTTAATGAGAACTTGCAAAAAACTGGACCAAAGCTATTGTACTTACGCATAATTGATTAATATGGTACAGTACAGTAGGAGAAAATAGAATAAAGACGCTATTCTACTCTACTCTCCGCTCTCAAAACAATGCACTCTGTGTAGCAGGTAGAACGTCACATTGACACGATGATGATGGCAACGCAACGTGAATAGTGGAGCTGAAGTGTTAGGCATTAATCATGCTAACACATAAAAACAATTATTGTGACACAGCATCAGTGAGATTCTAACCTATAATCTTCTGTTTTCTATCCATGGAATTTGTCCACTGCGCCACCAGGAGCTAGCATGCCATATTATTTTACTCATACCAAGCTGTTCATTTTAGTCTGTTCAAATAGACCCTATTTCAAAGGAAACACACACTAGTTAAGATTAGGTGTGGCCAATTAGTGGGCGCAGCCAACACACCTGAACAATCTTAACAAGATAGAAGCTAGAAAGAGTTTTGTTGATGCTGAGAACAGAATGTACAGTACCAGTGAAAAGTTTGGACACACCTACATTCAAGGGTGTTTCTTTATTTTTTACAATTCTCTACATTGTAGAATAATAGTGAAGACATCAAAACTATGAAATAACACATATGGAATCATGTAGTTACCAAAAAAGTGTTAAACAAATCAAAAATATATTTTATATTTTACATTCTTCAAAGTAGCCACCCTTTGCCTTGATGATAGCTTTGCACACTCTTGGCATTCTCTCAACCAGCTTCACCTGGAATGCTTTTCCAACAGTCTTGAAGGAGTTCCCACATATGCTGAGCACTTATTGGCTGCTTTCACTTCACTCTGCGGTCCAACTCATCCCAAACCATCTCAATTGGGTTGAGGTCGGGTGATTGTGGAGGCCAGGTCATCTGATGCAACACTCCATCACTCACCTTGGTCAAATAGGCCTTATACAGCCTGGAGGTGTGTTTTGGTTCATTGTCCTGTTGAAAACCAAATGATAGTCCCACTAAGTGCAAACCAGATGGGATGGCGTATCGCTGCAGAATGCTGTGGTAGCCATGCTGGTTAAGTGTGCCTTGAATTCTAAATAAATCACTGACAGTGTCACCAGCAGAGCACCCCCACACCATCACACCTCCTCCTCCATGCTTCATGGTGGGAACCACACATGCGGAGTTCATCCGTTCACCTACTCGGCATCTCACAAAGACACGGAGGTTGGAACCAAAAATCTCAAATTTGGAGTCATCAGACCAAAGGACAGATTTCCACTGGTCTAATGTCTGTTGCTCGTGTTTCTTGGCCCAAGCAAGTCTGTTCTTCTTATTGGTGTCCTTTAGTAACGGTTTCTTTGCAGCAATTCGACCATGAAGGCCTGATTCACGCAGTCTCCTCTGAACAGTTGATGTTGAGATGTGTCTGTTACTTGAACACCGTGAAGCATTTATTTGGGCTGCAATCTGAGAAGCAGTTAACTCTAATGAACTTATCCTCGGCAGCAGAGGTAACTCTGGGTCTTCCTTTCCTGTGGCGATCCTCATGAGAGCCAGTTTCATCATAGCGCTTGATGGTTTTTGTGACTGCATTTGAAGAAACGTTCAAAGTTATTGAAATGTTCCAGATTGACTGACCTTCATGTCTTAAAGTAATGATGGACTTTCATTTCTCTTTGCTTATTTGAGCTGTTCTTGCCATAATATGGACTTGGTCTTTTACCAAATAGGGCTATCTTCTGTATTTATTTTATTTTATTTCACCTTTATTTAACCAGGTAAGCCAGTTGAGAACAAGTTGTCATTTACAACTGCGACCTTGTCACAACACAACTGATTGGCTCAAACACATAAAAAAGGAAAGAAATTCCACAAATTAACTTTTAACAAGGCACACATGTTAACTGAAATGCATTCCAGGAGACTACCTCATGAAACTGGTTGAGAGAATGCCAAGAGGGTGCAAAGCTGTCATCAAGGCAAAGGGTGGCTATTTTGAAGAATCTCAAATATAAAATATATTTAGATTTGTTTAACACTTTATTGGTTACTACATGATTCCATATGTGTTATTTCATAGTATTGATGTCTTCACTATTATTCTACAATGTAGAAAATAGTAAAAAATAAAGAAAAACCCTGGAATGAGTAGGTGTGTCCAAACTTTTGACTGGTACTGTATATGTTTTTAAATAACATTCTTAGAACGTTCTAATGGGTTTCAACTAGATAACATAGCCACAAAGTCTGTGAAGAGCATGAGGATGCTGCATGGCCGCACGTGCTCCATCTGTTCCTTGTTTATATCACACTTCCTCGCCAACACCTGGTCTGGAATGTAATTAAATGCTAGCTAGTGGCTAACAAGGTTTGCTTGAGCTAGCCACCGAGCTAGAATGCGAACTCGGTAGCACAGACTCAATTCTCCATATGATGTTGAGAAATAGTACATTGTGGGTAGTTTAGAAGATATCTGGAAATAAATTAATAAATATGTAATAACCCAAAAACATAACTATGTTTGTAGTTATAGGTAACCAGATCATGACTATAACTAAGTTACTAAGTCTTTGACCACACTTTGGTGAGTAAAAACTCATGCTTCCTACCCTATAACTTTCTCTGAATTATTTGAGAACATTCCCAATGTCAAACCAGTTGGAGAACATTCCTAGAACATTACCAAAATTGAAATGAAATGTAACCATGTATGAACTTTTAGGAAACATTTTGTTAAAGTAATGAAATACCAAGAAAATAAAGTATTTATTGGTCAAGTTCCTTAAAGGGATACTGCAGGACTTCCCCAGAGTCATATTAACTCCTGGATACTATTTTTAAGACTCTGCGTGCAGTTTGAAGGAAGTTGCTAACTAGCTTTAGCACAATGACTGCAAGTCTATGGTAATTGCTAGCATGCTAGTAGATACCTAGTAGATAGACTTCCAGTCATTGCACTACGCTAGATAGTGTTGGCTCACAAAATGACCTCTAACTTCCTTCATACTGGATGCAGAGACATACAAATGGAATTAATGAATTAATCTGACTATGGGGAAGTAGATTGCCAATCTCTTTAAATGTGCTGAGAATGTTCCAAAGCTAAGTAACAATCCTGCACCATTCCCAGAAAGTTGAAGGAAGGCTGTATGCAAAATAACCATAGGACAACCACACTCTCAACAAGCTCTAAGAAACATATGGTTCTCAGAACGTTATGTGCTTGCTGGGATAATTTAGACTCAACCTAAATAGAACCAACTCATGAGCTGTCACGTCTACCTTTTAATTTCGCCCACGCTACTTGTGTGCCCCAGAACAAATGGAATGGGTGAAATACGGCAAGGGTTTTTATTGAGGCAAGTGTTCGGTGATTGGTCAACAGTAATATTGCCGTTTTTTCCCCTAGTTTTTCAAGAGAAGGTATTTTGGGAGTATGCGAGCACAGACGGTTGCTTTGCCTGGACGAGTTTTTTTTAGGAGCAAACCGAACGTATGTATGCGGACACCTTTACAGTAAATTATACTGAACAAAAATGTAAATGCAACAATTTCAAAGATTTTACAGAGTTACAGTTCATATGAGGAACTCAGTCAATTGAAATAAATTCATTAGGCCCTAATCTATGGATTTCACATGACAGGGAATACAGATGTGCATCTGTTGGTCACAGACACCTAAAATAAATGGGCCTCAGGATCTCGTCACGGTATTTCTGTGCATTCAAATTGCCATCGATAAAATGCAATTCTGTTCATTGTCCGTAGTTTATGCCTGCCCATACCATAAACCCACCGCCACCATGGGACATTCTGTTTACAATGTTGACATCAGCAAACCGCTCGCCCACATGAGGCCATACATATGGTCTGCAGTTGTGAGGCCAGTTGTATTTACTGCCAAATTCTCTAAAACCATGTTGGAGGCGGCTTATGGTAGAGAAATTAACATTCAATTGTCTGGCAACAGCTTTGATGGACATTCCTGCAGTCAGCATGCCAATTGCACTCTCCCTCAAAACCTGAGACATCAGTGGCATTGTGTTGTGTGACAATACTGCACATTTTAGAGTGACCTTTTATTGTCCCCAACACAAGGTGCACCTGTGTAATAATCATGCTGTTTGATCAGCTTCTTGATATGCCACACCTGTCAGGTGGATGGATTATCTTGGAAAAGAATAAATGCTCAGTAACAGGGATGTAAACAAATGTGTGTCGCAAAATGTGAGAGATTTAAGCTTTTTGTGCGTATGGAACATTTCTGGGATATTTCATTTCAGCGCATGAAACATGGGACCAACACTTTACATGCTGCGTTTATATTTTTGTTCAGTGTACATTATTAATTTGCCTGGTAGACGTCCTATGAGAATTGGCCAAAAATCTAACCAGTGGATTTGTGTACATTTACTAGCATGTGCAGGTGACTATTAACTTGTGAGCCTGAGCCCCATGAAGGACAATATCAGTGTGATCTAAGTGTCATGGAACTACAACACACCAGTTCCTAGGTAGTCACGATAGCTAAAGAAAACTACTGTGTCATCAGCTTCTGTCCAGCCGTCATCACAGTATTTCAGCACTGCCACAAACACCTGACCCTGTCCCATTCTATTCACTAGCTCAGAAGTACTATTAGGACTACTGAGGGGCTCACGTTGCGGGACCCTTCGTCAAATATTTATACTGACAGACCTGGTTAGTATGACTTGGTAAGTCAATGTGAGGCTATAGATGGGATTATCCCCCAGTATAACTGGGTGGTTCAAGCCCTGAATGCTGATTGGCTGAAAGCCATGGTATATCAGACTGTTTTAAAAAGAAAAGGAGAGCCTCACACTTTAGGAGCTCAGATGCAATAATTTAATAACCAACGTTTCGACAGACAAGCTGTCTTCATCAGGGTATAATGACAAACACTGCGGGTCACTAATTTATATAGTTTGGAAGGACACATAGGTGTCTGTAATCGTGGCTGGGTGTGGCTTGATGTCATTGGTTGATTTACATATATAAATAGAACATATAAAAAGCATGAATGGATAACATACGATTATAGATACAATTTGGCCTACAAACATTTACAATGAATAGCAAAATCACAATAATCACACGAATGGCTTCAGATCAAAGTCTACGTTGAGACCGAAGGGAGCCTGGATAAGAGTGTCTGCTAAATGAATAAAATGTCAAATGTAAAATGTAAGCAGCGGTCTTTAAATTAAAGATCCAGGCAGCCTCTCGTTTTAACAATAAATTGTAAAAGTCACACCCTCTCCTAGGGAGGGTGACAAGTTCGATGCCGATATAGCGAAGGGACGAAATAGAGTGGTTTGTTTCCAAAAAGTCCTTTGTAAAGGACACCAGCAGTATGATCTCTATCATTGAATCTCTTGATCCTCTCCCTGAGAATACTTTGTTAGTTACTTTTGATGTTGAGTCGTTATACACCAATATTCCACACGAGGGCGGTAATGAAGCCATGGAACATTTTCTTCTGCAACGTGACCCTAATAAACTACCTTCCAGTGCATGCATTTTAACATTGGCTGACATAGTACTCACACATAACTATTTCATGTTTCTAAACTATTTATTTATCCAGACAAAGGGTACTGCTATGGGATCCCCTATGGCTCCTAACTATGCTAAGTTACATGGGTTACATGGAGAAACGTTCAATTCTCAATCCTCTCAAAAATGTTTTTTTGCCTAACATTATTTGGAAACGGTATATTGATTATATTTTTGTTTTATGGTGTGGTGATGCAAAACAAGCTCCAGGCATTCCATGATGTTCTTAACTCTTGTTCTGAGCACCTGAGATTTACTATGCAATCTGACACAGGTCAAATCAGTTTCCTTGATCTTTTGATTTTGTGTGAGGATAATGTTCTATACACTGATCTTTACAGGAAACCTACTGATCGTAACAGTTTGTTGAGGGCTGATAGATGTCACCCGCTTCCCTTGAAAAACAGTTTGCCCTAAAGCCAGGCCCTAACAGTTTGTGGGCACCGTTTGTCACCCTTATAGTGCAATTAATGTATTGTTTAGTGTTGTGTTGTGTTGTGTAGTGGCTTTGCTGGTATGCATAAAAAAATATATATATGAGTTGGCCCCACCAAGATTTACATGCTAAAATTGCCACTGATCAATTGGTAAACTCTGATTTACCACCCCAAAATACCCCTGCGCAATGTTTATTTGTGCCTCTAACGGATGGAAACTACAGGTGTAATGGCTGTGCTCAATGCAATGGCACTTACAAATGTAGATCCTTCAAACACCCTCAAACAGGGAAACAGATCCCAATCAAAGGTGTTATCACTTGCTCCACTAAGGCAGTTATTTATCTTATAACTTGTCCTTGTGGTAAAAATTATGTGTGTAAAACGAAGCGCTAATTAAAAGTAAGAACCAGTGAGCATCGTAGCACCATTAGGTGCAAAAACTTGCCGTACCCAGTTGCGAACCACTCTATTTCGTCCCTTCGCTATATCGGCATCGAACACGTCACCCTCCCTAGGAGGGTTTATTGTTAAAAAGAAAGGCTGCCAGGATCTTTAATTTAAAGACCCTTGCTCCCTTCTTTCTCAACGTAGACTTTGATCTGAAGCCATTCTTGTGATTCTTGTGATTTTGCTATTCATTGTAAATGTTTGTAGGTCTATGTAGCCAAATTGTATCTATTATCGTATGTTATCCATTCATGCTTTTTATATGTTCTATTTATATATGTAAATCAACAAATGACATCAATCCACACCCGGCCACGATTACAGACACGTGTGTCCCTCCAAACTATATAAATTAGTGACCCGCATTGTTTGTCATTATACCCTGATGAAGACAGCTTGTCTGTCGAAACGTTGGTATTAAATTATTGCATCTGAGCTCCTGAAGTGTGAGGCTCTCCTTTTATTTTTCAAGTGTTCTACTCCACTAGCCAGCACCTCGCCTAAACAGGTGTGCGTTTCTTTCGCCTCCAGATATCAGACCGTATACCACGGGTATGACAAAATATTTATTTTTACTGCTCTAATTACATTGGTAACCAGTTTATAATAGCAATAAGGCACCTTGGGGGTTTGAGGTATATTTGCAATATACCACGGCTAAGGGCTGTATCCAGGAACTCTGCGTTATGTTGTGCCTAAAAACAGCCCTTAGCCGTGGTATATTGGCCATAATGCTTATATATACACTGAGTGTACAAAACAGTAGGAACACCTGCTCTTTCCATAACCTAGAATGACCAGGTGAATCCAGGTGAAAGCTATGATCTCTTGTTTATGTCTCCTGTTAAATCCACGTCAATCAGTGTACATGTAGGGGAGAAGAAAGGTTACAGAAGGATTTTCAAGCCTTGAGACAATTGAGACATGCTTTGTGTATGTGTGCCATTCAGAGGGTGAATTGGGAAGACAAAAGATTGAAGTGCTTTTGAAAAATCTCTAAAACCATGTTGGAGGCGGCTTATGGTAGAGAAATAAACATTCAATTTTCTGGCAACAGCTCTGATGGACATTCCTGCAGTCAGCATGCCAATTGCACGCTCCCTCAAAACCTGAGACATCTGTGGCATTGTGTTGTGTGACAATACTGCACATTTTAGAGTGACCTTTTATTGTCCCCAACACAAGGTGCACCTGTGTAATAATCATGCTGTTTGATCAGCTTCTTGATATGCCACACCTGTCAGGTGAATGGATTATCTTGGAAAATGATAAATGCTCAGTAACAGGGATGTAAACAAATGTGTGTCGCAAAATGTGAGAGATTTAAGCTTTTTGTGCGTATGGAACATTTCTGGGATATTTCATTTCAGCGCATGAAACATGGGACCAACACTTTACATGCTGCGTTTATATTTTTGTTCAGTGTACATTATTAATTTGCCTGGTAGACGTCCTATGAGAATTGGCCAAAAATCTACCCAGTGGATTTGTGTACATTTACTAGCATGTGCAGGTGACTATTAACTTATGAGCCTGAGCCCCATGAAGGACAATATCAGTGTGATCTAAGTGTCATGGAACTACAACACACCAGTTCCTAGGTAGTCACGATAGCTAAAGAAAACTACTGTGTCATCAGCTTCTGTCCAGCCGTCATCACAGTATTTCAGCAGTGCCACAAACACCTGACCCTGTTCCATTCTATTCACTAGCTCAGAAGTACTAATAGGACTACTGAGGGGCTCACGTTGCGGGACCCTTCGTCAAATATTTATACTGACAGACCTGGTTAGTATGACTTGGTAAGTCAATGTGAGGCTATAGATGGGATTATCCCCCAGTATAACTGGGTGGTTCAAGCCCTGAATGCTGATTGGCTGAAAGCCATGGTATATCAGACTGTTTGAAAAAGAAAAGGAGAGCCTCACACTTTAGGAGCTCAGATGCAATAATTTAATAACCAACGTTTCGACAGACAAGCTGTCTTCATCAGGGTATAATGACAAACACTGCGGGTCACTAATTTATATAGTTTGGAAGGACACATAGGTGTCTGTAATCGTGGCCGGGTGTGGCTTGATGTCATTGGTTGATTTACATATATAAATAGAACATATAAAAAGCATGAATGGATAACATACGATCATAGATACAATTTGGCCTACAAACATTTACAATGAATAGCAAAATCACACGAATGGCTTCAGATCAAAGTCTACGTTGAGACCGAAGGGAGCCTGGATAAGAGCGTCTGCTAAATGAATAAAATGTAAAATGTAAGCAACGGTCTTTAAATTAAAGATCCAGGCAGCCTCTCGTTTTAACAATAAATTGTAAAAGTCACACCCTCTCCTAGGGAGGGTGACAAGTTCGATGCCGATATAGCGAAGGGACGAAATAGAGTGGTTTGTTTCCAAAAAGTCCTTTGTAAAGGACACCAGCAGTATGATCTCTATCATTGAATCTCTTGATCCTCTCCCTGAGAATACTTTGTTAGTTACTTTTGATGTTGAGTCGTTATACACCAATATTCCACACGAGGGCGGTAATGAAGCCATGGAACATTTTCTTCTGCAACGTGACCCTAATAAACTACCTTCCAGTGCATGCATTTTAACATTGGCTGACATAGTACTCACACATAACTATTTCATGTTTCTAAACTATTTATTTATCCAGACAAAGGGTACTGCTATGGGATCCCCTATGGCTCCTAACTATGCTAAGTTACATGGGTTACATGGAGAAACGTTCAATTCTCAATCCTCTCAAAAATGTTTTTTTGCCTAACATTATTTGGAAACGGTATATTGATTATATTTTTGTTTTATGGTGGGGTGATGCAGAACAGCTCCAGGCATTCCATGATTTTCTTAACTCTTGTTCTGAGCACCTGAGATTTATTATGCAATCTGACACAGGTCAAATCAGTTTCCTTGATCTTTTGATTTTGTGTGAGGATAATGTTCTATACACTGATCTTTACAGGAAACCTACTGATCGTAACAGTTTGTTGAGGGCTGATAGATGTCACCCGCTTCCCTTGAAAACAGTTTGCCCTAAAGCCAGGCCCTAACAGTTTGTGGGCACCGTTTGTCACCGTTATAGTGCAATTAATGTATTGTTTAGTGTTGTGTTGTGTAGTGGCTTTGCTGGTATTCATTAAAAAATATATATATATGAGTTGGCCCCACCAAGATTTACATGCTAAAATTGCCACTGATCAATTGGTAAACTCTGATTTACCACCCCCAAAATACCCCTGCGCAATGTTTATTTGTGCCTCTAACGGATGGAAACTACAGGTGTAATGGCTGTGCTCAATGCAATGGCACTTACAAATGTAGATCCTTCAAACACCCTCAAACAGGGAAACAGATCCCAATCAAAGGTGTTATCACTTGCTCCACTAAGGCAGTTATTTATCTTATAACTTGTCCTTGTGGTAAAAATTATGTGTGTAAAACGAAGCGCTAATTAAAAGTAAGAACCAGTGAGCATCGTAGCACCATTAGGTGCAAAAACTTGCCGTACCCAGTTGCGAACCACTCTATTTCGTCCCTTCGCTATATCGGCATCGAACACGTCACCCTCCCTAGGAGGGTTTATTGTTAAAAAGAAAGGCTGCCAGGATCTTTAATTTAAAGACCCTTGCTCCCTTCTTTCTCAACGTAGACTTTGATCTGAAGCCATTCTTGTGATTCTTGTGATTTTGCTATTCATTGTAAATGTTTGTAGGTCTATGTAGCCAAATTGTATCTATTATCGTATGTTATCCATTCATGCTTTTTATATGTTCTATTTATATATGTAAATCAACAAATGACATCAATCCACACCCGGCCACGATTACAGACACGTGTGTCCCTCCAAACTATATAAATTAGTGACCCGCATTGTTTGTCATTATACCCTGATGAAGACAGCTTGTCTGTCGAAACGTTGGTATTAAATTATTGCATCTGAGCTCCTGAAGTGTGAGGCTCTCCTTTTATTTTTCAAGTGTTCTACTCCACTAGCCAGCACCTCGCCTAAACAGGTGTGCGTTTCTTTCGCCTCCAGATATCAGACCGTATACCACGGGTATGACAAAATATTTATTTTTACTGCTCTAATTACATTGGTAACCAGTTTATAATAGCAATAAGGCACCTTGGGGGTTTGAGGTATATTTGCAATATACCACGGCTAAGGGCTGTATCCAGGAACTCTGCGTTATGTTGTGCCTAAAAACAGCCCTTAGCCGTGGTATATTGGCCATAATGCTTATATATACACTGAGTGTACAAAACAGTAGGAACACCTGCTCTTTCCATAACCTAGAATGACCAGGTGAATCCAGGTGAAAGCTATGATCTCTTGTTTATGTCTCCTGTTAAATCCACGTCAATCAGTGTACATGTAGGGGAGAAGAAAGGTTACAGAAGGATTTTCAAGCCTTGAGACAATTGAGACATGCTTTGTGTATGTGTGCCATTCAGAGGGTGAATTGGGAAGACAAAAGATTTAAGTGCTTTTGAAAAATCTCTAAAACCATGTTGGAGGCGGCTTATGGTAGAGAAATAAACATTCAATTTTCTGGCAACAGCTCTGATGGACATTCCTGCAGTCAGCATGCCAATTGCACGCTCCCTCAAAACCTGAGACATCTGTGGCATTGTGTTGTGTGACAATACTGCACATTTTAGAGTGACCTTTTATTGTCCCCAACACAAGGTGCACCTGTGTAATAATCATGCTGTTTGATCAGCTTCTTGATATGCCACACCTGTCAGGTGAATGGATTATCTTGGAAAATGATAAATGCTCAGTAACAGGGATGTAAACAAATGTGTGTCGCAAAATGTGAGAGATTTAAGCTTTTTGTGCGTATGGAACATTTCTGGGATATTTCATTTCAGCGCATGAAACATGGGACCAACACTTTACATGCTGCGTTTATATTTTTGTTCAGTGTACATTATTAATTTGCCTGGTAGACGTCCTATGAGAATTGGCCAAAAATCTACCCAGTGGATTTGTGTACATTTACTAGCATGTGCAGGTGACTATTAACTTATGAGCCTGAGCCCCATGAAGGACAATATCAGTGTGATCTAAGTGTCATGGAACTACAACACACCAGTTCCTAGGTAGTCACGATAGCTAAAGAAAACTACTGTGTCATCAGCTTCTGTCCAGCCGTCATCACAGTATTTCAGCAGTGCCACAAACACCTGACCCTGTTCCATTCTATTCACTAGCTCAGAAGTACTAATAGGACTACTGAGGGGCTCACGTTGCGGGACCCTTCGTCAAATATTTATACTGACAGACCTGGTTAGTATGACTTGGTAAGTCAATGTGAGGCTATAGATGGGATTATCCCCCAGTATAACTGGGTGGTTCAAGCCCTGAATGCTGATTGGCTGAAAGCCATGGTATATCAGACTGTTTGAAAAAGAAAAGGAGAGCCTCACACTTTAGGAGCTCAGATGCAATAATTTAATAACCAACGTTTCGACAGACAAGCTGTCTTCATCAGGGTATAATGACAAACACTGCGGGTCACTAATTTATATAGTTTGGAAGGACACATAGGTGTCTGTAATCGTGGCCGGGTGTGGCTTGATGTCATTGGTTGATTTACATATATAAATAGAACATATAAAAAGCATGAATGGATAACATACGATCATAGATACAATTTGGCCTACAAACATTTACAATGAATAGCAAAATCACACGAATGGCTTCAGATCAAAGTCTACGTTGAGACCGAAGGGAGCCTGGATAAGAGCGTCTGCTAAATGAATAAAATGTAAAATGTAAGCAACGGTCTTTAAATTAAAGATCCAGGCAGCCTCTCGTTTTAACAATAAATTGTAAAAGTCACACCCTCTCCTAGGGAGGGTGACAAGTTCGATGCCGATATAGCGAAGGGACGAAATAGAGTGGTTTGTTTCCAAAAAGTCCTTTGTAAAGGACACCAGCAGTATGATCTCTATCATTGAATCTCTTGATCCTCTCCCTGAGAATACTTTGTTAGTTACTTTTGATGTTGAGTCGTTATACACCAATATTCCACACGAGGGCGGTAATGAAGCCATGGAACATTTTCTTCTGCAACGTGACCCTAATAAACTACCTTCCAGTGCATGCATTTTAACATTGGCTGACATAGTACTCACACATAACTATTTCATGTTTCTAAACTATTTATTTATCCAGACAAAGGGTACTGCTATGGGATCCCCTATGGCTCCTAACTATGCTAAGTTACATGGGTTACATGGAGAAACGTTCAATTCTCAATCCTCTCAAAAATGTTTTTTTGCCTAACATTATTTGGAAACGGTATATTGATTATATTTTTGTTTTATGGTGGGGTGATGCAGAACAGCTCCAGGCATTCCATGATTTTCTTAACTCTTGTTCTGAGCACCTGAGATTTATTATGCAATCTGACACAGGTCAAATCAGTTTCCTTGATCTTTTGATTTTGTGTGAGGATAATGTTCTATACACTGATCTTTACAGGAAACCTACTGATCGTAACAGTTTGTTGAGGGCTGATAGATGTCACCCGCTTCCCTTGAAAACAGTTTGCCCTAAAGCCAGGCCCTAACAGTTTGTGGGCACCGTTTGTCACCGTTATAGTGCAATTAATGTATTGTTTAGTGTTGTGTTGTGTAGTGGCTTTGCTGGTATTCATTAAAAAATATATATATATGAGTTGGCCCCACCAAGATTTACATGCTAAAATTGCCACTGATCAATTGGTAAACTCTGATTTACCACCCCAAAATACCCCTGCGCAATGTTTATTTGTGCCTCTAACGGATGGAAACTACAGGTGTAATGGCTGTGCTCAATGCAATGGCACTTACAAATGTAGATCCTTCAAACACCCTCAAACAGGGAAACAGATCCCAATCAAAGGTGTTATCACTTGCTCCACTAAGGCAGTTATTTATCTTATAACTTGTCCTTGTGGTAAAAATTATGTGTGTAAAACGAAGCGCTAATTAAAAGTAAGAACCAGTGAGCATCGTAGCACCATTAGGTGCAAAAACTTGCCGTACCCAGTTGCGAACCACTCTATTTCGTCCCTTCGCTATATCGGCATCGAACACGTCACCCTCCCTAGGAGGGTTTATTGTTAAAAAGAAAGGCTGCCAGGATCTTTAATTTAAAGACCCTTGCACCCTTCTTTCTCAACGTAGACTTTGATCTGAAGCCATTCTTGTGATTCTTGTGATTTTGCTATTCATTGTAAATGTTTGTAGGTCTATGTAGCCAAATTGTATCTATGATCGTATGTTATCCATTCATGCTTTTTATATGTTCTATTTATATATGTAAATCAACCAATGACATCAAGCCACACCCGGCCACGATTACAGACACGTGTGTCCCTCCAAACTATATAAATTAGTGACCCGCATTGTTTGTCATTATACCCTGATGAAGACAGCTTGTCTGTCGAAACGTTGGTATTAAATTATTGCATCTGAGCTCCTGAAGTGTGAGGCTCTCCTTTTATTTTTCAAGTGTTCTACTCCACTAGCCAGCACCTCGCCTAAACAGGTGTGCGTTTCTTTCGCCTCCAGATATCAGACCGTATACCACGGGTATGACAAAATATTTATTTTTACTGCTCTAATTACATTGGTAACCAGTTTATAATAGCAATAAGGCACCTTGGGGGTTTGAGGTATATTTGCAATATACCACGGCTAAGGGCTGTATCCATGAACTCTGCGTTATGTTGTGCCTAAAAACAGCCCTTAGCCGTGGTATATTGGCCATAATGCTTATATATACACTGAGTGTACAAAACAGTAGGAACACCTGCTCTTTCCATAACCTAGAATGACCAGGTGAATCCAGGTGAAAGCTATGATCTCTTATTTATGTCTCCTGTTAAATCCACGTCAATCAGTGTACATGTAGGGGAGGAGAAAGGTTAAAGAAGGATTTTCAAGCCTTGAGACAATTGAGACATGATTTGTGTATGTGTGCCATTCAGAGGGTGAATTGGGAAGACAAAAGATTGAAGTGCTTTTGAATGGGGTATGGTAGTAGATGCCAGGCACACTTAGTTTGTGTCAAGATCTGCCACCACCCAAAAGGTCATGCAGCCAACTTGACACAACTGTGGGAAGCATTGGAGTCAACATGAGCCAGCATCCCAGTGGAACGCTTTCGACACCTTGTAGAGTACATGCCCTGGCAAATTGAGGCTGTTCTAAGGACAATGGGGGGTGCAACTGAATATTAGGAGGGTGTTCCTAATGTTTTGTACACTCAGTGTGTGGATTAAGTCTTTATTCTGTTTTGAAAGAAGTGCATTTAATTGACCTTGGGTAATCCACCTGTGGACTTTTATCAGCAAAGGTCTAATGAGTGAGTGGCGTCTGGTCATTGTAAATGCACACTACAGTGCTCAAGATCAAGGGTAAATGGAGAACTGAACAGAGGGGCCATTATTTTACTATGCAGTGAATGGCTTCCACACAGAAACTACAATCAACGAATATAACTAAACCAAAGAAAATGATAGAGAACGTAGAGAATGGAAACGGGGCCAGAGAATGAGAATGGAATATTTGGGGTGGTGTGGATTGAGAGGAACGGCATGGCAGCAGAGACCTCAGAGGGACAATAATGACTAGAACAGCGCCGGAGAAGATGGCTGCCGTTTTACAGCCCTCTAACCAATTGTACTATTATGTGTGTTTTTCCGCGTTATTTGTAATTTATTTTGTACATAATGTTTCTGCCATCGTCTCTTATAACCAAAAAGAGCTTCTGGATATCAGGACAGCGATTACTCACCTCGTATTGGACGAAGATTTTTTCTTCAACGAGGCGGCCGCGAAGGATATCATACAGACACCCGACAAGGCCCAAATCCCCGTCATTCGCGTGAAGAAGAGACGGAGATATCGTGGACGCAGATCGGGGTGCCTTGTAAGGATCCGACGGCGAGCGAGTAAACTGCCTCTTCCATCAAGCCTATTAGCCAACGTTCAATCTTTTGAAAATAAAGTGGACGATTTAAGATTACGGTTATCCTACCAACGGGACATTAAAAACTGTAATATATTATGTTTCACCGAGTCGTGGCTGAACGACGACAATGATAACATTCAGCTAGCAGGCTATACGCTACATCGGCAGGACAGAACGGCTGACTCTGGTAAGACAAGGGGTGGCGGTCTGTGTATATTTGTAAACAACAGCTGGTGCACAAAACCAAATACTAAGGAAGTCTCGAGGTTTTGCTCGCCTGAGGTAGAGTATCTTATGATAAGCTGTAGACCACACTATTTACCAAGAGAGTTTTCATCTATATTTTTCATAGCTGTCTATTTACCACCACAAACCAATGCTGGCATTAAGATTGCACTGAATGAGTTGTACAAGGCCATTAATCAACAGTAAAACGCTCATCCAGATGCAGCGCTCCTAGTGGCCGGGGACTTTAATGCAGGGAAACTTAAATCCGTTCTACCTAATTTCTACCAGCATGTTAAATGTGCAACCAGAGGGAAAAAAACTCTAGACCACCTTTACTCCACACACAGAGACGCATACAAAGCTCTCCCTCGCCCTCCATTTGGCAAATCTGACCATAACTCTATCCTCCTGATTCCTGCTTATAAGCTAAAACTAAAGCGGGAAGCACCAGTGACTCGGTTAATAAAAAAGTGGTCAGATGACGCAGATGCTAAGCTACAGGACTGTTTTGCTAGCACAGACTGGAACATGTTCCGGGATTCTTCAGACAGCATTGAGGAGTACACCACATCAGTCACTGGCTTCATCAATAAGTGCATCGATGATGTCGTCCCCACAGTGACCGTACGTACATACCCCAACCAGAAGCCATGGATTACAGGAAACATCCGCACTGAGCTAAAGGGTAGAGCTGCCGCTTTCAAGGAACGGGACTCTAACCCGGACGCTTATAAGAAATCCCGCTATGACCTCCGACGAACCATCAAACAGGCAAAGAGTCAATACAGGTCTAAGATTGAATCGTACTACACTGGCTCTGACGCTCGTCGGATGTGGCAGGGCTTGAAAACTATTACAGACTACAAAGGGAAGCACAGCCGCGAGCTGCCCAGTGACACAAGCCTACCAGACGAGCTAAACCACTTCTATGCTCGCTTCGAGGCAAGCAACACTGAAGCATGCATGAGAGCACCAGCTGTTCCGGATGACTATGTGATCACGCTCTCCGTAGCCGATGTGAGTAAGACTTTTAAGCAGGTCAACATTCACAAGGCCGCAGGGCCAGACGGATTACCAGGACGTGTACTCCGAGCATGTGCTGACCAACTGGCAAGTGTCTTCACTGACATTTTCAACATGTCCCTGACTGAGTCTGTAATACCAACATGTTTCAAGCAGACCACCATAGTCCCCGTGCCCAAGGACTCTAAGATAACCTGCCTAAATGACTACCGACCCGTAGCACTGACGTCTGTAGCCATGAAGTGCTTTGAAAGGCTGGTCATGGCTCACATCAATAGCATTATCCCAGAAACCCTAGACCCACTCCAATTTGCATACCGCCCCAACAGATCCACAGATGATGCAATTTCTATTGCACTCCACACTGCCCTTTCCCACCTGGACAAGAGGAACACCTACGTGAGAATGCTATTCATTGACTACAGCTCAGCATTCAACACCATAGTGCCCTCTAAGCTCATCACTAAGCTAAGGATCCTGGGACTAAACACCTCCCTCTGCAACTGGATCCTGGACTTCCTGACGGGCCGCCCCCAGGTGGTAAGGGTAGGTAACAACACATCTGCCACACTGACCCTCAACACAGGGGCCCCTCAGGGGTGCGTGCTCAGTCCCCTCCTGTACTCTCTGTTCACCCATGACTGCATGGCCAGGCACGACTCCAACACCATCATTAAGTTTGCCGACGACACAACAGTGGTAGGCCTGATCACCGACAACGATGAGACAGCCTATAGGGAGGAGGTCAGAGATCTGGCCGTGTGGTGCCAGGACAACAACCTCTCCCTCAACGTGACCAAGACAAAGGAGATGATTGTGGACTACAGGAAAAAAAAGAGGACTGAGCACGCCCCCATTCTCATCGACGGGGCTGTAGTGGAACAGGTTGAGAGCTTCAAGTTCCTTGGTGTCCACATCACCAACGAACTATCATGGTCCAAACACACCAAGACAGTCGAGAAGAGGGCACGACAAAGCCTATTCCCCCTCAGGAGACTAAAAAGATTTGGCATGGGTCCTCAGATCCTCAAAAAATTCTACAGCTGCACCATCGAGAGCATCCTGACTGGTTGCATCACCGCCTGGTATGGCAACTGCTTGGCCTCCGACCGCAAGGCACTACAGAGGGTAGTGCGTACGGCCCAGTACATCACTGGGGCAAAGCTTCCTGCCATCCAGGACCTCTATACCAGGCGGTGTCAGAGGAAGGCCCTCAAAATTGTCAAAGACTCCAGCCAACCTAGTCATAGACTGTTCTCTCTGCTACCGCACGGCAAGCGGTACCGGAGTGCCAAGTCTAGGTCCAAAAGACTTCTCAACAGCTTCTACCCCCAAGCCATAAGACTCCTGAACAGCTAATCATGGCTACCCGGACTATTTGCACTGCCCCCCCCACCCCATCCTTTTTACGCTGCTGCTACTCTGTTAAGTATTTATGCATAGTCACTTTAACTCTACCCACATGTACATATTACCTCAACTACCTCAACTAGCCGGTGCCCCCGCACATTGACTCTGCAACGGTACCCCCCTGTATATATAGCCTCCCTACTGTCACTTTATTTTACTTCTGCTCTTTTTTTTCTCAACTTTTTTTGTTGTTTTATTTTTACTTTTTTTGTTTAAAATAAATGCACTGTTGGTTAAGGGCTGTAAGTAAGCATTTCACTGTAATGTCTGCACCTGTTGTATTCGGCGCATGTGACCAATAAAATTTGATTTGATTTGATTTGAGAGTGGATGACGTGAAGACACAAGAGGTCAACATGGTCACGCTGATTAAGTAGACATGCAAATAAACAACTTGGGCTCTTTCCAGCTGCCATTAAGCCCGACTCTCACTCTGATTAACAGCTATGCTCCTGTGTCACAACACAGTACCTCACCACAGTGCCAAATGTCTACCCAGCAAACATGCCCACATTGGCACGATTGCAGGATCGGTCCTAAACTATGTGCTCTCTGTCACCTGGGACCACATGGCAAATGGCCCAGGAATGCAAGGAAAACACAAGGGACAAAGATGTAAGGACCAGTCACCCTTCCCCCCTCTGAGGGGCCAACATGTATCTCTCTCTACATCAGTAAACAGAGAATTGACTACAGAAATGTGTGTAGAATAACAAAATTGCATCCATGTTTGGAATCTATTTGAAACTCGTCCCATGAGGAGAACTCTGATGCTATTTATATGGATGTATGACCTCTGTGGTCCCTTGTAGTTGTTCAGAGTAAACTCTGACGACACTAAAGTATATGCAATTGTCCTACTCAGCCCACCCCCTCAGGTCATCACACATACACTCTTGGCATTCTCTCAACCAGCTTCATGAGGAATGCTTTTCCAACAGTCTTGAAGGAGTTCCCACATATGCTGCACACTTGTTGGCTGCTTTTCCTTCACTCTGCGGTCCCATATCATATTATATACTTACAGTGCCTTCGGAAAGTATTCAGACCCCTTGACCTTTTCCACATTTTGTTACGTTACAGCCTTATTCTAAAATTGATTAAATAAATAAAAATCCTCAGCAATCTACACACAATAGCCCATAATGACAAAGCGAAAACAGATTTTTAGAAATGTTTGCAAATGCATAAAAAAAAAGATACCATATTTAAGTAAGTATTCAGACCCTTTGCTAAGAGACTCGAAATTGACCTCAGGTCCATCCTGTTTCCATTGATCATCCTTGAGATGTTTATACAACTTGATTGGAGTACACCTGTGGTAAATGCAATTGATTGGACATGATTTGGAAAGGCACACACCTGTCTATATAAGGTCCCACAGTCAGAGCAAAAACCAAGCCATGAGGTCGAAGGAATTGTCTGTAGCACTCCGAGACAGGATTGTGTCGGTGCAAAGATCTGGGGAAGGGTACCCAAACATGTCTGCAGCATTGACAGTCCCCAAGAACACAGTGGCCTACATCATTCTTACATGGAAGAAGTTTGGAACCACCTTCCTAGAGCTGGCCACCTGGCCAAACTGAGCAATCGGGGGAGAAGGGCCTTGGTCAGAGAGGTGACCAAGAACCCAATGGTCACTCTGACGGAGCTCCAGAGTTCCTCTGTGGAGATGGTAGAACCGTCCAGAAGGACAACCATCTCTGCAGCACTCCACCAATCAGGCCTTTATGGTAGAGTGGCCAGACGGAAGCCACTCCTCATTAAAAGTCACATGACAGCCTGCTTGGAGTTTGCCAAAAGGCACCTAAAGACTCTCAGGCCATGAGAAACAAGATTCTCTGGTGTGATGAAACCAAGATTGAACTATTTGGCCTAAATGCCAAGCGTCACGTCTGGAGGAAACCTGGTACCATCCCTACGGTGAAGCATGGTGGTGGAAGCATCATGCTGTGGGGATATTTTTCAGCGGCAGGGACTGGGAGACTAGTCAGGATCGAGGGAAAGATGAATGGAGCAAAGTATAGAGAGATCCTTGATGAAAACCTGCTCCAGAGCGCTCATGACCTCAGACTGGGGCGAAGGTTTACCTTCCAACAGTACAACGACCGTAAGCACACAGCCAAGACAACGCAGGAGTGGCTTCGGGACATGTCTCTGAATGTCCTTGAGTGGCCCAGCCAGAGCCCGGACTTGAAACCGATCTAACATCAATTTTAGAATAAAGCTGTAACGTAACAACATTTTGAAAAAGTCAAGGGGTCTGAAAACTTTCCAAAGGTGCTGTATATCAAATGTGATGTGGGCCCAATGCGGGCTAAAATATTGTCCCTATGTAGGCTGCCCACATTGGACCGATGCGCCTTTGCTCATCGGCTTCACAATGGCCCCATGGCAGGTGGCCCCAAGTGCAGCCCTATCTTCGCCTTAAATAAGCCCACCGTTTGGATCGGCTGCCCTTATTGGGCCCATTTGGACCCCATGAGTTCATTGTGTTGGCCCTATGTGTAATGCCCACCCTATGCCAATTGATCCGTTTTATCTATGATTTAATAATAGGAATGTATTTAAAATATTTTTTGTCCACAATTATTTATTACAATTTACCTCAATGTATACATTGTATCATTTTCAAACCATAAAGGTATTTAGCGAATGTGTTACATTTTATCAGAAAGACAACCAAGTTGTTACTAGTATCATACATATATTTTTTACAAGGGAAAGTATTACGTTTGTCATGTCACATGCACTTATTTATGTCTTTAAAAAAAAACATTATTGGCAGGGTACAAGATCCCAAAAATGTTGTCATCACACAACAGAACACAAAGTGGAACTGACAGCTTTTTAGCATCATGAAATCTTATTAATATCTGTTCATATACACCCCCAGGAAGAATGACACCTTTTAGTATTTTAAATTTTTTGACAAGCAAGCACTTAGATATGGTAATTTTCATGTTTTCATAAATTCTTAGAATGTTTGGTAATGAGGTATAGTGAAATTCTATAGCAATATAGACTGGAAAACTGACTGTACATTAGGAAAATTAATAGACACCGCAGTAAATAAAATCAAATAAAAACATCTGTCTCATTCAGGCTCGGTGTCTACGCAGACCGGTGCGCCGTAGCCAATCAGAACTACAGTAGGCCGGACTGCCATCATTCACCTTGAACAGCACTGTGTTTACAGGCAGTAGCAACAGCGCGACTTTAGATCATTAGAACACATTCGCCAAAAGCCACAAAATACACCTGAATGGATTTCAGCAAATATGTAAATACCACGGGAGGTAGGCACTCTCCTTCAGTTATGCACATCAACAAGATCAACAACTAATGCTAGCCAGAGCAAGATGAGCTCAAATCTAATGAGTGAACATTAGATAAACCCTCAAACTTTTTTCAGCTAGTTGGCTGTCAAAATTGCACTGATAAACGAAGGGGAATAGTAGCCTTCTCGTCCTTCTGCAGCTTGCCTGCCAATGCATGCTTGTCCCAACCCACGTTTTGACAACTGAATGGGAACTTCTTCTTCTTCTTCGATGAGGTTTAACGGCGGTTGCCATCCAATAAATGTTGCATTACCGCCATCTACTAGACTGGAGTATAACTTCCTTATACTTTGCTTGAAAAATAAATAAACAAATACCGTACCATCTAAAACTACACTCACAAATAAATTAAAAATAAACACCCTACTCCACTATTTAAATCTATTTAGTCCTACTTCAGGCCAACAGCCTGAAAGGATGGGACACCACCACTTAACACTCCCTGTAACTCTTCTGACATCAAGTCTCGCACACCCAAATACCTCTCTGCAGCTGCCACCACAACATCAATTTTCTGCGACTTACGTTTCATCCCTGCAGTACAGTTGATAACCATTGCTATAAATGCTAAAAATCCAATCTTACTGAAACATATATCACTTGTTGGTTTATCCCTCTGTACTGGTACAGATCTACTACTCACACCACTCCTCTCAGGATCCCTCCCCCTTGACCCATCTTCCTCTACTTTCTTCACTGCCTCAGCATATGACAACTTCTGCACTACTCTAACCCTGGAAACCTCAACCTGCCTCTCTCGCACGTGACATTTCGGATCCCCAGCCCAATGGGCACCCTACAATTAACACAAACCACCACTTTCCCCAATGCTACACATTCCTTTGTCTCATGCCCTTCTGCACACTTTTCACACCTAGGAACATCCCTCCTACACACTGCTGCCACATGCCCATAAACTTGACACCTGTAACAACGTAATGCATTCGGCACAAAGGCTTGTACAGGATAATTTATATATCCTAACATCACTTTGTCGGGCAAAGACTCAACATCAAAACTCAAGAACAGACAACGACTCTTCTGTTTCACCACTCACGCCACCCTGTCTGCGTCGCACCAAATGACGAGCATCACAAACACTGGGAATCTTCGCCTTCAGTTGGTCAACTTTCACATTTACCGCTACCCAAGTAATCACGCCTTTCAATGGCACCCTTTTCCTGAGAGCATAAATGGGAACTTGCCTGCCTGCCCGCCCATTTGATCAATGCCAAATACATTTGATTGACAACTAGCTAAGGGTGCGTTCATAAATTGCCTCCAGTGTGTCAGAGTGCGCTCTGGGTCGTTCGTAAATTCAGAGTGCTTCGCTCTCCAAGTGTTCAGAGTGCACACTGTACGATTGACACTGGACGCTCTGGCCGAGGAGTAGGGTTGATCCGAGCATTCCTCACAACAGCAGTCAAGCACCGAACTGGCTAAAGTTGGCTAGCTACTTCCAGACACAATTGAGAGAACACCTCACTCTGACAATTTTACTCGCCCTAGCAGAGCTGATTAGGCTGTTTACCTGTTATCTAGAGCATTCGTGACTTACTGTTACTTTCTTTGCATATGTTTACTGACACCGGTCATATTCAGCGAGTGTTGCGTGTTCGTAAATTCATCAGTTATTCTGCGCTCTGACACACTCAGATAAGAGTGCTCTGAAATCGGAGTAGAAAGCCAGAGTGAATATACGAACGCAAGAGATATGTTAACTGGATAAAAGTTGTTCAAGTTCAGCATAGCTAGCTAGTAAAGCAATTCACATTCTAGCTTTAGCCACCGAAAAACGATATGAGGGGAAAAAGTCGGTCAGTCACCCACTCCTCCAATGACATGACATCATCCCAGCAGCTAGCTAGCTAACATTAGGCTCTGTGTTTTTAGCTTGCTAAATAAAGAGCTACATTAGTAGATACTCTAGCCTATTAGCCATGTTATGACTGACTTGTGATCATTGCCCTTGCTAGTTTGATTGAATTGACATTCACAGCCTTAGTTACATTCGTCTGGAGTTGAAACGGTCAAACGTTTTAGAACACTTCCACATTCAAGGGTTATTCTTTATTTTGACTATTTTCTACATTGTAGAATAATAGTGAAGACATCAAAACAATGAATGAACACATATGGAATCATGTAGTAACCAAAAAAGTGTTAAACAAATCAAAATATATTTTATATTTGAGATTCTTCAAATAGCCATCCTTTGCCTTTATGACAGCTTTGCACACTCTTGGCATTCTCTCAACCAGCTTCACCTGGAATGCTTTTCCAACTGTCTTGAAGGAGTTCCCACATGTGCAGAGCACTTGTTGGCTGCTTTTCCTTCACTCTGCTGTCCGACTCATCCCAAACCATCTCAATTGGGTTGAGGTCGAGGGATTGTGGAGACCATGTCATCTGATGCAGCACTCCATCACTCTCCTTCTTGGTAAAATAGCCCTTATACAGCCTGGAGGTGTGTTGGGTCATTGTCCTGTTGAAAAACAAATGAGAGTCCCACTAAGCCCAAACCAGATGGGATGGCGTATCGCTGCAGAATGCTGAGGTAGCCATGCTGGTTAAGTGTGCCTTGAATTCTAAATAAATCACAGACAGTGTCACCAGCAAAGCACCCCCACACCATAGCACCTCCTCCTCCATGCTTTACGGTGGGAAGTACACATGCAGAGATCATCCGTTCACCCACACCACGTCTCACAAAGACACAGCGGTTGGAACCAAAAATCTCAAATTTGGACTCCAGACCAGAGGACAAATTTCCACCGGTCTAATGTCCATTGCTCGTGTTTCTTGGCCCAAGCAAGTCTCTTCGTATTATTGGTGTCCTTTAGTAGTGGTTTTCTGTGCAGCAATTCGACCATGAAGGCCTGATTCACACAGTCTCCTCTGAACAGTTGATGATGAGATGTGTCTGTTACTTGAACTCTGTGAAGCATTTATTTGGGCTGCAATTTCTGAGGTTGGTAACTCTAATGAATGTATCTTCTGCAGCAGAGGTAACTCTGGGTCTTCCATTCCTGTGGCGGTCCTCATGAGAGCCAGTTTCATCATAGCGCTTGATGGTATTTGCGACTGCACTTGAAGAAACTTTCAAAGTTCTTGAAATTTTCCGGAATGACTGAGCTTCATGTCTTAAAGTAATGATGGACTGTCGTTTCTCTTTGCTTATTTGAGCTGTTCTTGCCATAATATGGACTTGGTCTTTTACCAAATAGGTTATACCCCTCCTACCTTGTCACAACACAACTGATTGGCTCAAACGCATTAAGAAATAAACCAATTCCACAAAGTAACTGTTAAGAAGGCACACCTGTTAATCAAAATGCATTCCAAGTGACTACCTCATGACGCTGGTTGAGAGAATGCCAAGAGGGTGCAAAGCTGTCATCAAGGCAAATTTGGCTACTTTGAAGAATCTCAAATCTCAAATATATTTTGATTTGTTTAACAGTTTTTTTGTTACTACAGTGCCTTGCAAAAGTATTCATCCCCTTGGCGTTTTTCCTATTTTGTTGCATTACATCCTGAAATTTAAATAGATTTTTATTTGGATTTCATGTAATGGACATACACAAAATAGTCCAAATTGGTGAAGTGAAATGAAAAAAATAACTTGATTCAAAGAATTCAAAAAAATTAATAACGGAAAAGTGGTGCGTGTATGTGTATTCACCCCCTTTGCTTTGAAGCCCCTAAATAAGATCTGGTGCAACCAATTACCTTCAGAAGTCACATAATTAGTTAAATAAAATCCACCTGTGTGCAATCTAAGTGTCACATGATCTGTCACATGATCTCAGTATATATACACCTGTTCTGAAAGGCCCCAGAGTCTGCAAAACCTCTAAGCAAGGGGCACCACCAAGCAAGCGGCACCATGACAAACAACAAACCTGCCAAGAGAGAGCCGCCCACCAAAACTCACGGACCAGGCAAGGAGGGCATTAATCAGAGAGACAACAAAGAGACCAAAGATAACCATGAAGGAGCCACAAAGCTCCACAGTGGAGATTGGAGTATCTGTCCATAGGACCACTTTAAGCCGTACACTCCACAGAGCTGTGCTTTAGGGAAGAATGGCCAGATAAAAGCCATTGCTTGAAGTAAAAAATAAGCAAAAACGTTTGGTGTTCACCAAAAGGCATGTGGGAGACTCCCCAAACATATGGAAGAAGGTACTCTGGTCAGATGAGACTAAAATTGAGCTTTTTGGACTTCAAGGAAAACGCTATGTCTGGTGCAAACCCAACACCTCTCATCACCCCGAGAACACCATCCATGGTGGAGGCAGCATCATGCTGTGGGGATGTTTTTCATCGGCAGGGACTGGGAAACTGGTCAGAAATGAAGGAATGATGGATGGCACTAAATACAGGGAAATTCTTGAGGGAAACCTGTTTCAGTCCTCCAGAATTTGAGACTGGGACGGAGGTTCACCTTCCAGCAGGACAATGACCCTAAATATACTGCTAAAGCAACACTTGAATGGTTTAAGGGGAAACATTTAAATGTCTTGGAATGGCCTAGTCAAAGCCCAGACCTCAATCCAATTGAGAATCTGTGGTATGACTTAAAGATTGCTGTACACCAGCGGAACCCATCCAACTTGAAGGAGCTGGAGCAGTTTTTCCTTGAAGAATGGGCAAAAATCCCAGTGGCTAGATGTGCCAAGCTTATAGAGACATATCCCAAGAGACTTGCAGCTGTAATTGCTGCACAAGGTGGCTCAACAAACTATTGACTTTGGGGGGGTGAATAGTTATGAACGCTCAAGTTTTCTGTTTTTTTGTCTTATTTCTTGTTTGTTTCACAGGAAAAAAATATTTTGTATCTTCAAAGTGGTAGGCATGTTGTGTAAATCAAAAGATACAAACTCCCAAAAAAATCGATTTCAATTCCAGGTTGTAAGGCAACAAAATAGGAAAAATGCCAACGGGGGTGAATAATTCTGCAAGCCACTGTACATGATTCCATATGTGTTATTTCATGGTTTTGATGTCTTACCTATTATTCTACAATATAGAAAATAGTAAAAATAAAGAAAAACTCTTGAATGAATTTTTGACCGGTTGAGTAAGTATTCAGACCCTTTACTCATCACTTTGTTGAAACACCTTTGGCAGCGATTACAGCCTCAAGTCTTCTTGGGTATGACGTGTTATGTGAATTATTTAACAAACTATTTCAGTGTCTCTGTGCGTCTCCCAAAAGGTTGTAAGTCTTTTGGGATATGAGTAACGGACAGAGTCCCGGTCTGCATAGTCAGAGATTTATTCATTGAGAATTCTGCCATCACAATTTCAGAGTCCATCTTTTATACTCATATGTCATACAAAAATCCCTCCTCTCTGTAGGCGGGCTGTAGTTTTCCACTTTAAAACTGCTCTCCTGACCATCAGCACACACACACACACACACACACACACATGCACTCTTCCAAGCCTAACAGTTTCTCTCCTCCCTAAATTCCTCAGTTATCTTGGTTTCTCAGTTGCCTGTAGACAGTTCTCCTTGTCCTTTGTTGTCTGGTCTAACTCTTACTCACATTGCTAAATAGTAGCTCAATGTCATAGTCTTTACTGGTCCTACACTCACACATTCTAACACATTTCACACAGTTTCAGCGTGTAATAATTAGTCATTAATAATTAATCTATCAGACGCTACAAGCTTGGCACACCTGTATTTGGGGAGTTTCTCCAATTCTTCTCTGCAGATCCTCTTAAGCTCTGTCAGGTTGGATGGGGAGCATCGCTGCACAGCTATTTTCAGGTCTCTCCAGAGATGTTTGATACGGTTCAAGTCCGGGCTCTGGCTGGGCCACTCAAGGACATTCAGAGACTTGTCCCAACGCCAATCCTGCATTGTCTTGGCAGTGTGCTTAGGGTCGTTGTCCTGTTGGAAGGTGAACCTTCACCCCAGTCTGAGGTCCTGAGCGCTCTGGAGCAGGTTTTCATCAAGGATCTTTCTGTTCTTTGCTCCGTTCATCTTTCCCTCGATCCTGACTGGTCTCCCAGTCCTTGCAGCTGGAAATCATCCCACAGCATGATGCTGCCTCCACCATGCCTCACCATAGGGATGGTGCCAGGTTTCCTCCAGACGTGACGCTTGGCATTCAGGCCAAAGAGTTCAATCTTGGTTTCATCAGAGCTCAGTTTGGCCAGGCGGCCAGCTCTAGGAAGAGTCTTGGTGGTTCCAAACTTCTTCCATGTAAGAATGATGGAGGCCACTGTGTTCTTGGGGACCTTCAATGCTGCAGAATTGTTTTGGTACCCTTCCCCAGATCTGTGCCTCGACACAATCCTGTCTCGGAGCTCTACAGACATTTCTTCAACCTCATGGCTTGTTTTTTGCTCTGACATGCACTGTCAACTGTGGGAATTTATATAGACAGGTGTATGCCTTTCCAAATAATGTCCAATCAGTTAATTTACCCCAGGTGGACTCCCAATAAAGTTGTATAAACATCTCAAGGATGATCAATGGAAACAGGATGCACCTGAGCTCAATTTCGAGTCTCATAGCAAAGGGTGTGAATACTTATGTAAATACTTTTTATTTTCAATAAAGTATTAAATATTTCTAAAAAAACTGTTTTTGCTTTGTCATGATGTGGTATTGTGTAGATTGACGAGGAAAATGTTTTATTTAATCAATTTTAGAACAAGGTTGTAACGTAACAAAATATGGAAAAAGTCAAGGGGTCTGAATACTTTCCAAATGCACTGTGTCTATTCTGCCAACAATGCCTTACTGTACGTCATGGAATTTTTAGTCAAATATAACCTATTTTTAAAACCTCTTATAAAGTTGGTTTTGTAGCATAAACTTGGAATTTGATATTTTTGACAGATATTATGATTGTCTGTTTGTTTCATATCTGCAAAGTAGTTAAAATGCTGTCAGCCCACATACACAAACGCGCACTTGCATGGACACACACCAAGGCACACAAATGCACAAATATACTGTACACATCTGAGCCTGAGACTTCTCCGAACTGCAGAAGACCAACTCTATCAGAAATGTATATGCCCCCTCCTGTACTCCCTGTTCACCCATGACTGTGTGGCCAAGCACGCCTCCAACTCAATCATCAAGTTTGCAGACGACACAACAGTAGCAGGCTTGATTACCAACAATGACGAGACAGCCTACAGGGAGGAGGTGAGGGCTCTGGGAGTGTGGTACCAGGAAAATAACCTCTCACTCAACGTCAACAAAACAAAGGAGATGATCGTGGACTTCAGGAAACAGCAGAGGGTGCACCCCCCTATCCACATCGACGGGACCGCAGTGGAGAATGTGGAAAGCTTCAAGTTCCTTGGCTTACACATCACTGACAAACTGAAATGGTCCACCCACGCAGACAGTGTGGTGAAGAAGGCGCAACAGAGCCTCTTCAACCTCAGGAGGCTGAAGAAATTTGGCTTGGCACCTAAAACCCTCACAAACTTTTACAGATGCACAATTGAGAGCATCCTGTCGGGCTGTATCACCGCCTGGTACGGCAACTGCACCACCCGCAACCGCAGGGCTCTCCAGAGGGTGTTGCGGTCTGCCGAACGCATTACCGGGGGCAAACTACCCACCCTCCAGGACACCTACAACACCCGATGTCACAGGAAGGCCAAGAAAATATTCAAGGACATCAACCACACAAACCACTGCCTGTTCACCCCGCTATCATCCAGAAGGCGAGGTCAGTACAGGTGCATCAAAGCTGGGACAGAGAGCATGAAAAACAGCTTATATCTCAAGGCCATCAGACTGTTAAATAGCCATCACTAGCACATTAGAGGCTGCTGCTGCCTATTGAAATCACTGGGCACTTTAAGAAATGGAACACTAGTCAATTTAATAATGTTTACATATCTTGCACTACTCATCTCATATGTACAGTATATACTGTATCCTATAATATTCTACTGTATCGTAGTCCATGCCGCTCTGTCATTGCTTGTCCATATATGTATATATTCTTAAATTCCATTCTTACTTAGATTTGTGTGTATTGGTTATATGTTGTGAAATTGTTAGGTATTACTTGTTAGATATTACTGCACTGTCGGAGCTATAAGCACAAGCATTTCGCTACACCCACAATAATATCTGCTAAACACATGTATGTGACAAATAAAAATTGATTTGATTTGATTTTGATTTGATCTGCTTCTGTCTGGTGTCTACACCCTCCCCCCCCTCACTATCTCTCTTTCTCTCTCGCTCTCTCTTCCTGTCCTTTGTTTGCTCACTCCCTCCTCCTGTCAGTCTCCCTCATTGCCATTCCCCTTTCTCTCCCTGTCATCTTTCTCAGTGTTTATTGTCTACATCCTCCTATTCAATTGGATTATAGTTACGTCAGTGGGATGAGAAATAAATCATATCAAACAATTAAATGACAAGTGCTCTCTCTCTGTCTTTCTTTCTCTATTTTGTCTGTTTCTCTCTTTCTCACACACACACACACACACACGCACGCAGGCACACATGTACTTATGCACTGATACAAACACAACACACTAACTGGGATTGGTGATTATTGTGCATAAACACTCATCGACAGGTGGGAACGATAGTATTTGATGCTAACAAAAAAATCATTATTTTTATCTTCCTATCCCATAGGTGTCACACCAGCCTTCGCTTTGGCTCCCTCTCCTGTCCAGCTCAGGTGTTCGGCGTTCCCGGCCTTCTAGCTGCTGCCTAACCTGCTGCTGGCAAACGCCCTTCACTCATCAACCCCGGCCTTGTCTCGTCATCATTACACACACCTGGTTCCAATCCCCATCCTATTACTGTATACATATACTCCCGCTGTCATTTGTCTTTGTTGGTCATTGTATATGTTGCTTGTTTTCCTGAGAGGAATCTCTCCTACTATTTACTGAGTACTTTATATTTTGAACTGTGGGTTACGTCCCGCTTTAAGCTATGGTGCTTTAATAAATTCAGTAGTTCTAAATCTGCGACTGCCTCCTGCCTACTCCTCTCTACACTTGTGACAATAGGGAGCCGTTAGTCCTGTAAATACAGCGGATGAGGATGCATGAGAATCAGAGAGGCCTATATGTTTGAAGTCGCACTCCAGTCTCCTTTTCACCTAATTTATCACCTGATTTACTTAAGAAAATGTACATCTCAATAGGTGGTCCAGGTATCCTCATGACATGGCACAAGTGGGGGGATGGGCCTTTCCTCTTTTGTTCTGTATTGCTCCTCTATTGTTCCTCAAGCAGGGGGGAGGCTGATTACATCACAGGGCACCATCAGACCAACTCCTTGAACGGCCTACTATTTGAAGTTTGCGCTTGTCTAAAAAACTAAATTTTGCTCTAAACATATGTTTTTACCTGTAAGTGTGTGTATATTACTGTATATATATGTGACATATTGTTTTTCAACAGAAAAAGTAAAACAATTGTTGGAGTGCGTCTTTAACCAGAAATAGGTGCGCTAAAAACTGACTTCATCAAGGGGCGGACAGAGACGAACATGCTTGCAGAGAACTGATCTGAACCTTCACAGGCCAGAGGCTGGACGACAGAGAAGAGAGTATTAGGCAAGTTGAATGTAACTAACAAGGCTGACTGGGTTAGAGAATATCCTCCAGGACATGAAAATGTAGTGTGATGTGGACAAATGTCAGTGGATGTGGACAAGCTGTCTACTAAAACAGCTTTATTGATCTGAACCCCAGTAAAATCTTCCTGTGCCACTGTGCCACTGCCCCTCTAACCTCATATAAATAAAACACAACATATATTTTGGTCCTTGAGAAGCATGTTTATTGACATACAGTGAGGGAAAAAATGTTGATCCCCTGCTGATTTTCTACATTTGCCCACTGACAAAGAAATGATCAGTCTATAATTTTAATGGTAGGTTTATTTGAACAGTGAGAGACAGAATAACAACAAAAATATCCAGAAAAACGCATGTCAAAAATGTTATAAATTGATTTGCATTTTAATGAGGGAAATAAGTATTTAACCCCCTCTCAATCAGAAAGATTTCTGGCTCCCAGGTGTCTTTTATACAGGTAACGAGCTGAGATTAGGAGCACACTCTTAAAGGGAGTGCTCGTAATCTCAGCTTGTTACCTGTATAAAACACACCTGTCCACAGAAGCAATCAATCAATCAGATTCCAAACTCTCCACAATGGCCAAGACCAGAAAGCTCTCCAAGGATGTCAGGGACAAGATTGTAGACCTACACAAGGCTAGAATGGGCTACAAGACCATCGCCAAGCAGCTTGGTGAGAAGGTGACAACAGTTGGTGCGATTATTCGCAAATGGAAGAAACACAAAAATTCTGTCAATCTCCCGCTGCCTGGGGCTCCATGCAAGATCTCACCTTGTGGAGTTGCAATGATCATGAGAACGGTGAGGAATCAGCCCAGAACTACACGGGAGGAACTTGTCAATGATCTCAAGGCAGCTGGGACCATAGTCACCAAGAAAACAATGGGTAACACACTACGCCGTGAAGGACTGAAATCCTGCAGTGCCAGCAAGGTCCCCCTGCTCAAGAAAGCACATATACAAGCCCGTCTGAAGTTTGCCAATGAACAGCTGAATGATTCAGAGGAGAACTGGGTGAAAGTGTTGTGGTCAGATGAGACCAAAATCGAGCTCTTTGGCATCAACTCAACTCGCCGTGTTTGGAGGAGGAGGAATGCTGCCTATGACCCCAAGAACACCATCCCCACCGTCAAACATGGAGATGGAAACATTATGCTTTGGGGCTGTTTTTCTGCTAAGGGGACAGGACAACTTCACCGCATCAAAGGGACGATGGACGGCGCCATGTACCGTCAAATCTTGGGTGAGAACCTCCTTCCCTCAGCCAGGGCATTGAAACTGGGTCGTGGATGGGTATTCCAGCATGACAATGACCCAAAATACACGGCCAAGGCAACAAAGGAGTGGCTCAAGAAGAAGCACATTAAGGTCCTGGAGTGGCCTAGCCAGTCTCCAGACCTTAATCCCATAGAAAATCTGGGGAGAGAGCTGAAGGTTCGAGTTGCCAAACGTCAGCCTCGAAACCTTAATGTCTTGGAGAAGATCTGCAAAGAGGAGTGGGACAAAATCCCTCCTGAGATGTGTGCAAACCTGGTGGCCAACTACAAGAAATGCCTGACCTCTGTGATTGCCAACAAGGGTTTTTCCACCAAGTACTAAGTCATGTTTTGCAGAGGGGTCAAATACATATTTCCCTCATTAAAATGCAAATCGATTTATAACATTTGTGACATTTTCTGGATTTTTGTTTTTTTATTCTGTCTCTCGCTGTTCAAATAAACCTACCATTAAAAGTATAGACTGATCATGTCTTTGTCAGTGGGCAAACGTACAAAATCAGCAGGGGATCAAATACTTTTTCCCCTCACTGTATGTTCTAGGAGATAAAGTAAACCATGGGAGAACAGTTAATCCCAAGGATCCAAACAGTGGACATCTGAAGTGTTCATCTCACAGCTGTCAGTCTTTTAGTACTCATTCCATGGATCATACAGACATTTGTCGTATCGGGTGAATGGTGGCAATTATTGCTGTCAACAAAGAGTCCGCTTAGGCTGCACCGTGTTTTAGAGGCTTTTATTAATATCACACGGTTACAGCATAAGTTACAGACCCGCGAAGTCTGGAGAAGCCCCGTTTCCCAAATTAATCTGAACGCTTCTGACTCTTCTTCGTTTTTCCCCCAGTATATATAAACTCCCCAAGATGTGGGTGGCTCCCTCTACTGTCCAATCCCCTGTCTACACCACACTTCCTGTCTGTTGTATGTGGCGTTACACTAAAACATTCCCTCTTGATACTAAAATTAACATTCTTTCAGTTCCACTTAAAAACATTTAACAACGTCATAATCTCAATACACGACAATTGTCTTGCATTTTCCATGACAAAAATAGACACAGGCCTTTCTAATGATTGACCAAGCGAGGAAATGTCAAGTACTCAGTAAACAATAGCAGCTGAGACATTATGTAACCGTCCATTGTATGTTGATTACCTCGTTATTAATAATGTAAGAGACTGTGATATGTGACCTAAAATAATGATTTTGATAGTGGATTGCTTCCATGTTTCTTTGTTTAATCACCTTATTATTGAGGAAGACATTGTTGTGGTTGAAAATGTGATAAAATACACATTAGCTTTGTCTGCTGCGTAAATGCGGGAGTTGCCCTTGGGGTGAGTTGTTTGCAATGCAGGGGTGCGTTGTTTGCAATGCAGATGATGCTGTGGCTGACAGCTGGGATCCAATCACTGTATGACCAGTATCATCTAACAGTTGTGTATCAAAAGACATCACTGACTGACTCAAGTGTATACATAATACAGTAGATGGGCTCTACAGGTCTTAGTACCGTTTTTAGCTTTGGTGCAATTTTCAAGTATATGGAAAATGTTCACAAGTCTTAGTACAAAACTCAAAACAGATAATCAAAAAGGCAGTTGTTTCAAAACTCTAAGCACATTTTCAGTTGACTAAACACAACACACAGAATCATCCAGTCACTTTTCACCAAACTTAATCAGTGTTTTATCTACACTGAACAAAAATAGAAACACCACATGTAAAGTGTTGGTCCCATGTTTCATGAGCTGAAATTAAAGATTCCAGACATTTTCCATATGCACAAAAAACATATTTCTTTCAAATGTTGTGTACAATTTTGTTTACATCCCTGTTAGTGAGCATTTCTCCTTTGCCAAGATAATCCATCCACCTGACAGGTGGCCCATTGTCGTGCCATTCATCCGCCGCCATCACCTCATGTCGCAAGGATCTATACACAATTCCTGGAAGCTGAAAATGTCCCAGTTCTTCCATGGCCTGCATACTCACCAGACATGTCACCCATTGCGCATGTTTGGGATGCTCTGGATCAACGTGTACGACACCGTGTTCCAGTTCCTGCCAATATCCAGCAACTTTGTACAGCCATTGAAGAGGAGTGGGACAATATTCTACAGGCCGCAATCAACAGCCTGACCAACTCTATGTGAAGGAGATGTGTCGCGCTGCAAGAGACAAGTGGGGGTCACACCAGATACTGACTGGTTTTCTGATCCACAACCCTACTTTTTTTTAAAGGTATCTGTGACTAACAGATGCATATCTGTATTCCCAGTCATGTGAAATCCATAGATTAGGGCCTAATGAATTTATTTCAATTGACTGATTTCCTCATATGAACTGTAACAGGGCGGCAGGTAGCTTAGTGGGTAAGAGCGTTGTGTCGCTGGTTCTAATCCCAGAGCTGACTAGGTGAAAAATCTGTCGATGTGCCCTTAAGCAAGGCACTTAACCCTAATTGCTCCTGTAAGTCGCTCTGGATAAGAGCGTCTGCTAAATGACTAAAATGTAAAAAAAATGTAACCGTTTTTTCAATGGGTGGGGGGGGGGATTACAATACAGATAGAAGATGTATGATTGCCATCTCCACGAGTGTACCAGCCTCCTTCAGGCCATGGATGAGGCATGCAATGATTTCAATTTCCTATGTCAGCCTTGGATTCGCCATGCCAAAAGGATTTTCCCCAGGTGCATGAACAATGAGGATATTTACTGTGATGTCGATGAGAACCTATTGCCAAATGCTCAAGACAGTTTATTTCATTTCTTTAATGTCTTTCATTTGATTACATTGTGTAAGATTTCTTCAATGATCACACCTTTGATCAAACATGGGATCGAAATTATGGAAATGTGATGTTCAGTCAATTTTAATGGGTAGTGCAAGTGTATTGCCTAATGTGAAAACAGTGTAATGTACTCAATTTACAGTACTGTAGTATACTACATTCAAAGTGCTATTTTGAAACATGCATCTTTTTCTTTTTTTTTGCGTGTGACTAACACATTTCTGTTAATTTCTATAGCTCCCCCTTGGGCCAATCAGTGCAATTTTGTAAATGACAGATCTCTATGGCACGACACCATCATTCACCCAAGTTCCATCAAAATCGGGGGCATTGGTGTCTGAGATATCACGTGTGACTAATGTACATACAGTTGATTATTATAGCACCCCCTTGGGCCAATTAGTGTCATTTTGTAAATGTAGGATCTCTATGGCAAGACACATCATTCACCCAAGTTTCGTCAAAATCGGGCCAGTGGTGACTGAGATATCGCATGAGTTAGCTAGACTCGTATCCCTGAGTATGTGTGCCAAATTTCATCACTGAGTCAAACAGATCAAGAGATATAAACATGTGCCCATTATTGCATCACCTTGTGGTTGATATGAATGTTCTTGCTTATGTTGAGTCTTGACAGGGTTTGCAACATGTGTACCAAAGTTTGTTACAATACAAATATCCTTGACTGATTTATATGCATTTATGTTTCCAGACCACGCCCATGTGAATGTTTATTGGCCAATGTTGTTTTAGGTACTAAGTTGGAAAATATTGCGTTGAGAGACCTTTGTCCATAGATGCCACATATCAAGTTTCGTGCAGATCGGTCAATTGGTGCCAGAAGAAAAAGTGTTTTTCACAAAATTCTAAATGTTGGAAAATCCATCATGGTGGACCTTATGGGGCCCTTAGGCAAATGTTTCCTTGTGAGGAGAGGGACCTATGTTCCGAATTTCATGACTTTACGTCAAACGGGGTGAGGAGCGTGACCTTTTTAAATTAGCATTTTCTTCACCATCTGGCCAATCAGTGTAATGTTGTAAATGCCGGATCTCTATGGCAAGATGCATCATTCACCCAAGTTTCATCGAAATCGGGCCAGTGCTGTATGAGATATGGCATGTGACTAATGTACTAACGGACGGAGACAGATCCACAGTCCCTTCCCCTGATTTCATTGTGGGGGACAAAAAAACTGTAAACCACATACTGTATCCTAATCACAGAGTCATTATCTTTCAAATCAGTGAAGGAAGTGAACAAGTGCACACTTTGGGAGGATGGAAAGATAAATTGGGACTGAGGGTGAATCTCAATTGCATGCTCCTTGCGTCCTCTCTCCTCGCCTACCTCTCAAAACCCATTGGAGGAGAAGGTCATAGGAGAGGGACCCATAGCCAAAGAGTGAGGTGAGTCCCAAATCACCCCCTTCCCCTTCTCCCCACCCCCCTGCCCTCCTTTTGCATGTTCAAGCGTGCCGCCGCCATATGCACAAGTGTCCCAAAGCTGAGTGAGTGAAAATTATGGAGGGTGTGGGGGCTAATTAGACCCGCCGATAACCACTTTGACCGAGCCAGCAACGCTGCAGGCTTCAGAGTGAAGTGGAATCCCATAAGACACTGTGTTATTTTTGAGTTTGCGCAATTTCACACAAAAGAATGGAGAGGCGCCTAATCATATGCCTCGTGCATTTGTTATGTCGGATTTCGAAACCTGACATGTAAAAGATGAATTACCTCCCAAATTAAATGTTTAACTGTTACTGAGGTTTATATCTTGCAAAACGACAGGGGGATTTGTTCATTTGAATGTCATGCTTGTTTTATTATTTAAAAGTGGAACATGAATTGCATCATTCAAGCCACGAGTGTTTCCCGAAGTTGATGAGTTTATTCGGCTTGTTCGACATTGCAGCTGACAATGCAGTCGACAGCCATCTGACTGATCTGCAAGGAACCTTGCATCATAAATAACTACTCATTATTATTTATAGATCAGAGTCAGTCACAATTTACCCATGATTCATTGCGGTTTTGATTTGATCCTCTTGAACACAGCTAATGATTCCCTCACCACTCTCTGGAAGTCGCCCTTGGAGTTTTGTCAGCAACAGGTGACAATGGAGGGCCCTTCGAGCGAGTTTGTAGGGGCGAGGGGGTGGTTTGGGATCTATTGTGAGAGATGGAGAGCAATGTTACTCTCTGCTTTTCTCTGCTGGCCATTGTCAGTAATGAAGTCATCTTTTGGACAATGTAAACTTGTTTTGACACAATTAATATCACAGCTGCTATCATTTTGAAGATTCTGGTATACAAAAACAAACAAAACACTCACACACATGCACACACTGAAACACACATGCATGCATGAACGCAAAAGAACATTCACACACACACACACACACACACACACACACACACACACACACACACACACACACACACACACACACACACACACACACACACACATACCCCCACCCACCACCTCTCTCTCTGTGCTGATGTGATGTGTGATGCTGTCAACTGGACTCTAATGTAGGGGGAGGGTAGATATATTTATAGATATATTTACAGATATAGTTAGACACACATTACCAACAGAAAAGTATCTCCATTACAATTATTAAATAGAGCGTGGAATACAGTACAATTACACACAGAACTAATTCAATTATGTTTTGTGCAATTGCAAAAGTGCTATTGAAAAAATGTAACAAAAACATATATGACGGTCAAATGTTTGTGCATGAATGTGCTCACTGCAAATATTTTGTTCACAGTGTGAAAATATATTCATCTTTGAACTGTGTATGCGTATGTGTGTGAGTTTATGCATGTGAAAAGGTGTTTGTGTACATGTTCATTATGTAAATACTGTACATACACATTGGACGCAGAGGGGCATGTGCCCCCTCATATTTGTCCTGTAGGGGAAAAAAAAGTGTTCTTTTTTTGTTGTTGGGTGTTTCTCTGTAATACTACTAGCCACCTAGACATTTTATGAAGTTGGCTTTAGCTAGCTCAGATAGGTTCCCAATCTCCCAACCTCATAACTGGCTACCAGGAAGCCATTTCAGGCTATCAATCAAGTTAGAGTAGCTAGCTTGTCTAACTATCGTAGCTGGCATGCCTGCTGGCAAGGTTAGTAGACCTTAGAAAGGCAAGCAATTACTAAATGTACTGAACAAGACTCACATTCCTTTCAATATTTTAGCAGTCAGGAGGATACAGAAAGCTCAAGAGGTATGCTTAGATATGCAGATAAATAAACATACTTTGACATAGAATTAAGCGTAATGATTATGGCTCTAGATTGCAGGAAAAAGTCATTTCAGGTCTTTGAAAAAGACATAATTCTCCAACTTCCGGACATGGTGGTCCGTAGAGAGGCACCCCCCAGCCATCCTCATGTACTTTGTGCCCCCTCAGAATGTTGGGGTGTATGGGGCTCCCCTACTGTATGTACTTGTTTATTTGTATCCTGCCCAGTGTGTTTACATAGCTTCTGTGTGTATGTCACGTGCATAGTGAGTGTGTGTGTGTGCATGTGTGTGAGTAGGCTATGTGCTACTCAGGAGGACATGTCGTGTCACTAAAATTATCTAGGCTGTGTGACTCTTCTGGGCCAATTAACAGGGATTAAACAGGTCTCCTGGCACTGAAACCCTGTCTCTATCCATCATGCTCATCTTCTGCTGTGTGCTAACAAGCTGTTAGTGGACTGGCTCCCACTTTGTGCTTGTGACTAAACAGCTCTTTCAGTCCTGTCTAACTCACTGCTGTCTGATCCTCTACGTGGTGGTACTGGACCCCAGCGTTATTGTCACTGAGCACATTTGTCATTACTGTAATTACTGTATAGTGTCAGAGTAGATCCTAAGCCTGACCAATACTTACCGATCAAGATCGACTGGGATCTAGAAACCACACCTCTCCGGAGCTCGAGACCACCCTCCCCCACCCCCAAAAAGCGCAGCTAACAGATACACAATCGGAAGAGGGCACTGGGCTGTTTTGGGATTAGAGCAGAATTCACTAGTACAACGTGTTTTAGAGCCAACCCAACTATCAAAACAAGTCCTTTTTGGCTAGCCACAACAGTCTACAAGCTAGCTAACTACCGGTAGCTAGCTTTAGGTTGCAAGCCCACTCACTAATTTTTAAATAATTTTGCTAATAAAGCTAGCGAACTAGCTAGCTAGCAAAATTAGCTAACAATTTCATGCAAGTTGTAGTTATCTAAATAGCTAGCTAGCAATATTAGCGATTTTGCTAATTTATGCTAATTTGAACATTTTGTGACTTTGTAGGGTATGGTTAACCAAAGCGAAAAGCTGGCAACTGTTGGTTTGACAATATTTTATTGTTAAGGCTTAAAAAACACATCTGTTCGATAGGAGAACATTTTAATGGCCTCCATGCACTTCTTGGAAATGCTAGTTTGAGCATGACACACTTCCTGTGCAAGCCCAGGGCTTGTGGATTTGGCCCTGGGGGTTTGAGGGGGCTTGTAGACGGCCTGAGTTCTTGGATAAGTCAGTACATCAGTATCTCTGGATGAACCCTGTTTTGGAGGTGACGGATGACATTTCGGCCTAGGCCAACACAATGGACGCTACGTTCAAGCACCAGGTTTAGCACAGGGCTAATGTCTTCTACCTCCGTGTAATTCTTCTGCAAGTTGAATATCGTTACGAAGTTTAGACTTACATTTTTATCTATTGTGATGTATATTTCTCGGCCACTGTTTGTAATTTTTTTCCCCCTTGTTAGGTTGTTATGTGAGTCAGGCCTGAACTTCAGCCAATCCCTGTATTTGTATATGTGCTAAATCCTCAGCTACCTGATGATTCCCCCTCCTTCCCCCTCTGGCCCCCTCCTACTATCTGCAGCATCATCCCCCGGCCACTGATTCATGGTCCCTATCTATCCTATCTATCCCCTGTGCATTGTTGCGCGCCAGCAGCATTGAATATCACAGTGCTAACTTAATGATTTTTCTCTTTTTGTGCCTTCCTCTCTTTCTTCTCCTCTGCTGTGCTCTGTCACATCGCATCATCATCACGGGACACACCGACCTTGCATCTCCCCGGACAGAAGCTCAGCTCAAACCCCCCCTGGAGAACACCCAGCTCAGAGAATAGAGAGGGGGGAGTAGACCTCCGCCTGTCCCCCTACATCCCCCCATTCCCCCGCTGTCCCCAGGGGCCGCCAATAGATCTCCACGTCAGAGTGAGTCACTAGTCCTCTCCAGCTGAATCAAACCGGCAGCACTGTTTCCATTTGTAGGGAAGAATGAGTGGAAGAGTCTGTTCTGTTTATAAGATTATGAGATTGTTCTAGGGACAAGGCAGTGGTTGTGCGGAGGTGGGGGGGGGGGGGCAAATTGTATTTTATTGCGCCGAATAGAACAAGTGTAGATTTACTGTGAAATGCTTACTTACGAGCCCTTTCCCAACAATGCAGTTGAATAAGGTTTACGTATCGGCCCCAAAAGCTCTGACGAAGGCCTTGAGGCCGATACGTAAAGCTTAATAAAGAGCAGTGATAATAGCAAGAGCAGTGTGCAGGATTCTTATTTTTTCTCATCTTATTCAACTGTTACCATGCACCTGCAACAAAGATAGCTCAGATGTGCGAGTGCCTTTTGAATTTTGAACCATCAATGCAGTTAAAATCGTAACACAATAAAATAACACCAAATAACAATAAATGTGGCTATATACAGGTTACTGTATATACAAGGAGTACTGGTACCGAGTCAGTGTACTGGGTTACGAGGTAGTTGGGGTGATTGATTGAGGTAATATATACAGTACATGTAGGTAAGGAGTGAAAAGCAGAATGTCTGGGTAGCCATTTAATGAACTATTCAGCAGTCGTATGGCTTTTGGGTAGAAGCTGTTCAGGAGCCTTTTGGTCCCAGACTTGGCGGTACATTTACATTTACATTTTAGTCATTTAGCAGACGCTCTTATCCAGAGCGACTTACAGTTAGTGCGTTTTTTAAAAATATTTTATATATTTTTATATTTTTCATACCCCCCGTACGGTACCACTTGCCATGCAGTAGCAGAGAGAACAGACTGTGACTTGGGTGGCTGGAGTTGTTGACAATTTTAAGGGCCTTAGTTCTGACACCGCCTGCTATAGAGGTCCTGGATGGCAGGAAGCTCGGCCCCAGTGATGTACTGGGCCGTACGCACTACCCTCTGTAGCGCCTTGCGGTCCAAGCGGTGATGCAGCCAGTCAAGATGCTCTCAATGGTGCAGCTGTATAACTTTTTGAGGATCTGAGGGCCCATGCCAAATCTTTTCAGCCTCCTGAAGGGGTGCCCTCTTCACAACTGTGTTGGTGTGTTTGGACCATGATAGGTCCTTAGGGATTTGGACAAAGAGGAACTTGAAGCTCTCGACCGTCTCCACTACAGCCCCGTCGATCAGCCCCAAAGGAGCTGATTGTAGTCCACAATCAGCTCCTTTGTCTTGCTGACATTGAGGGAGAGGTTGTTGTCCTGGCACCAGACTGCCAGGTCTCTGACCTCCTCCCTGTAGACTTTGTCATTGTCATCGGTGATCAGGCCTACCACCGTCGTGTCATCAGCAAACTTAATGATGGTGTTGGAGTCGTGTGCAGCCAGGGTGTGCAGGAGGGGGCTAATCACCCACCCCTTTGGCTACAGATGTGAGTGCTAAACCGCGATAGTCATTTAGACAGAATACCTATGGTGGTCTGCTTGAAACATGTTGGTATTACAGACTGGGTCAGGGAGAGGTTGAAAATGTCAGTGAAGACACTTGCTAGCTGGTCAGCGCCTGCTCTGAGTACACATCCTGGTAATCCATCTGGCCCTGCGGCCCTGTGAATGTTAACCTGTTTAAAGGTCTTACTCAAATTGGCTACGGGGAGCGTGATCGCACACTCGTCCGGAACAGCTGGTGCTCTCATGCATGGTTCAGTGTTGCTTGCCTCAAAGTGAGCATAGAAGGCATTTAGCTCGTCTTGTAGGCTCACTTCACTGGGCAGCTCACGGCTGGGTTTCCCTTTGTAATTCGTGATAGTTTGCAATCTTTGCCACATCCAACGAGTGTCAGAGCCGGTGTAGTAGGAATCCATGGCTTCTGGTTAGGATATGTACGTACGGTCACTTTGGGGACTATGACGTCAATGCACTTATTAAGGAAGCCGGTGACTGATGTGGTAAACTCCTTAATGCCATCGGATGAATCACGGAGCATATTCCAATCTGTGCTAGCGAAACAGTCCGGTAGCTTAGTGTCCTCTTCATCAGACCACTTCCGTATTGAGTGCATCACTGGTACTTACTGTTTGAGTTTTTACTTTTAAGCAGGAATTAAGAGGATGGAGTTATGGTTAGATTTGCCAAATGGAGGGCGAGGGAGAGCTTTGTATGCATCTCTGTGTGTAGAGTATAGTTGAGCTAGAGTTTTCTCGCCTCTAGTTGCACAGGAGACATGCTGGTAGAAATGAAGTAAAATGGATTTCAGTTTCCCTGCAATAAAATCCCCAGCCACTAGGAGCGCCGCATCAGGGTGAGCATTTACTTGTTTGCTTATGGCCTTATACAGCTCTTTGAGTGCGGTCTTAGTGCCAGCATCGGTTTGTGTTGGTAAATAGACAGCTACGAAAAAAAGATGAAAAATCTGTTGTTAAATATTGTGGTCTACAGCTTATCATGAGGTATTCTAACTCAGGTAAGCAGAACCTCGAGACTTCCTTAATATTGGAGATCGCACACCAACTGTTGTTGGCAAAGAGACACACCCCCCCTCCCCTCAGCTTAACAGACGCAGCTGTTTTGTCCTGCCGATGTATAGAAAAACCAACTATATTTATATTTTCCATGTCCTTGCTCAGCCACGACTCGGTGAAACACAGGATATTACAGTTCTTCAGATCACATTGATAGGATAGTCTCGAACGGAGCTCATCCAGTTTTTCCTAGCCACCGTGCTTCTACATCTGCATTGCTTGCTGTTTGGGGTTGTAGGCTGGGTTTCTGTATAGCACTTTGTAACATCTGCTGATTGATATTGATATTTTCCAATGATTGCACGTTCGCCAATAGAACGGAGGGCAATGGAAACTTATCCACTCGCGGTCACAGTCTCGTTGGATATTCCACACGCCAAATTTAGGTTAGTAATTGCTGTTTTGATGTCCAGAAGCTCTTTTCAGTCATATGAAACGATGGCCAAAACATTATGTACAAAAAAAGTTAGGATCAGCGCAAACAAACACACAAAATAGCACAACTGGTCAGGAGCCCATGAAATGGCGGCCATCCCCTCCGGCGCCATTACAAGAATGTGCGTAAAAATACACTCCCCCAAACCAATGTCTCCCAGACACACGCACACGCACACACACACACACAAATGCTCATTCTGTAGTCTGCCACAGGTCATAACTGAAATACTCATTGTTGATCCATCATTGTTTAGTGTCTCAGTAAAAACATTACTGCCCATGGATGTATTGTTAAAACAAGGCAGTAATAAGAAATAAGCAATACAAGCAAAAAGCAGAGGAGCAGTTTAGTCTAGAGTTATTTTTAAGAGGCATGGCCCTGTTTCAGTTACTCTGGTCTCTCTTTTCTCCTAGTAGGATAATTGCATTCTCTTTATAGCTAGCTGTCTCATTTCCAGTGGAAAGTTTCTTTACCAAAACTTTTATCTCAAAGCCAGTTTGAACTGGAGGTTCGTGGGGATCGTGTGCTAACAGAACAGGACAAGGATGAGCTTCCTCACAGTTCTCTGCTTTGACATCTGACAGGACATGAACAACCTAACACTTAAAACTTCAACAGAGTTGTATTACGTCACATCTGTTTAACTGCACCAGCCTAAAGCACACACACAACAACATTCTATTTTCCTCTCTACCCTTGCATGCAATTTGAGTCACTTCCTCTCTCGCTCTCCCGCTCTCTCTCTCTCGCTCTCTCTCTAGCATCAGACACAGTACAATATGAATAGATGAATCGTCTGCAGTTTGTGTTGACATTTAGGAGATGAGGCTTGTCCTGGAGAAACAACGTGAGGGAAAGCAACATGAAAGAATACACACAATTTCCCCCAGTGCTAGCAGTGCTCTGAAGCCAAAGGGAGTGTGTGAGAGTGAGTATGAGAGGGGTAAGAGGGCATTACTTTGTCCTCATAATACAGCAAGGCTGGCATAGCTGCCAGGGCTGCCAAAAAATAGTTCACAACAGTACATGGCCCATGTCTGACAGGACTTCTCTAACAACATGTCTCTCTATGTTTTTCATGATTTCTGGGTCAAGATTAAACTTTTCCAAAATGGCATGTTCCCCTTGGCAGCTGCTTATTTGTAAGAGACATTCACTAGCAGCATGAGCTAAAGTTATTTATGCTTAATTGAAGCCTGCCATTTGGTGCTTTTGGTGTAGGAGGTTGTGTGAGCATGAATACAGTATGTGTGTATGTGCACAGGTACATACGTGTGTATTTGCATGTGCCCATGGAAAATTTCATTGTGGATTTCCATGCTTCATTGCAGCCTTCCATCCTGCCATTGTTTAACTCCGAAGCCTTTTAAGAAACCCTGTTAGGCTTTAGATTGTTTGGGGATTTGGAGACCTTCTGCAAGAGCTTCTTCCCCTCTGGGAAAAAGGGAATGAAAGTTTCTCCACTTTCAGGACCAGCTGGCTGCTGTGAACTGTCTAACAGTGTCAGGTCAGAGAACAGAGGAGACCTGGGTGACTACAGTATGCATGAGTTTGGTGGGTGGATTCCTGTGTAGCACCATGTGTGAGTGCTTTTATATGTCCCTGTACCTTGTGTGTGTTTTGTGTAAGAGGAGGTGATTATATTACTAACAAGGAAGGATAGACATAGATGTCAGCGATAAGCAATTTTAATCACACATGAAAATGTTTACAGTATGTACTGTGGGCTTTGGTTTATTTCTAAAAAATATGATGTATATACATTGACCCTGGGATAAGCTGGTAGGGGAATCTGTAAGAGGACGGCAACACTTCACTTGATGCTTAGCTACAAGAAAATACTATAGAATATGGACTATCATCTACAATAGGCTCTGAAAAATGGTGATTGCAATCTAGCAAACCTTTGGATGTTGTATCTAGTTCAACAACTAGTGCATGTGCTTTCGATGAAAGTTTATGATTTTAACCTGAGGGATGAAGTTTTCTCCATATGATATACTGTTGCTAGACTGGGCAAAGGTCTGTAGTTACTAAGGGGGAAATCCTGATCATGCTATGTCCTGATTGGACAGTAGGGTGTCAATCAGCCATAAAGGAGCAAATTAGATTTCAGAACACCCATCATGTGGACAGGAAGTGATGTAGGTGTCTTCTACAATGACAAGTGCTGCTTGCTGTAATAGGGGCATCATGCCGAGGGGCATCATGCTGAGTTCAAAACAACTGGGAACTTGGAAATCTCTGACTTCTGACTTCAGTGTGTTCAAGACAACTGGGAACTCTGAAAAAAACTAGCTCAGACTGGGAAAAATCGGTTGGAACAGTCATCCAACTCAGGAACTCGGGCCTCTATCAAGAGCTCTGACTTTCCGACCTGAAGATCACTGACGTCTTGATTTGACCTCATATTTGTCAGTGTTCCCAGTTGTCTTGAACACACCATCAGATCTTATATTACAGGGAATACCTCCTGAATAACATGCTAGGAGTTCAAATGATCTGGAGAGAGTTGGTGAAAGGAGGACTTTGTCCGCTGAATTTTCCTAGGCAGCCATCGGAAAAGCATCTTGCACAACTTCTTGCTTTTAACCTTGGACTTGGTCATGGTCTTAGTGATGGCATTCGTCAGCAGGGTGGGGTTGTGGGGCAGGGAGTGGGGAGTGTGGTTGTCAGCCCTCTGAGGATACAAAACCTCCAAGAAACATCTCTCTTGCTGCCTGAAGTCATACTCCACACTGCAGGGACAGAGAGAGGGTGAAAACAGAGGAAAGCAAAAACAGGAGGAAAGAGTCAGCCGATCTGACCATGCTTCCTGTGTCTCACCTGTAGACGATACAAGCAGTCTTCTGACAGGTGGAGCACTCCCGGAGGTCCTGGCCTGTCCTGTAGCATCGCCGACTGAAACAAAGATCAGGAGATGTTAACTAGAACAAAAGAGGCTTCTCTCTAATTCCTTCTCTGTTCTCTGTAACGTCATCCTGTTCTCTTTCTCTACTCACTCCTTCTACTTCCCTTTCTATCTCTACCCTTTCTCACCTTCGCTTTCTCTCTCTCTCTTCCCCTCTCTCTCTTCCCCTCTATCTCTTACCCCTTGCTGAGAGCGTGGCTCATCTCCAGGTCTTGGATGATGTTGAGAAGGGTAGTAATCCTGTCCTGGTTGGCTGCCAAGCTGGCTTCCACACACTGCAGCCTCCTCTGGAGAGGGGCTGGCCTGCTGCACTGTGGGGAGGGGGGCAGCAGCAGGTCTGCATCAGCCGGGTGGGAGTGAGCCAGCCTGGGGTCGTCTAGGGAGGGCTGTGGGATGGTACTTGACGACAAAAATACTGGATGGATCATCTGGTGTGTCTGATTGGGATGCGTGAGGGTGCAGGATGCTAGGTGTTCCACGCGTGATGGCGGCAAAAGGGGGTTGCACTTGGGGTTTATGGCTGTGTGTGTGAGGAGCTCAGTGATGGTGTATGGACGGGCCTGTGGTATGAGTCGGTGTGTGGGGCTTGTGTGTTTGTGTGGGGTTGGTGTGGAATGGAAGTCTGTGTTTATGTGGTTTGGTGTTTCGGGGATGGGTTTGACATGTGCAGTAGTGTTTGTCTGTGATGCAATGAGGGGCTTAAGGTCTGTTTGTGTCTGTGGAGTGCTGGAAGGTGGAGCATCATTTGTGTATATCTGCTTGTCAAGGCTGAATCTAAATGTGGTATTTGCATGTGTATGTAACACGCTGGAGGGAATGTGCTCTTTGTGTGAATGTATTTGACGCTCAGATCCAGGTTTTAGGTTTGTGAAAAGGTCTTGCTGATGTTGCGTAACAATGTGTCCCTGCTTTTCCCATTCTTTGTTTATCTTTAGTTCAGTGATGTGTTTTGGAAGGTTAGTGACCTGTGATGCATTGAATATTCTAAAGTGTCTTTCCTCATGTGTCTGTGACACGATGACAGGAGTACAGTGTGTATTTTTGTTTGACATAGACAATACTTTGGCATATACGTTTGCATGCATTATTGGTTGCACAACAAATCTGTTATGAGTGCTGGTGTGATGGGCAGCGGTTTGTTCAATATGTGTATTTATAAATGTGCTGTTATTCTGCGTGTTAGTGGGTGATCTGTTTGATGGGTCAGGTGGTTTATTGTTGTGTGTCTGTGTCATGATCAGTGGTCTACAGTTCGTCAGTGACGTGGATGAGGGCTGATGCTGCGTAGCTGTGTATAAGGCATTTGAAGAGAGAGAGGATGTAGTTGTACGTGATGTGTTATCAACGTTAGGGGGTGTTATGGGGGATGCATTAGCAGAGTCAGGGGAACTAGGTGTGTGTGATGTGTTTGACAAGTTAAGGATATGGGACAAAGGCTTTGGGGGTGTATTTGTGTGTGATGGGTTAAAATAGCTTGTGGGAGTAGTTGTGTGTGATGGGTTAAAATAGCTTGTGGGAGTAGTTGTGTGTGATGGGTTGTAATAGCTTGGGGTGTGTGTGATGGTTAATAGCTTGTGGGAGTAGTTGTGTGTGATGGGTTATAATAGCTTGTGGGAGTAGTTGTGTGTGATGGGTTATAATAGCTTGTGGGAGTAGTTGTGTGTGATGGGTTATAATAGCTTGTGGGAGTAGTTGTGTGTGATGGGTTATAAGGGTAAGAGAGAGTGGCTTTGTATGGTGTGTTTGCTGGTTTTAGAGTTGTAGCTGTGTGTAATGTGTTAGCGAGGCTAGGGAGTGTTGTTCTATGTATCGTTTTAGTAGCACTGTTTGGGAGTGTTGTTGTTGTCGTCAGTGTGCTTTCAGGGGTAGGAGGTGTAGCTGTGTGTGAGTTTGCAGAGTTAGGATGTTTAGTTGCGTGTGTGTTAGCGTGGTAAGGGGGTGCACTTCTATGTAATGTCGTAGCAGTGTTAGACTGTGTTGTTGTGTTTTCAGGCTTCGGTCGGGGAATCTTACTCCAGTGAGATGGGGTCTCAAGGGAGTTGGCATTTGCACACCTGGGTTCAATAGTTGCCTTAGTGACTGTAATAGCTGTTGTGTGTATGATGGTTCTTTGGCGGGTTGGCTTGTCTGAGTGTGTATGTGAAGGTGTAACTAGGGTTTCTACTGGGTCTCTGCTAGTGGTATGCAGGGGGTATATCGGATGTGAGGTATAACCATTAGTCTGTTTCAGATCTCTATTTTTCCATGCAGGCGGTGGGTTTGCAGGCAGGTTTGGCTTCCTGTCTTTGTTGTTATGAACAGGGGGATTACAGTGGGGGTGGGTGGATAGAGATTCTGTTTGTGTCAGCTGTCTTTGTATCAGAACCCTGTCTGCAAACCTCGGAGTGGAGCATGTAGAGTTCCTCTCTTTCTCAGTATGTGAAGGAGGAAGATGGTTTCTGTCTGTGAGTGAAATAGGTGTTTTCATTGCTGTTGTTCCTTCAGGGCATGCAGAGGAAGGGCTCTTAATTTCCAGACTGGCAGCTCCATCTCCAGCTCCAGGGACCACAGTCTGTCTCCCTCCACAGTGTATGCACATCCGCTGGGGCATCCAGAGAGGTGGGGGAGCAGGTGGTCGTTTTGCATTCCCACAATATGAATGTGCCACAGAATGTTCTTTAGGTTTTGATTTGTCCCCTCCTCGAGAGGACATGGTCGAGACAGGCTCCGCCTCATCAATGCCATCCATACAAATCCCTCCTATAGCCTCCGAGTCAACTACGCTGCCATTTGTGTAGCGCAAGTCCCGCCTCCCTTTGATCTTGCCATTCCCCACGCCCCCTGATAGGTGTGTGTTAGTCTTGATTGCTTGGGCATAGCAATAAGTTCCACTTTTCCATTGGTTGAAGACCACATTCTCTGTGAGCTCACTGGAAATCTCTTCAAAAGTCACACCCTTTTTGGTCTTGGTATCTAAACTCCTCTGTTTTGGAATAACACCTCTTTGTCTGACACTCTTAGTCCGTCTGATCCCCTCCTCTTCCTTTGCCTCCTTTGGGATGTAGCCATTGCATGTAGGAGTAATCCTGCTTTCTGATTGGCTGGGGAATGTCCCTGTTAGTTTTGTCCCGTGCAGAATGGGTGCTCTCACGCCGGGTGAAGTCTGCACTCCGATGCTGCACTGGGGACCCCATGTCAGTGGCAGCTCTCCACCAGCCCTCTCCCCCCCTGCTGTCCTCCAACCACGCACCCCCACCAGGGCGGAAACTCCCAGTACTGGCACAGGAGTGGTCAGGTCAGCTGCCCGTCTCCCCATCACCTGGCCGACTGGCTCAGTGGCCTGAAAACCCAGGAGAGCTTGTGTCCACCATCACCATCACATCTATGGGAAAAGTCAAGGTTAGTTTACTGTGAAGAGCACATTTTGATTTTACATTTTTAGTCATTTAGCAGACGCTCTTATCCAGAGCGACTTACAGGAGCAATTAGGGTTAAGTGCCTTGCTCAAGGGCACATCGACAGATGTTTCACCTAGTCTGCCCAGGGATTAGAACCAGCGACCTTTCGGTTACTGGCACAACGCTCTTAACCACTAAGCTACCTTTGATGTCTCATTTTGATAAGGCACTGTGAAAAGAATCCGCACAGGGGCAGAACAATTGAATTCCAACAAAGTACAAATCAAGTACACTGCCAGAGCTGCCCATATGCATCAGAAATAGAGGACAAGCAAAGTTCTAAAGGCTTGATAGCAGATTGGAGATAGTCATGAATAATGGACCTTTTCAAGTCTACCACAGCTTAGAACAAAAATGAAATCATTTAGACGGATAAACCCTACACTGACAATGTGAGAGATAAACCCTACACTGACAATGTGAGAATAAACCCTACACTGACAATGTGAGACAATATTATGTCAGATAATGTAGAAGAGGTTGTTTTAGTACTGTGAACTGGATTACAGTACCCTCATAACATCAAGGTGTCACAGAGCAGGACAGGGGGGTGCATGACTGTCAAGAAACACAGTCAAGCTAATTGGAGTCCTTCCTTTGACCCTTGCTTACCTTTAATCAAATGAAAACCTTAGTGGATTACAGAACATTATATTCAGAACATAAAAGCATGGTCTGCCCAGGTTCTGTTTCCTTCAGAGATCATACTTCACAGAGATCATCTAGTCACAGCACGACTCCTGTGGTGACCTCTCTCCCTGTCTCCCTCGGTTACCTGTGCCCACGGGCATCCTCTCACACTTTCTTGTCCCCACCTTGGGCAGGGGGATAATGTATGCATTTATGCTAACGACTTCATTAAAGCCTGACAAGGGGAAATTAATCAGTGACTGTGTGTGCATTTAACTGACGCAGTAAATGCCACAGTAGCCGAGTGTGTATGTGTCTTTATTTTACTGATGCGTGCAACTACAGTTAGGTGGCCAAAGCAAGGACAATAGTGTGTGTGTGTGTGTGTGTGTGTGTGTGTGTGTGTGTGTGTGTGTGTGTGAGAGAGAGAGAGAGAGAGAGAGAGAGAGAGAGAGAGAGAGTTTGAGTGTGTATGAGAGACAGTGTGTGTGCCTAAAACATTGTGTGAGTGTGCATTTGCTGATACAGTAAAATACCTCAAGGTGTGTGTGTGTGTGTGTGTGTTTTGAAGTGTGACTGAGTGTGTGCATGCAACAACAAAAATTGTCCCACAGCCCACCCTCACCCCCAGGCTTCATGCAGCACTGTCAGAATTGCAGGCAGATCATCTAATCATTTGTGCCTGCAGGCACCACTCTTTGGCTGTCACATTGTAGATGTCACTTGGTTGTAGTCCCAACTGACCCCATCTGATGTCACAATGGAACAGTCAGTGACAAATGCCTTAGCCCCTCCTCAGACACAGTTGATCAATCTGCCATTAATTCCCTTTATAACACTGTAAAAGAGGGGCAAACAGTGTCCTCTCATCATCACTGCATTTTTTTTATTTTTATTTTTTATTTAACCTTTATTTAACCAGGTAAGCCAGTTGAGAACAAGTTCTCATTTACAACTGCGACCTGGCCAAGATAAAGCAAAGCAGTGCGATTAAAAACAACAACACAGAGTTACATATGGGGTAAGAAAACATGAAGTCAAAAAATACAACAGAAAATATATATACAGTGTGCAAATGTAGCAAGTTATGGAGGTAAGGCAATAGATAGGCTATAGTGCAAAATAGCATAAAGGCTAGCTCATTTATATCCAGGATAGAGCAATGAGGAACCTGTCCCCAGCCTTCACAGTCAATCTTGACCGGGTCACTAAGCATGTTCAGGTGACTTACCATTGTTAGCGTTTGTCAAACCTTGGGTTGAGCTGTGGCACGTTTCATTTTGTCCTTTAGGTGTTCTGGGTCCAGACGTGCAGATCTACCTCTCCCCCTTGCCCCCTCACCCCCTCTCCACCTTGCCCCCCTCCTCTGTACTCCTCTGCTCCAAGTCTTTGAGGAGGGGGGCACTGAGTGACTCTTTTTTGATGAGGTTGAACTCCTTCTCCCTTTCAGTCCCTCCGTGGCAGACACAAACTCACATGATTGTGCACTATGCAGTCTAACAGTGGTGCAAAGCCATATTCCATGCTGGTAAGTATTCCAAAAGCTCTGAGTCACCACTAATCTGGCTCCCTCAGACTAGACATGTAGTCCAGCTGCGTTCTCAGTTTATTCCCTCTCCTCCTTCCTGCCTCCCTGCTCACATCATAGCACAATGATGCACTGCCCTCCACTCAGCACTCTATCCCACTATTCCTCTCCCTCTCTCTCCCCCCCCCCCCCTCTCTCTCTCTCTCTCTCTCCCTCTCCCTCTCCCTCTCTCTCTCTCTCCCTCTCTCTCTCTCTCTCTCTCTCTCTCTCTCTCCCTCTCTCTCTCACTATTCCCTTTCTCATGCACACACGCAGATCTATGGCTGGGTGATGGGCATCCAAAATTCATCTGAGGGGAAGGAGAAAGAAAGAGAGAGAGACAGAAGGAAGTGACTAAAATCACAAGGGAAGGGACTGTGTGAAAAGTACCGTCAGACTTGAAAAACAAGATAAGGCAAATTGCTTCAGGGTATCACACCAGCAGAGGAGACATGAGATTTTACCCTCTATCTCTCAACACATCATGTGGGTGATAGGGGTGACAGCAGTTTCTGTATAGTAAAGTATTTTGTTTGATCAGAACATTTTGTGATACAAGAAATAAAAACAAATGTTTGGCTAATTTATACGGTGTTTTTTTGCTAATATTCTGGTGACATGTTCCGCTTGTGATGATATTGTAGCGGTCCTTGCTATATGAACCACATTACAATGGTTACAATGGTTACAATGGGGTTAACTTGGTTGGCGCGATGCGTATGGTTTTTGCCTTTCACGCCAGCGACCCGGGGTTCGCTTCCCTGCCCAACCATTCGCTACAATAGTCTGGAGCTAATATTTCTGCCAAAGACTGTATGTACATAGTACGTTGTGATACAATCTAACTACAGTACCCCCTACACATATGTAATACTCTCTCAGAATATAACACATTTGACAGAATTATTAAAATTCATAATTCACATCAGCAGCTTCATATAAAGCTACAGTGAAATCAAATATTTAACTTCATGAACAAATGTTCTCACTATGCGGGGAATCAGGAGTATACTGTATAACTGAAATAGTATTTGATATAATCATTATTATTTAAAATTTTTACAGTGCAATCACCATGATCAACATGTACAGTGTAAGGGCACGTTGTTTAACGCTGAGGTAATTACAGCTTTATATCCACATCTTATCATTTTTATCATCCCTATTCTGAGTTGTAGTGCAGGCAGTGATTGTTTATGGTTTTATTGGGTATTGCTGCCATCTACTGTCTCAAAATATACGGTACCATCCCTCTGAACAACTCCACAAACATATGCTTATGATACGAAGTTATTTCAATATGTTTACGTTTTATATATCCAGGAAACCCCAGATATTGACCAATATAATATTGAATCACAAACAAGTATCACATTTTATAGTTGTCAATCTTGCATTTATTAGTGAAAGTAAATTACAGTGGTCGATTCGAGGTGTATCCCGAGCATCAAGACACTTTAGTGGAGCTTCTCATCACAACATGGTGTTCATTTCACATTGGGAAGAGAAGGAAGCCGATGAAGGTAGTACGGTTATTTAAGTCATCATAAGCTCTCTCACTGGTTTTCAAATATACCACATCACCCTCCTCCAGATGTAGTACAGCTGCATTAGATGCAAACTTTTTATGACCATTACTATCGATTTCATCAACATACAATACTGACTTATCATTTTTATAGAGCAAAGCACCCATCCAGTTTGTACCAATACCACAAAGGGTAAATCTGAAGTAGCAGACCCCTCTCACTGGTGCAGTGAAGATACCTGTACCAGAGGAAATTGAAGGAGAGAGATCAGTCCTAACATAGAGATGAGCTCCAGTTTAGTGTTTTATTAGTCCGATAACTGTGTGCTTCAGTACACATTCTTGTGAGGACAGTACTGTACCTGTAATTGGGTTGTAGTGGTTGCCGATGTTTGTGAAGATGTTTTTGTAAACCATGGTGGTTTGAGTGTTGAAGGGTTTCTGATTCCCAGTGAGGCAGAGAATGCTACCTTTGGTCTGTCTGTGAATACAGAGTTAAAAGACACAGACGATATACAGTAAGTAACTTGAGGCAATATATGTCTGTTATTACAATGCACCTTCCCTGTTTTGTATTTCATTATGATTTTGTGGTAATAGCTTCCACCAGGGTAGAGTAAGCCTTTCATTAAGTGTACTTCATTTTAGCACAGACCTATTCAGATATAACCATGAAGGACATGAAACTGTGGCCTGTCATGGAACACCATCTTCAAAAAGGCAGTGGTACTCTTATGGAAGCCTTACATAACAGGTTGACAGCTAGTGAGAAGGAAGTGGACTACCTGAAAAGGGACAACGCAGGTCAAAAATAAAAAAGGATGCGGCTCATCCCCAAAAAAGTACTGTGCAGCCGTCTTTATCGACCTGGCCAAGGCTTTTGACTCTGTCAACCACCGCATTCTTATTGGCAGACTAAATAGCCTTGGTTTCTCAAATGACTGCCTCGCCTGGTTCACCAACTACTTCTCAGATAGAGTTCAATGTGTCAAATCGGAGGGCCTGTTGTCTGGACCTCTGGCAGTCTCTATGGGGATGCCACAGGGTTCAATTCTCGGGCCGACTCTATTCTCTGTGTATATCAATGATGTCGCTCTTGCTGCTGGTGACTCTCAGATCCACCTCTACGCAGACGACACCATTTTGTATACATCTGACCCTTCATTGGACACTGTGTTAACAAACCTCCAAACGAGCTTCAATGCCATACAACACTCCTTCAGTATTCTCCAACTGCTCTTCAACACTAGTAAAACTAAATGCATGCTCTTCAATCGAACACTGCTGGCACCCGCCCACCCGACTAGAATCACCACTCTCGACGGGTCTGACCTAGAGTATGTGGACAACTACAAATACCTAGGTGTCTGGTTAGACTGTAAACTCTCCTTCCAGACTCACATTAAGCATCTCCAATCCAAAGTTAAATCTAGAATCAGCTTCCTATTTCGCAACAAAGCCTCCTTCACTCATGCTGCCAAAACATGCCCTGTAAAACTGGACTATCCTACCGATCCTTGACTTCGGCGATGTCATTTACAAAATAGCCTCCAACACTCTACTCAGCAAAGTGGATGTAGTCTATCACAGTGCCATCCGTTTTGTCTCCAAAGCCCCATACACTACCCACCACTGTGACCTGTACGCTCTTGTTGGCTGGTCCTCACTACATGTTCGTCGTCAAACCCACTGGCTCCAGGCCATCTATAAATCACTGCTAGGCAAATCCCCGCCTTATCTTAGCTCATTGGTCACCATAGCAGCACCCACCCCGTAGTCTGTGCTCCAGCAGGTATATCTCACTGGTCATTCCCAAAGCCAACACCTCCTTTGGCCGCCATTCCTTCCAGTTCTCTGCTGCCAATGACTGGAACGAATTGCAAAAATCTCTGAAGCTGGAGACTCTTATCTCCCTCACTAACTTTAAGCATCAGTTGTCAGAGCACCTTACCGATCACTGCACCTGTACACAGCCCATCTGAAATTAGCCCACCCAACTACCTCATCCCTATATTGTTATTTATTTTGCTCTTTTGCACCCCAGTATCTCTTTTTGCACATAATCTCTTGCACATCTAGCATTCCAGTGTTAATACTAATTGTAATTATTTTGCACTATAGCCTATTTATTGCCTTACCTCCATAACTTGCTACATTTGCACACACTGTATATATATTTTCTGTTGTATTTTTTTGACTTTATGTTTTTTTTACCCCATATGTAACTCTGTGTTGTTGTTTTTATCGCACTGCTTTGCTTTATCTTGGCCAGGTCGCAGTTGTAAATGAGAACTTGTTCTCAACTGGCTTACCTGGTTAAATAAAGGTTAAATAAAAAAAAAAAAATAAAAAAAATAACCATGAAGGACATGAAACTGTGGCCTGTCATGGAACACCATCTTCAAAAAGGCAGTGGTACTCTTATGGAAGCCTTATGTTCCACATATAAATAAAGAGGACTAAGTAAGTCAGTAAGTTTTCAGTTATACATGCTTTCCTAATTCCTAGTTGCTGGTTATACAGGCGTGTAATAGCACTGATATGCAGATAATACGATTTAGAAATGATCCTAACATAAAAATAACATCCATAAGGCTTTTTTTTTATATTTGTGAAAAATAATGGACCCAACCTTAGTATCCCAAATGATACAAATAACAGTTGATAATGTACTGTATGTATTGTGCTTTGGGGATGAGCCGCATCCTTTTTTATTTTTGACCTGCGTTGTCCCTTTTCAGGTAGTCCACCTCCTTCTCACTAGCTGTCAACCTGTTATGTAAGGCTTCCATAAGAGTACCACTGCCTTTTTGAAGATGGTGTTCCATGACAGGCCACAGTTTCATGTCCTTCATGGTTATATCTGAATAGGTCTGTGCTAAAAGGAAGTACACTTAATGAAAGGCTTACTCTACCCTGGTGGAAGCTATTACCACAAAATCATAATGAAATACAAAACAGGGAAGGTGCATTGTAATAACAGACATATATTGCCTCAAGTTACTTACTGTATATCGTCTGTGTCTTTTAACCCTCCTGTTGTCCTGGGGTCATTCTGACCCCAAATTAAATCTTTTGCCGACAAAATATGTTTTTTATTCATCAATTGGTCTGAAAATAACGGTAGTTGTTTAATACTATGCTCTTTATGATTCAAACAAATTTGAAGTAATTTGATTGAATTATGGGTGTTTTACTAAATGTAATAACTTCTGTTGTCCTCTGGGGTCAAAAAGACCCCGCAGCACAAAGTTTACATACTGCTTGGCAAAACATCTTTGATCATGTTTCTTTGATGTGTGGGGTCAAGCAATGGTTATGACAACAACAAAAAAAAGGTGTTTGGGCATTTCACATTTTAGTCTGAGAGAGACAGGCAGCACAATGAGGAGGCAGAAGTTTTATAATGCACAGGAGGCTTGCAAGATAATTTTTTTAATAAAAGAAAATAATGACCAGGAGGACAATGCTGCACATAATGAGGATGAATCAACTGATGAAGAGGGTTCAGGGTCAGAAGAGGAGGAACATAATGATGAGGTGATAGATCCAACATACAGACAGCATGCTACTTCTTCCTCCGAAGATTCCCCCACATCTCCTGCTGCAGAAATGGAAGATGATTATGAATATAAGGAAATGGATGAACGTGATGATGACGTAGAATCTGAAGCTGGTATGGAAGAAGTGGTCTCGGATTGATGACATGAAGTCCACTTTTGACCTGTTTCTGCCAAAGCCTATTGAAGACGCAGTGCTGAGCATGACAAACAAGGAGGGGCAACGCGTTTATGGCAACAAGTGGAGAAAGATGGATCAAATGGATTTGCAGGCATATGTGGGTGTGTTGATTCTTGCTGGCGTGTACCGATCTAGTAAGGAAGCTACATCTAGTTTATGGCATGCCGAGTCTGGTAGGACAATTTTCCGTGCTACCATGACACTCAAGATGTTTCATAAAATCTCAAGAGTGATTAGATTTGATGATAAAGCCACAAGAGAAAATCGCCGTGCACGAGACAAACTTGCTCCCATTCGAGATGTATGGGACAAGTGGGTGTCTCTCCTGCCGTTGATGTACGATCCAGGTACTGATGTGACTGTGGATGAGCGCCTGGTCCCCTTCAGAGGTCGCTGTCCATTCAAACAGTACATCCCGAGTAAACCAGGGAAATATGGGATAAAAATATGGGTAGCATGCGATGCCAGGTCTAGCTATGCATGGAACATGCAGGTATACACTGGCAAACCGGCTGGTGCGCAGTCAGAAAAAAATCAGGGCATGAGAGTTGTCCTTGACATGACAGAAGGTCTCCGGGGGAAAACAATCACCTGTGACAACTTTTTTACTTCACATGCTCTTGGCTTGCAGCTGCTGAAAAGAAAGCTGTACATGGTGGGAACAGTACGGAGGAATAAGCCTGAGCTTCCCCCTGCTCTGGTGTCAAAAAAGGACCGGGCACGGTTCTCATCGAAGTTTGCCTTCACCGAGACCCATGCTCTAGTGTCATATCACCCCAAAAAACAGAAAAATGTTCTTCTGATGAGCACTCTGCATCGGGATGCTGCTGTGAGCAACAGGGATGACAAAAGGCCCAAAATCATTGAAGATTACAATCACAACAAAGGTGGTGTTGATAACCTTGACAAAGTTACCAGTGTGTACACGTGCAAAAGAATGACAGCCCGTTGGCCACTCGTTGTCTTCTACAACATTCTCGACGTGTCTGCATACAACTCTTTTGTCCTATGGTCTGAAATCAAGCCAGCCTGGAATCAGGGAAAGTACAACAAGAGAAGGCTCTTCATGGAGGAGCTTGGGCGACAACTGGTGATACCTCACATCAAGCAACGCAAGGTTATTCCCCGCACGTCAGCCGCTGTCAAATTGGTTAAGGAGATCCAGCAGGTCTCCTCCAGCTCTACCTCTGCAGCAGCTCCCCCTCTCCCAGTTCCCTCATGCCGACCAGCCCTTCCTCGCCCATTACCCAAAAGGAGTAGGTGCAAATTCTGCCCTCGCCGAAGTGATTTCAAAACATCCAAAATGTGCCAAAAATGCAATGCATACATCTGCAAAGATCACGCCATTACTACCTGCCTCGCATGCAACTGAGGGCTCATTCAGACTAAAAAGTTAGGTTTTGAAGTTGAAAATGTTTTGGAAATGAATTATAACATGTGTTATATGTCAGGTAATAAGTTGGAATAAAGTTGACTGAAAAGTTGAAACAGAGAAGTGATTGTAAATGTATACTGTATGCTTTATAAACAGTCAAACCAGGCGGGGTCATTTTTGACCCCAGAGGACAAAAGGTGTGATTATGGGCTGTCATTAATAAAAATAAAATGATTCAAAAACAGCATCCTCACTAAACTTTTACAAATACCACTCAGTGATAAGTCAAATAGTCAAAATAATAATAGGTCAAAATAATTCATAGTTTCATTGTATTTTTACTTAAAAACAGGGTATACTTTTATGTAAACAAGGTCTATTGGCTCTAAATTCCAAAACAAATGAAAAAAATTCTAGTAATGGGTTGAACAGAAGTAAGACTAAAGATGTAACACAGAATTGATTGAAAATGTATACTGTATGCTTTATAAACAGTCAAACCAGGCGGGTTCATTTTTGACCCCAGAGGACAAAAGGCGTAAGGCATTTGGGAGGACAACACAAGGTTAACTCTGTATTCACAGACAGACCAAAGGTAGCATTCTCTGCCTCACTGGGAATCAGAAACCCTTCAACACTCAAACCACCATGGTTTACAAAAACATCTTCACAAACATCGGCAACCACTACAACCCAATTACAGGTACAGTACTGTCCTCACAAGAATGTATACTGAAGCACACAGTTATCGGATTAATAAAACACTAAACTGGAGCTCATCTCTATGTTAGGACTGATCTCTCTCCTTCAATTTCCTCTGGTACAGGTATCTTCACTGCACCAGTGAGAGGGGTCTGCTACTTCAGATTTACCCTTTGTGGTATTGGTACAAACTGGATGGGTGCTTTGCTCTATAAAAATGATAAGTCAGTATTGTATGTTGATGAAATCGATAGTAATGGTCATAAAAAGTTTGCATCTAATGCAGCTGTACTACATCTGGAGGAGGGTGATGTGGTATATTTGAAAAGCAGTGAGAGGGCTTATGATGACTTAAATAACCGTACTACCTTCATCGGCTTCCTTCTCTTCCCAATGTGAAATGAACACCATGTTGTGATGAGAAGCTCCACTAAAGTGTCTTGATGCTCGGGATACACCTCGAATCGACCACTGTAATTTACTTTCACTAATAAATGCAAGATTGACAACTATAAAATGTGATACTTGTTTGTGATTCAATATTATATTGGTCAATATCTGGGGTTTCCTGGATATATAAAACGTAAACATATTGAAATAACTTCGTATCATAAGCATATGTTTGTGGAGTTGTTCAGAGGGATGGTACCATATATTTTGAGACAGTAGATGGCAGCAATACCCAATAAAACCATAAACAATCACTGCCTGCACTACAACTCAGAATAGGGATGATAAAAATGATAAGATATGGATATAAAGCTGTAATTACCTCAGCGTTAAACAATGTGCCCTTACACTGTACATGTTGATCATGGTGATTGCACTGTAAAATTTTTCAATAATAATGATTATATCAAATACTATTTCAGTTATACAGTATACTCCTGATTCCCCGCATAGTGAGAACATTTGTTTATGAAGTTAAATATTGGATTTCACTGTAGCTTTATATGAAGCTGCTGATGTGAATTATGAATTGTAATATCATCTTCATTACACTGTATTATACAACCCGGTAGTGAAGTGTCTTTTAGGATCCTGAACACCCTCTTTATACATGTCTAGATTAGTTGACATTATGTAACCATCATCTCTGTTCTCTAGTAAACAACAAGGTCAAAACCTAATGATTAAATATGGAGTCCATCAGATTATCTTAGAATAGTTCACAAACTGATGTCTGGAAATGTTTGAAACTTTCCCAAAGTGTTGTGGGAGAGAATCAAGCTGTGGAATATATCAAGGTCTAGTGTTGTTGTATTTTTGCCACGTGTCTTTGCGATGTACAGTATTTACTTTTAGAGTAGCAACAGTCTGTATGGGCCTCTGTCTGTCAGGCACATACTGTAATACAAAGACAAGAGTGGACTATTGAAAAATAACATTTTTACCTCTTTCTACAAAAACGAATGTCCCCATTCTCATTACTCATTACAAACTTTTGACTGGTAGTGTATGTGTTAACATGGTGAAGTATGGGCCTATATGTAGTACCTCATTTTAAAATGAAATAAAAAAATATTTATAAACACTTATCTAACACATGCTTTAACCCAGAGTGGGCAGGCCAATGTTACAGAAGGCTACATTGTTAGTTTTACCTTTAGAATCTGCTCAACTCTTTTAGTAGGGCCAGCTGCACTCACATTCATTTGTCTTATTGGCAGAAACATTGCAGTGCCAGCGCCTCATCAAGAAGGCCTCACAGCCAGCAGCTACAGCCACTCTAACAGCCTGTTTGTTTATTACAAAACCCTCACAGTCATGGCTTCCAGAAACAAGTTTCATTCATGACAGGAAACTTGGGGGATGCTAATCAGGGTGCAGGTGCTTCTCAACAGGTTACAGACTGACAGTTAGGAAACTTGGAGATGTTGTGGTTCTATCTAAACTCACTGTGAGCGTGTGTGTGTGTCTGTGTGTGAGTGCATGTATACCTATAGTACCTTATCAGGACCACAATGTCTTTCGAATTCACTAGAATGTCCTGAAAAGGTAAGGAAACAAGAACTTTGAGGGGTTTTGGGGGTTAAGGTTAAGTTTAGGGTTATGATTAGGATTAGGTTAAGGTTAAGTTTAGGGTTAGGATTTGGTTAAGGGTTAGGTTAAGGGTTAGGGAAAATATGATTTTGAAGGGGAATAGATTAAGGGTTAGAGTTACTCCCAAAAAAGTCCTCAAAATGAATGAAAACAAAGCTGTGTGTGTGCACGCACGCTCCAACACTTTCCCTGTGCCTTTCTTTAGTATTAATCGCTATTGGACTTGTTCTTCCCCCTTCACAGGTACATATGTCCCTCCAGACTCACAGCTCTGAATATTTTACTAGCTGTGGATTAAAAATGCAGCAGGGCCTCCAGTCAAACACCCATCTGCTCAGAAGTGTACTGTAGAGAGGGTTCAGTGACCTCCCCTGTTCCCCTCATCACCACCCACAAAACACCTCTCCCTCATGCTGTTCAGCTCTGCCAATTCAAGCTGGGCATCACCAGACGGCGGGCACACACACACACACACACACACACACACACACACACACACACACACACACACACCACACACACACACACACACACACACACACACACACACACACACACACACACACACAAACACACACACACACACACACACACACACACACCCACAGTCTTGTACAACTAACCTTGTGGGGACACAAAATTCAGACCCATTCAAAATCCTATTTTCCCTAACTCCTAAACCCTAACCCTAACCTTAACCCTAAACCCGCTAGAAATAGCATTTGTTTGTTTACTATTCTGTATCTACACCATCTCTCTTTAAACACATCCACACATCCACACACACACATACACACATACACACATACACACACACACACACACACACACACACACACACACACACACACACACACACACACACACACACACACACGTGGATGGTGTTCTAAGAGAGATGGTGTAGATACAGAAAGATAGCAGGTGGGTAAAGGGGGCTAATAACCCAGTTTAAACCTTACAGAAAGATAACAGGTGGGCAAAGGGCTAATGACCCAGTTTAAACCTTACAGAAAGATAACAGGTGGGCAAAGGGCTAATGACCCAGTTTAAACCTTACAGAAAAATAACAGGTGGGCAAAGGGCTAATGACCCAGTTTAAACCTTACAGAAAAATAACAGGTGGGCAAAGGGCTAATGACCCAGTTTAAACATTATGGGTGTACCAGAACACTGCTCAATACTCCAAGTTAATGGTTAACCACAAAGTGTATTTAAAGGAGAGTATATTGTATACTGAACTAGCTCTAAGCATATTTTCCCAATGAGAGCTTTTCTAGTTCCACTGGTGTACCTGCTCTGTCATTTGGGAGAAGCAAAGTACACTCCAAGTGAAGATGGATCCTCTGACTCCCTTCAATGTGGCATTGGGTCTGACCTGAGAGATCTGAGAGACATGGTGGTGCTGCAGAGGGCAGAGCTGAGTCATACCATGGCTGAACTACAAGACACTAAGACTAAGGTGGAGGGGCTGAAAACAGAGAACTCAGGTGATAGCAGAATACTAAGCCCACTATCAGTTGACTGAGTAATGTTATAATCTGGTAAATTTCTATTGTTGACAGGAAAATTATTTCATTTTGTTTTAGTCATGGAGTCCAGGCTGATGAGTTCTGAACGACAACTTGAGGCAATGAAGACAGAGAATGCAGGTAAAATGGACAGTTAAATATCAGTTTGTTTAGTTCGTTTGGTCATAACAATAACTATTGTTAATGTAGCCATAGAAACCATGCAGAATACACTGTAGGTACCTAGTTATCTTGTCATTATGATTGGTAATGATCAAGACGCTAATTTCGTGTTATCCAGGTTTTTTCCAGTAAATCTTTGTGTCATTTTTGTAACTCCAGCCATGGTGAGCAGAGTAACATCCACTGAGAGTGAGATTGAGAAACTGCAGAGGGAGAATGCAGGTAAAACATAAATGGAATTATGGTACTTTTAAATGACATAATAATTCCTTCCCCTTCCATTTCTGAGTGTGAAAAAGTTTAAATGTCAATCATCATCATCATCATCATCAAATCATTCACTTTATTCTCCTGCATTCACAGAGAGACCCAAGGTGGCATTTTCAACCTCTTTAGGAAAAACTGGACACCATGGGCCATTCAACACTGCCACCACAGTAATCTACAAGAACATCTTCACAAACACTGGTGACCACTACAACAACGCTACAGGTACTGTACTGACTTCATCAGCATCAGTCAACGTTTAGTGTAGACTATAGCAGCATCAGTCAACGTTTAGTGTAGACTATAGCAGCATCAGTCAATGTTTAGTGTAGACTATAGCAATATCAGTCAACGTTTAGTGTAGACTATAGCAGCATCAGTCAACGTTTAGTGTAGACTATAGCAGCATCAGTCAATGTTTAGTGTAGACTATAGCAGCATCAGTCAACGTTTAGTTTAGACCATAGCAGCATCAGTCAATGTTTAGTGTAGACTATAGCAGCATCAGTCAATGTTTAGTGTAGACTATAGCAGCATCAGTCAACGTTTAGTGTAGACTATAGCAGCATCAGTCAATGTTTAGTGTAGACTATAGCAGCATCAGTCAACGTTTAGTGTAGACTATAGCAGCATCAGTCAACGTTTAGTGTAGACTATAGCAGCATCAGTCAACGTTTAGTGTAGACTATAGCCTACCTAGTCAAATACATGTGCATCTGAAGTTTAAAAACAACAATCAGCACAACTAGTAAAGCCTGCTTGATGTTGGTGGCAGGTTGCATTTGATGCCCCATGATTTTGTTTAGGACAATCAAGATAATACATTTTTTTGTCAATGTGCTACAGGTACAGTCATGTAGTGTGCAGCACAAGTCTTGATGATCTCTATGCTTTCCTCACATCCAGGTAGCTTCACAGCACCTGTGAGAGGGGTCTACCACTTCAGCTTCACTATGGGTGATTTTCTCCAGTCAACTGTTATGGGCCTATCACTGTTCAAGAATGAACAGCAAATAATTCATTCAGGGGAATGGGGTGACCATATGCAGTTTAGGTATGCATCCAATGCAGTCATACTACAGCTGGAGGTGGGAGATGTAGTTTTTATGCAACTCCCTGCAAACTACAGGATTTATGATGATTCAAATCACCGTAACACTTTTACTGGCATTCTACTCTTCCCAATTTGAGATTTTTTTTAATGTGTTGTGATGATGAACATCAATGAAGGGCTTTTGACCAAACTTGTTGCATTTAATTATTGGTGCACACAGACATATACACACGCACCTACACTCCCACGTGCACACTCACCTGCACTCACATGCACACGGTGATACACACATGCTCACATGCACACAAACCCACACTTCTGATCCACAACATGTGGTCCTCTGTAGCTCAATTGGTAGAGCATGGCGCTTGTAACGCCAGGGTAGTGGGTTCGATCCCCGGGACCACCCATACGTAACAAAATGTATGCACACATGACTGTAAGTCGCTTGGGATAAAAGCGTCTGCTAAATGGCATATTATTATTATATTATTACAACACATGCTGCATTATTTACTTAGACCAGTAGGGGTAGTAAATGCCCATATTTGGTTATGTGGTCTTTCAAGGGAGGTGGAGACAGACAACACAGACCTGTTATGTGAATGGATTGATGAATGGAAGTTATTCAACCATTTAAAGTTATTGATATTTTTAGCCAAGTTAAGTTAAATAGAATCAAATAGAAGGTTTTTTCAACATTACAATAAGAAAACGTATCCAAGAAAAACTAACAATGTAGCCTACTGTAACATTGGCCTGCCCACTCTGGGTTAAAGCATGTGTTAGATACAGTAAGTGTTTATAAATAAATAAATTATTTCATTTTAAAATGAGGTACTACATATAGGCCCATACTTCACCATGTTAACACATACACTACCAGTCAAAAGTTTGGACACACCTACTCATTCAAGGGTTTTTCTTTATTTTTACTATTTTTTACAATGTAGAATAATAGTGAAGACATCAGAACTATGAAATAACACATATGGAATCATGTAGTAACCAAAAAAGTTTTTAAAAATCAAAATATATTTTATATTTCAAATTCTTCAAATAGCCACCCTTTGCCTTGATGACAGATTTGCACAATCTTGGCATTTTCTCAACCAGCTTCATTAAGTAGTCACCTGGAATGCATTTCAATTAACAGGTGTGCCATCTTAAAAGTTAATTTGTGGAATTTCTTTCCATCTTAATGAGTTTGAGCCAATCAGTTGAGCCAATCAGATTCCATATGTGTTATTTGATAGTTTTGATGTCTTCACTATTATCCTAAAATGTAGAAAATAGTAAAAAGAATGATAAACACTTCAATGAGTAGGTGTGTCCAAACTTTTGACTGGTGCTGTATATTTGCTATGTGTGGAGGTCAGTAAGGATATCTTATAGCAAGGTTTAAGTTTATATACAATGTGCAATTTGAGGTATGAAATAGCCTCTCACAACAAAAATAACATAACCCAGCTTCACTTGCACACTTTAAAACCACAATTTCAAAATGTATGGGCTTATACCTAATTCAATGTTTTCCTATGTCCAAACTAGAAGTCTACAAACAAATTAAAGACATAAACTTTTTGCATCCAAACCAGATCTATTTTTAGAGAATAATTAAGTATTTTTATTTGTATCTTAACATGAATATATATGACTTTAAAGTTTACAAATATAATTTTGAAGGATTCCAGCCTGCAGTTGCATCAAACGGACACCAGATGAGCGCAAGTGAGCAGCTCCTAAACCCCGCCCCTAACCCCTCCCCTCCCACCTGGCCCTCCCATTTCCTGTCAGGGCCCATCCCTCGCTGCTAGCCCCCATCTCCCTGGCCTCACCCGGCCATCTGCCAGTGAGTCAGACATTTCCTGCTTCCCAGCTGCCTCCATTTTCTTCCTGCCTTTCTCTAGAAAACAGGATGGCAAGAGGCCATTCAGTGAGTCAGCCCCAACCCCTTATTTTCCTTTGTGCCGTCACCCCTAGCAACCAGCACCATAGTGCCCTGTAAACATGACACCCTCCACCTTACAAAGACAAACACCCCCACCACCCCCAACTACGCCAAGCCCGCATACACTTTGTTATTGTGAGGGGTTTTAAAGTTTAAAGGGACTAGGCTGCATAGATTTAGAGAAGAACAGGTTCAACTTTGAATATGAAAAATAAGCATTCACATCTGCTGACTCACACAAGCATTCATAGTCACTCACACACAGTGGATAAGAATAACAACTTCTGTTCAATATCTTATAGGTTATTGTGTTCACTTTATATTATTGAAGTACAAAAAGGCATCTGTGCTGTTTTACCTTTGTTTAACTCTTGTCACACATCAGTGTTTTTGACTTTTCAGTAGTTCACAGATTCCCCCATTCATACTTACAACATAAATGCAACACAGTTTGGTTTTCACAGTGACAGATTCAGTGTTTCTGTCCAAAAATATTAATTGTTGATAGTTAAACTTCTACAGAGTATAATTTGATGTGAGGGGCAGCGCTGCATTCTATTGTATATATAGCCTCCCTACTGTCACTTTATTTTTTACTTCTGCTCTTTTTTTCTCAACACTTTTTTGTTGTTGTTTTATTCTTACTTTTTGGTTTAAAATAAATGCACTGTTGTTTAAGGGCTGTAAGTAAGCATTTCACTGTAATGTCTGCACCTGTTGTATCCGGCGCATGTGACCAATAAAATTTGATTTGATTTGATTTGATTTGCAGTTCTTCTTTGTGACCAATAGAGAACGCTCTTGAGTCTTGCTTGGCTGCTGTGGGAACAATGGAGGGAGCACATGTGGCGTCTCTCTACTCAGAGAGAGATCTAACCACATGAGAGGAGAGCAGTGGTAGGATTCAAAGAGAGAGGAGAAGACTCTTAAGAGTTATCTCTGTATGTGTAGTCAGAGAACATGTGGAGATGTGGATAAACATAGCAGCATTGCAAAAACATTCATTTAGTCAGAAAATGCAATTCAGTCCAGGATAAGTCCCTCTCACTCCCTCGTTGTCCTGGCTCACTGCTTCAGGCCTTTTAAGGAAAGAGCCAAGGACAGAGGGAAGCAAGGGAGGAGCGAGGGATGAGGGATAGGCCTAACATTGGCTGAGTTATACATGGAATGTGTGTGTTCAGCATATGAGTTATTGTGTGACTGTTTTATCTCATAGCACAGCTGTGTTGTGCGACGAGTGTGTGTGTTTGTGTGCGCATATGTGTATGTGTGTCCATGCATGCATGTGAGTTTGTGTGTTAAATGTGAATTTTTTACTTTGTGGTACTCAGTTACAGTGATTATGTCGACTGAACTAGAATACAAGACTAATCCTGGTTAGGGACTAGTCCTGGTCAGAGGCAGATTTACACTAACACATAGAGAATCAGACAAAGGATTCTCACATTCCTGATTGATTGGATCCGTTAGCAGAAGTGTTTCATAGACCTTGTGTCTATCATTCTGTCTGAGATCTGAGCCAGTCACACAGAGGCCCATTCAGTGAGCACATCCAAGGGCAGAGAGCAGAGAGCAGAGAGCAGAGGCTCAGCTGAGTGGTCATCACGAGGACCATCATGGGTCTCTGTCTGCCCCTAGCAGGACTGAATAGAACCTCTCTGTCTTTTTATCTCTCTGGTCTGTGTCAGTTCCAGAAGAATGCAGTAGGGGGTAATGTTGAACCATGAATGAGAGAGTCTACCGCTGAGAGAGTGGCCATTTTACCACCCCCACACCGAAACCATTTTATGACTAATCATTTACTGCAGTTTGTTTTTAAGCATCTACACATGCCAGTATCTACTACATCCATAGAGGAATTAATGCACATACTCACACAAACGCTCTCTCTCTCGCGCGTGCGCACACAAACACACACACACACACACACACACACACACAGATTGCGGTGAGGTGGGGGGGATGGGAGGATTTAAAGGGCTGCTCTTTGACTCAGCGTGGGGAGAGCAGTTCTAGATCAGTGAAATCTCCCATCTGTCTCTCCTCTCCCTGTGTGAGCTCTCTCCACTTCCTTCCATTGCAGGCCAAATAAATTAGCCCCACAGTTAGCCCTATCATACTTACTGTATCATCAATCCACAGGCAAATGATGCTCCTAACTTTCTCTGTGCTGAGGCTGTCATACCATCACTCATTTATAAGCACACACACACTCTCTCACAAACACACGCAACACAAACATAGACATGCTCACAGTGCGTGTAACACTATAACTAAAAAAAGTATAATTTTTGGCTTAGCTTTTGGTATTTAAACAGACACTGCTTGCCCCATTGCAGACACTGCTCACATGTATACACACGCAAGCACCCCCCCCCCCCTACACACGGACATACAGTACACACACCAAAACACACATGCACGCACACACACACACACACACATAAATTGACAGTCTCATCCAAGGTCAGGAGGGAGCTGCATCAGTCACATGGTTTCATGAGGGAGCACAGGCCTGAGGGTTTGACCTTGATTTTCATAAAGGATGCTGTCATACACAACAAACATGTGATACATACTAGCCCTGTCACGACTTCCTCCAAAGCTGCCTCCTCTCCTTGTTCGGGCAGGCTTCGGCGTTCGTCATCACCGGCCTTCTAGCCACTGCCGCTCCTCATCTCATCATTACATTTGTTTTGTCTTGTTTATTACACACACCTGTTTCATATCCCCTCATCAGTACCTGTATAAGTGTTCCCTCTGCCCCCTTGTCTTTGTGTGTGATTGTTTATTGTGGAGGTTTGTTTAGCTCTGTGGAGCTCTTTGTTATTTTGTATCGCTGGGTTATTTTCACCTGTGTGCTTCGTTGTTTCCAGTGCGCCTGTTTTCAGCACTGGAGTGTTTGACGCATTGCTGCGTACTACTGTATTCAGAATAAACCTTTTATTCTGTGATTTGCCCTCCTGCGCCTGACTCCTTCAAATCATTCACCACAAGCCCACAACCACTTACACACGATAATAGTAATAGTAATAAACTCAGTATAGCCTACAGTGCAACAACACAATTATACATTGTTTTTAGTCTTTACTATCAACACAAGTGGCTATGCTAAAATGCAGAACACAGCTCTTTACAGGGTCCTGTTGTCTGAGCAACAGCTGCTCCCTCCATTTATGGCATTCCAATGCTCTCAGAGTATTGAGTGCTCTCTGTGTCTGCCTGTGGACCCCAGAGCA